TGTTGTAGCTATTTTATATCAATATTATGTATTAATTTATGTTTTTCAGATATTTCAGAACCTTTATTGGTATACAAGTGCCTAGAAATGAGACATTTAAGGACAAAACTTGGCATTTTTTAAAATCATTTTAGCTTTCAGCAGTAATATATAGTTCCTCATATATTGAGTTTTATGTTTACTGGTTGTTGCAATTTTAATCAAATCTATTTTTGTACATGTCTTCTTCCATTTAAGGTATAGAAAATGTAAAGTGGACCACCGATGGTCATATTAGAGCTTTCAGATCTCCCCTACCCCATTTATAATGAAAAATTATAAGAAAAATATGAAAATATAAAATAACTTGAAACTATAAACTTTAATAAAGTTGTAGCTATTCTATATCAATATTATGTGTTGTTTAATGTTTTTAAGATATTTCAGAACCTTTATTGGTAAACTAGTGCCCAGAAATGAGACATTTAAGGACAAAACATGGCTTTTTTACCATTTTCGCTTTCAGCAATAACATATAGGTCCATATATCTTGAGTTTAATGCTGACTGGTTGGTGCATTCTTAGTCAAATTTGTTCTTGTAGATGTCTTCTTTCATTTAAGATATAAAAAAATGTATAGTGGATGACCAATGTTCATATTAGAGCTTTCAGATCTCCCCTACCCCATTTATTAGGAAAAATGACCGGAGAATATTAATAAAAAGTAAAATAACTTCAAATTATGAACTTTTACAAAGTTGTACCTATTCTATGTCAATACTATGTATCATTTAATCTTTTTCTGATGTTTCAGGACCCTCATTAATATTCTAATACCTAGAAATGAGATATTTAAGGACAAAACTTGGCTTTTTTTCATTTTCGCTTTCAGCAATAACGTATAGGTCCCTATATCCTCAGTGTTATGCTGACTGGTTGGTGAATTCTTGGTCAGATCTGTTCTTGTACATGTCTTCTTCCATTTAGGATATAAAAAATGTATATTGGACAACCAATGTTGATATTAGAGCTTTCATGTCTCCCCTGCCCCATTTATAATGTAAATGAAAAAGTAATTTCAAATCATAAACTTTAACAAAATTGTAGCTATTCTGTATCAATACTATGTATTATTTAATGTAACATTCATTTGATTACATGTGTCTAAAATTTGGCATTTGTAGCATTCTGCATTTAGCAGTAGCATATAATTTTCCACAATTATAATTCTTTGATGATAGATTCATATATGTTTTTTATTGAATCTGTCTTCTTTGATTTAAGTTAAAGAAAATCTATGTAAGACAGCGAATGTTTTTATTAGAGGTCTAAGATCTGCCCTCCAACATTTAATAAGAAAACCAACACAAATGTTGTTATTGCAAGTTAATATTCTTAAACTTTTCAAAAGTTTAGCACATTTATTGGCACACTGAAACAAAAAATGACACATAAATGGGCAAAATGACCTATTTTTCACTTTCAGCACTAGTTGTTTATATTTTTAGTTGAATGGTGATTAGTTGACATATTTTAGATCATATATATATTCAATTATGTGTCTTGTTATCTTCAAAGCATGGAAAATGTGTTTTAAACACAAATATACATACATGTATTAGAGATAAAATTACTACACTACCATTTTTTTAAAAGATTACTCAAAAATAGAATAGTGCAAAATAATTTTGTAATTTCACAGTTTACTCTCATATGAATCAAAGGATATGTCTATATATAAACATGATTGTTCACAACTCTCGAACTTAATCCAGCAACAGCCTGATTTTTCAAATCTCCCTGGTTCTATGTTAGAGCTGCATTTAAGTCATTTTAAAGGTCATTGATGCTCATGACACCACAAGCTATATATTCAGATATGTAAGATCTCTAAATAATTTTTATAGTTCTGAGAAACTCATCCTAAAATATTGTCCAACAATGTACACTATGTTGTTTATTGCCACATGGACAAGTAGCAACACACCCTTGACTAGAAACTTTGTATTTGCAATTTTCGCTGCCTTTTGTCATTTTACATTTGCCAATTGCCAAGGACTGGGTTTCTTGTGTTGCTACGAAGGTTTGTTTGTGAGTACTGGTACAAGACACCCATCTTTGATATATTTTCAAATAGGTATTGCACTTTGAGATTCATATAGTAATTTAGAATGCTACCTTGAAGGACATAAGAAACTTTAAAAGCTCTTTTTAACTCTCATCCTTCTTTGCAAGCAACATTCTGTATCAGCAGACTGAATACAAATTCTCTCAACATTGAGCTCCTTTGTCTTGTCTGCAGCACTGTAATAGACATGGGTCATAAGGAGAGTGTCAACTTCTTCATGATCAGTATTTGATAGATTGTCTATAAGTTGCAACTATCAGTTTTGCAAAGTTCAATAGCAGCTCAGCCATAAGTGAAATTCATCCCATTTTAGAGATATAACATTGCTTCACAAACCAAAGACAGCTTACCATTTTGTAATTCTTTCCCAAATCATCTTGTTGGCTGTTTTCCATTTCACAATGTTTGCATTTACCAAAATATCCCCAAGCCCAATATCCATCATGAACTTCCCACCCTTAGGCGTTATATGGAAATCACCAAGCCTTTGACAACATTGCAATTGATAATGAGGGAATTCAACCAATATGGCTTGATCACTGGTTATAATTATCACAGTTATATACCCCATTACTTTTAAATATATTCCAAGTGTTGTACTATACATTGCATAGATTCATGGGCAGTTTGCAACGTATTATTACCAGAAAGCCCAATGGACAAAGATAAAGAATACCCGCCCCATTGATACAGCTCAACTTTAAATGTCTAATTTTTAGACTTGTACACTCATGAAGTTCCTGACACATCTGAAAAATATCAAATAATACATAGTATTGATCTAGAATATCGACAACTTTGTTAAAGTCTATACTTTGAAATTATTTGGTTTTTATATTTCTGGTTATTTTTTCAAAATAAATGGGAGTAGTAGGGGAGATATGTAAGCTCTAATATAATGACAGGCTTTCCAATATACATTTTTAAATACCTTAAATCAAAGTAGGCAGGCAAAAGAACAGATTTGATGAAGAATCCATCAACCAATCAGCATAAAACTCAAGATATAAGGAACTATATGTTATTGCTAAAAGTGGAAATGATGAAAAATTGATGAAAAATGACAAATTTTGTTCTGAAATGTCTAATTTCTTGACACTAGTATACTACCCTACGTGCAGAGTCTAGTTAAACTGCACTCTGCCTAGTAGATACCATATTACAGTTTAGTAACCCCGCCCCCGCGACAGGTACCAGTGACAGTTTGGGTAATAAATCACTTTTGACCTACGCGCTGACCTTTCTTCCACCAATCAGCGAGCTTGAAGAAACATACGCCAAATGCATTCTAATTAAATATGCAAATGTCATTGGTCAATTCCAGGCTCAACGATGACGTCAGAAGGAATGACCATATATAGAACGTCGGTCAAATTTGGCCGACGAACACTGATTGGCGCGGTGAGTTCACAGGTTTATTTTAGTTTGAAAGAGTGAAGACGAAGCTCTCTTTTAAGAAGTGAAGTCAAACGAATGCAAAGGGTACTAGTATACTAATGAAGGTCCTGAAACATTAATTATAGCAATCAATAACACATAAAGAATAGCTACATCTTTGTTAAAGTTTATACTGGTAGTTTGAAGTTATTTTTTATATTTTCCAGTCATCTTCCCTAATAAATGGGGTAGGGGAGATTTGAAAGCTCTAATATGAACATTGTTTGTCCACTATACATTTTCAGTACCTTAAATGGAATAAGACATGTACAAGAACAGATTTAATCAAAAATGCATCAACCAGTCAGCATAAAACTCAAGATATGAGGATCTATATGTTACTGCTGAAAGCAGCATTGATTAAAAAATGCCAAGTTTTGTCCTTAAATGTCTCATTTCTAGCCACTTGAATACCAATAAAAGTTCTGAAAAATCTTAAAAACATTAAATAACACATAATATTGATATAGAATAGCTACAACTTTATGAAAGTCTATAATTTTAAGTTATTCTATTTTTTCATATTTCTCGTTTATTTTTCATAATTGATGGGGTAGGGGAGATTTGAAAGCTCTAATATGAACATTGGTTGTCCACTATACATTTTCTATACCTTAAATGGAAGAAGACATGCACAAGAACAGATTTGATTGAAAATGCAACAATCAGACAGCATAAAACTCAAGATATGAGGAACTATATGTTACTGCTGAAAGCGAAAATGATAAAAAAAATGCCAAGTTTTGTCCTTAAATGTCTCATTTTTAGCCACTTGAATACCAATAAAAGTTCTGAAAAATCTTAAAAACATTAAATAACACATAATATTGACATAGAATAGCTACAACTTTGTTAAAATTTATAATTTCAAGTTATTTTATTTTTTCATATTTTTCGGTAACTTTCCATAATAAATGGGGTAGGGGAGATCTGAAAGCTCTCATACGAACATTGGTTGTCCACTATACATTTTCTATACCTTAAATGGAAGAACACATGTACAAGCACAGATTTAATCAAAAATGCAACAACCAGTCAGCATTAAACTCGAGATATAAGGAACTATGTATTAATCCTGAAAGCGAAAATGATTAAAAATGCCAAATTTTGTCCTTAAATGTCACATTTCTAGACACAAGTATGCTAATGAAGGTCTTGAAACATCTGAGAAACCTAACATAGCACAAAATATTGATATAGAATAGCTACAACTTTGTTTGAGTTGAACATTTTGACTTCTTGTAGTTTCCATTTTTAGCCAATTTTTTCTAAAAAATTCAAGGTATGTCTTCTTCGGACCAGTATTTAGATATGTTCGCAAGAGTTATATGCTTCGCAGGCGAAATTCTTTATGCAGAACACCCTAATAGAATACAAAATACACAGAAATTCCATCCAGCTCATAAAGTCATTTTTTCCTTAACGGAGCCTCTTAGAAAATTTTCCACCCCGAGTAAATGTGCTCACCCTATAATTCAATCTCAAGCATGTAGAATGATTTCAATTTTGAAATTTCATTTTCAATAGATGCATAATTAGAAATACGCTTTGACAAGGGTAGCGTTCCTTGTTTCTTGAACTCCACTTTAAATTGTTTTGAGTCATATTGTTCGAATCCTAAAAAATCATACACTTTCTGAACCTCCTTGAATGGATCTGACGACAAATCCACGTATTTTAAAACGTATGTATCGTTATAACCTTTCAATGTTTTCAAAGCGTCGCTCCATCTTTTCTTTGTCTCTAGGACAAATGCTTTAAATTGCTCAATATCGAAAACAAGCCTTGAACTGTTGGGTTTTAGTTTCATTTTTGAATTCCAAGCTTGGTTTTGCATTGCCACTTTGAAGCTGACGAATTGTTCTAGAATGTTCTGTCGATATAGAATTATGATCGCCGGCCTGTCCAGGAGATCTATAAACTCAGCTAGAGAAGTGTTCCATGTTTTTACATCAACGCAAAATAGTTTGAATCCAGTTGTGATGTTTTGAGAGTTTTTACTCAATTTAGCTTTGACGTATTTGAACGCTTCATTTGAAGAATGTATTGTTACATGTTCACGTTTTAAGTTATGACTCTGTAAGAGTTCGAAATGGTCTCTTACACTTGGGTGTTGCTTTAACAAACTGACAAACAACGTGGATCCACTACGAGGTTCTGTCAAAGTAATATAATGTTTGTATCTCAAAGAATCAACAGTGATGTATTTTTCCTTTTTTTCACCAGGATTGATCGAACGCCGTGTAGAGCAAAACGTTTGATTGTACGGGTCTTCATATTTTCCAAAAGTATTGTATCCTTGAGTAATTTTAAAATATAGTACTAAATATAAAACTATTCCAGAAACTCCGAATAATGTTAGATAAATAATGTTTTTGTTATAACCAGCCATTGTTCCATGTAGTAGTTTTGTGGACTATTTCGACTAGGTGTAGTATAATTGTGAAGTGTATCATTGACCGTAGGTGAACTTATGCAGTAAGGGGTTCGTTGTGCAAACCAATTAAATTAAACTATGAATTTTAATGTCATTGTACAAGCCTCTTAACTTTGTTTCTCCGCTTGATGACTTTTTTTATTGGATTTTATTTGAGTTATTTGCATATTGACAGGACGTACCAGTAGTATTTCAATAAAGGTGAGTCAATGTTAACCTTTTGGCAAAAATAACATAACAGACGTGTTTACAATGTTTCTACATACAGGTTAGTGAATAATTACATATAAACATAAATAACTATGATCTTGCAGTCAAAACGAAAAAATCCTACATTTCTACGGCGTTCATTTTGATTTTTTGCATAAAACTGTCAACCAATAAACATCTTTTGAAATTTGCTAGCATTCGAGTTATCTTCCGGATAGACGCATGGGATGGAGGAACTAACGGACTGCCTGACGGAGGGATCGCTTCACTATATCCCTACCGAACTTCGTTCGTTGGGATAATGACATATCATTACGTATACTGTGGAAGGTATACGTGGCTGACACATTAGCCTTTGGGCTCGCCGTTCCACGTCACTATTGAGCATTCTTCAAAACTCTATACTAGGTCGGCATGCACAAAAGAGGAATGGAAAAGTTGATTCTTATTTAGACATCACATTACAGCAGATCCCATAATAATTGAATACGTTCAAAATTTTGTATTCTTTTCATTAGTTATTACCAAAATCGATATCCGTGTGAATTTCAAATACTGTAATAATATTGAGAAATCCTCTGGGTCTCCCAGTCGGTCGGAATCAAGACATCCGATCGGAAATTATTTTTTATGCTTTCCAGTAATGAACTGCCAGAACGAATGATCATTCAAATTTTGGAAATTTGCCGTCTATTCAACCTCTTAATAGCCAACCCAACAACTAAATAACTCAACTGCTGGAAACCAAGCACCTGGACAACTCAACCTTTAGACAACTCGACCCCTTAAATATCCATCCCCTGGACAACTTAGACTTTTAAAGTGTATCAACATCATTGGATTTAATTTCTTTGCGAGTAAGTCTAAGTTACTAAGTTTCTTGCTGTTTCTAACACACTTTAACTCATTCCCTTTGGATCATGCGCTAATAATATTCAATTAAATTGAAGTGTTTACAGCGAACACTCAATAAATCATTTTTTGCCAACTTTTAAGTTTTTGAATTGCTTATTCCCGAACAGTAAGTACTGAGGAAGCAAACTTTTAATTCAATCCTAGGTTTGTTGTATATTCTCCGGGTCTATCTATCACAAAACACATGGGACGTCATATTTTTCCTCGATGCACTTGTTTCAGGACAGTCTTGAAGTCATTAATATAGTGCCATCCTAGATAATATTCCGATGTATTATTCATCCAATATCTATTCTAATCAACTGTAAAAAGTAGTTCAGTTATCTTTCATCTTGCAGAACCTAAGACTAACATAATATATGATGGTCCCAGGCAGAACTAAAACTGATTCATGTAAATATGACAAAAAGCCGAGATAATAAACAATAACTCGATCAGAGCATTCAATTTATAAGTGTGAAATTATCACAAATAACCTAAATAACATCAAGGTCTCATGTTCTTATAATTGAGGATCACTTCTCACTTGACTGGAGCGATAGACAGCTTTTTTTACATATATTCTAACAAATGGACTGTTTGAGGATTATTTGCACTACTTTTGAAAAGCGGGCACTCCCATTTGTTTTGACATTTCTGTATCTAAATCTTTAAGATCTTTAATGAATGTACACATATATACGTTTAAAATAAGATTTTAAGGGACGCATTTTTTGTTATCTATTCTTTGAAAAGGCAATGTGACTTTTGCCCATTGATGTAGAAGTCAACCTTAATTGAAATTCTTTTGAAACATTTCTCAATTATTTGTCTCTTAACGTTTACATTTGTCAACGTTTATTGCTTGATCAATCAAGTCTAGAATGGACGTCAATACCCGAGAAATGTTATATATTAATACATATACCAGGTGACAAGATTATCCTTTATATCATCATCTTAACATCCCGATTAGGTCCTTGACGCCCAGATTGGGATCCTCCCCTGAGTGCAGTCTCACTATAGGCAAGAGGGACTCCAGAAGGCATTCTATGTGATTTAACAATATTAATGTAATCGCCAAAATGTTCTGCCTCCAATTTGATAACTTCATTTTGCTTTCGTCGTTTCTTGGCAATGCAGATTGGAAAAGCGATGGTGCCGATGATCATAACCAACACGATGATACACACTGCTACGATGATGCCTTCGTTGCCTACAATATTGAAATGTATAATAGTGTAACATCACGAGCATAAAATATAAGTATTGTCGTTTGAAGAACTATAATATAGGTAAGACTATGTTGACTAACTAGCTGAACAAAACCTATGCCAAAGAAATGCTTTTAAATCCTGAATTTTTTCAGAGAAGCACAATGATTGCTCACTAAAAATCAAACATCGTTCGAAGAAATATCGGAAAATGAAGTTTTCGGGAACTTTCGGAACTCTATGGATAGTCTATATCCATATAAATAAGACAACAACAATAGCGAATCTCATCGGATACCTCTGGCTGAATGGCCGCCTACATGTATCAGTTAAATTGTCATTAAACATTGTAATAATATGCTTCCAAGTAGTTACATGCAAAGTATTAACAATGATTTTCAGTTGTAGCAAAACGTAGAATAAAACATATGCAAATGGCCGCCGTGTCTTGAAATAGCTGCGCCTATTTTTTGAAGGAAAAAGAACAAAATATCATCTGAGACATGTCACTCACACAGTCAACCAAATATGATAAAAACTTTAATTTGGGTCAATACTGAAGTGAAAATATTACTCGCATAGAAAACAGCATTTGAAGTTCAGAGATCAAAATAAGTAAATTACCACTTTTCACAAAGTGTATGTTTTTAAATAACTCTTGGATTAAAAGATAGCGCATGGTTGAAAATCCTATCAAAAATGAATGGATAATTAATGCAAACAACAATGCCATCTTTCTATGGCAATTGCTAAAAACATGACATACTTAAGTATATATATTGGTAGATTAAAAATGTTTTTTCATGATCTAGTGTCAACTTCGATGTGGTCAGTTTGAGCTATTTTTTGTGTCAAATGAAAGATCAGGTACTTATTAAATTATTAATCCATTGGAAATACTATGAAGATCAAAAGTGAGACTTCATTTACGCACTTTGTCCCTTTAATTAGCCAAATTGTCAATCAAAATTTCAACACAATCTCTCTACTCCTTTTTCAATTAAAGCAAAAAACATCGAATAATACACAGAAAATGGCTGCCAATTCTAAAAATGGCTACTCACTAGCCAAATTGTCGTTATAAATTTCACCAAAATCGCTCCACTGCTTTTCCAGTTACAACAAAACACGTAAGATAACACACCTGAAACGACCGCAATGGTCATTCATGATCACTCATTTTCTTATAAAATGTGTTGCTTTGTAACGTATCTTGGTTACCACCATATTTGGCGAGCAATACCTCATTGGTATATAACATATTTTACATTCAAAGACAGAGCCATTGCTCCTCTTTGGAGGAAGCCTGTGTTCTTTTGTGTGCACCCGAACACAGATAAACAAGTACATGCCCAAGCCTTTTACACCAGTCGTGGACCACTCAATCAAACACCCAGAATTACATAACGCACAAACAAACTTGTCTGAACCGGGAATCGATCCCGGGGCCAAGCGATAGCGGTAACTTTGGTTCTTCCACTGAGCCATAGCGGGTGGGCATGCTTCTAGGTAGTGACATATAACATATCAACAAAATCGCTCTACTACTTTTCGAGTTATAGTAAAAATGTAACACACATAAAAAGTGTCATAAGACAGTGTATCAGCTTTAGGAATATTCGCATATCAAATATACGGCCACCATTTTTCGAGACGGCCACCATTTTTTTTAAATAATTTCAATTTATCTTAATTTCAACTTTTCAACCTAATCGATATCCTATATATTTTTTGCATTCTAAACATTAATGTTACAGTTTCAGATGTTGTACCTAATATACTATAAACCTTACCTGACCTTAAAATAGCGACCATGTAGAAACCGGCGGCCATTTTGAAAATCGGCTTTCGATCGGCTGATCCTGTACTTTCATGGGGCAACAGCATTTGAGTTATTGTCCGTACGGAAGGATATACTGAACGAGCGGACGTGCGAATGGTCAGAGCCTATCTCTATCACTCCGAACTTTGTTCGATGAAATAATGATTTTCAGAAGCTTGAATGGATCCTTCCTAAACGAATCACTTACGTTTTACACATTTTCTACCCGGGTACTGCGGATCAGGGCTTATATCAAGCATATCATCCGGACATACACATTCAAAAGATCCCATTGTGTTAATACACGAAGCATCTTCATCACATCTCAGTACATCCTCTATCACATCATTGGCGCATTCGTTATAATCTAAGTGAAGAAATGATTAACCTTCATTGCTTGAAATGACACTATTTAAACAAATTCCAGATTTTGTACGTTATTATCGATATTCGACCAACCGTTCATCAAAGGAATTACGTAACGTATTGCAGTCATGTACAATACGACATGATATCATGTGCGATACGTACCATTGCATCACATGCTTAGAAAAGTTTCAGGGTATATATGGCGAAGTTGTTTTTACAACTCCGCTTGTGTCAGTTAGTACCTCTCGATAATTTAAGTATACTTTTTTGCACATCACTCCAGCTGACAAAATTGGAAATCTCAAACTATTTATCAAACCCTATTAATAAGTATGAAACATACAAACATGTATATGCGTGTGTGGATGATAAAAGGTGAGAGAAGTGAATTTGTAACATACAAACGATGCACTCAAAAGCAATCGCTTACCATCCGCATATTTGATACACCCTGGAGTGAAGGGGAGATTCTCAATACCACTACGTGCGGCTTTTACATCAAATCCATGAACCAAATCATTTACAATTACGTTAAAGTCTCTCATGCCAAGTGTTATGTTCGCAGGGAACACCTGTACTGTCATATTAACGACAATGGATCCTGGTAGGAAATTGCTCAATATCAGTCCAAATTTTAACGTGTTTGCAACACTACTTCCTTTGTCGAAACCTCGCTGTATCTGAAAAGAAAACGTATACACATCATATACATGAATTCATTTTGGAGAAATATATTCAGTTTTTGATAATAATTTAAAAACTCACCGAGCAGAGTGAATCTCGTGCCATTTTCTTATATCTGTCAGAATCGATATTGTTAAGTTGATCATTCCATATTAGGCCAAATAATGTAAACTGCAGTTGGAACAGTCTGTTCACTAAAAAGCAAGACCAGATGATTGATAATAAAAAGAAATTATTGTGAAAGAGATAAAAAATCGAGAAAATAGCAGATCAACTGAAAATGCACAATGTGTGCAAAACATTTAATAGATAGCATATCATACTTCTAATTCTTATTGCGAGAGCACTTACCACCAGTGCATCTAAGTTGGCCATTGATACAACCGTTGGAGCAGCTCTTTGATGTATTCGCACTAGAACTAGTGGTAGTTTTAATACTAGTTGTAGTGTCAAGCTCAGTTGTAGCTGTGGTGTCAAGTTCAGTGGTTACTAAGCCTTTTGTATTGTCAGATTCAGTGTTTGTTGAAATTTCTGTTGTGTCAAGTTCCGTGGTAGCTAAACCTTCAGTTGTGTCAAGTTCATGATCAGTTGCAGCTAAGATTTCTAACGATTCTGTGGTATCAAGATCATTGGTTACTAAGCCTTCAAATTCTGTAGTGTCAAGTTCAGTGGTTACTAAGCCTTCTGTAGTGTCAGGTTTAGAGGTTGAACCTTCTGTTGTATCAGGTTCAATGGTGGCTAAGCCTTCTGTAGTGTCAAGTTCAGTGGTTACTAAGCCTTCTGTGGTGTCAGGTTTAGTGGTTGAACCTTCTGTTGTATCAGGTTCAGTGGTGGCTGAGCCTTCTGTAGTGTCAAATTCAGTGGTAACTAAGCCTTCTGTAGTGTCAGGTTCAGTGGTTACTAAGCCTTCTGTAGTGTCAAGTCCGGTGGTTGCTAAGCCTTTTGTAGTGTCAAGTTCAGTTGTTACAAAGTCTTCTGAAGTGTCAGGTTCAGTGGTTACTAAGCCTTTTGTAGTGTCAGGTTTAGTGGTTGAACCTTCTGTTGTATCAGGTTCAGTGGTTACTAAGCCTCCTGTGGTGTCAGGTTTAGTGGTTGAACCTTCTTATGTATCAGGTTCAGTGGTGGCTGAGCCTTCTCTAGTGTCAAGTTCAGTGGTTTCTAAGCCTCCTGTGGTGTCAGGTTTAGTGGTTGAACCTTCTGTTGTATCAGGTTCAGTGGTGGCTAAGCCTTCTGTAGTGTCAAGTTCAGTGGTTACTAAGCCTCCCGTGGTGTCAGTTTTAGTGGTTGAACCTTCTGTTGTATCAGGTTCAATGGTGGCTAAGCCTTCTGTAGTGTCAAATTCAGTGGTTACTAAGCCTCCTGTGGTGTCAGGTTTAGTGGTTGAACCTTCTGTTGTATCAGGTTCAATGGTGGCTAAACCTTCTGTAGTGTCAAGTTCAGTGGTTACTAAGCCTCCTGTGGTGTCAGTTTTAGTGGTTGAACCTTCTGTTGTATCAGGTTCAGTGGTGGCTAAACCAACTGCAATTGGCGTAGTTGGCCTTGATGGTCTTGATGTTGTAGTTGATGCACAGGTAGTAGTAGCTTTAGTAGGTCTAGAAGATGTTGCCTCTGGTCTGGTAGTGGGGAAGATAGTCCTCGGTTTCATCACTATGGTGGTCGGTGGAGAACTTGACGGAAGAGACCTTGTAGGATCTGCAAACATAAACTGTGTTGGACGAAAATGGAATTGATTATATAACATTGAGCTATGCCAGACTTAGCGCGATATTTTTCATAAATGTAAGATATTGCATTGGAAAGTGTTTATCAATGGCATTAATTTCACTTACATAGTGAGCACCTCAATCGAATATTCGGTTCTACCACCCACTGCCCATTAAGGGATATGGTCCATGCAGTTGTCTTCTCTGCGTCAACGACAACATTTCCTGATGTTGCAATAGCTCTGTCACTATTTAGTTGAGGACCAATGATCCATATTTGATAGCGAATATAATAGTAAATGTAATAATTATTCGATGTATGCTGATATGATGCCCTGTGGTTCAACAGACCTCCACGGATCACGTATCGACCGTTTGCGAGGGAACGGACCCCGTTGAAACCGGTCACTTGCAGCTCCCTACAGGAGTTAGCTATAATGATAAAATAGGCACATTTTAAGTATTGAGTGTAGATTTCATGCATAGCTGGGTAGAGTATGTTTTGACATGTTTAAAACTCTTGACATCCACATCCCTTACGTCTTAACTAATCTATTCCATTTACCAGATGTTAGCGTTAGCATTAAGAATTGCTGACCCAGTATCCCTACTAATTCCATACACCTAGCTAGATCAGAGACTGAATGCTTGGGCACCTTTTTCTCCATATTTTAATACCACTTCAAGTTTTTTTGTCACTCGAATTCCTCTAAGACATTTCTGCTTCATTCAAATCTGTATAAGGTCATTTCTGCTTCATTCAAATCTGTATAAGGTCATTTCTGCTTCATTCAAATCTGTTTAAGGTCATTCAACCTATTGCTAGCTGTGACACTATCGATTTAGGCCTGTATATTGGACTATTGGCATTGCACAACTTCATTTCTACAGAATGAACAATGAAGTAAACATTTGGAGGTTAAAATGTTGCAAGTTGTGGTTGGAAGTTGCCAGCTACAGATTAATAGTACAGCTTTAATCTTATGGAAGCTCTTATTAGGGCATTTTTGGAAATATTAGAAGAGTGGGTTTTAATAACTGAATCAATTGATGACAGAGGGGGAGAAACACCAGGGTTCAAAGATGACATACGCTTATAATGTAAATCTGTATTGAGATGACATCGTTGCTGATTGGTCAAAAGTCGACAAACAAATGACGTCATCAATGGCGGTTTCAAAATTTTCGAAATACGCTTCGAATAATATTATGTTCATTTCTGGCGTGTTAATCAATATCATAGCTTCTCATTTCACATCAAGATAAAGAAAGGTGTACGGAATATGCCTATACCAATTAAAACATCCCATCGAAGTGTAGTATTTGATAACTAGCCGATGAAAATTCGAACGAACGAAGGTGGTAAGCAAGAGAGGTAATTATGTCTGTCATCTTTAAACTCTGGGGCTTTCCCTCCTCTTAATTGATGATTTGCGATCACCGAATGGATTCTATCTTTAAGTGACGTCACAATTAGGCCATCCAGCTTTAGATGCTTGATTTTGAGAGATTATTTTCTATATTTCGTGCTTTATTGATTTATTTTAAACAAAACAAAATTCCTGAATTCTGATCGCAAAAGGTCAATTGAATAAGCAAAAATGAAGAAAAGTTCCAAAAAGTCGCAGCAGCGATTTGTGGGGTCACTATGATTATCGATCCATGATTTTTCAAATATTACATTTATTTTATCCAGATTTTACACACATCTTTGATACATATAAAGCATCAAACCCTGAAAGTATGAACTTGTATGGTTTCAATTATCAAACATTATGAGCATTTCATGACGACGCACAGATTCTTTTGGACCAGAGGGTGAGCATTAAGCACTGGACTCAATGTTTTTGTGCTATATAACACAATGGACGTATGTGGAAGCCCAACTCTTCTGGGCTACCCAAGTGGTCTGACTCTTGCCCAACTGTTCTGACAACCCAAGTGTTCCGAGATCGCTTAGTTTATCATATCTTATAATTTACAAGAGAGGGTTCAAAAAATAAAATCTTGCTGATCAAAAAAGCTAGGATGAAAAAAGAGAGACCTAAAATGTTGGCTTGTTGAAAGTTCTGACCCAATTTTTAAAAATATGAACCCATTTTTTTTTAAATCGAGGCCCATTTTTTCAAAAGGCCCATTTTCCAATGATGAGGTATAGTCCTAAAATTGAAACCCAGCTTAAATATATTGATATGTTCTGTCTAAATATTCTATTGCCCAGGAGCTGCCCATGGTGCAAATGTCGAACAACCGGGGATTTTACATTCCCAATGGGTACCCTTTAGTTAGCCTTGCCCAAGTCGGTATTTTTTACTTATCTGATCTTGAATTATTACCGGCGGTCATAATAGAAATCAAGATAGTAAAAGAGACCGACTTGGGCAAGGCTACCCTTTAGTTTATATGAATAAATGGAAAGCCTTTTGTGCACGAGGCAGCCACATTATAAGTGGTTTCATTAGTGGAAACGCTGCGGAGCGAAATAAAATGGCGGATAATGAAGATCCAACTATGACCGTAAGTATTGTCCTCCAGTGTTGAAAATTTCTGTTGTGTCAGTCTTGGTAAAAATCTTTCAATATAGTATTAATAACGATGAACCCGTCTAATAAAAGCAATAAAATCGAGGTTTGAAAACTTCCAAAAATAACACGAACGACTCTAATTATGAACCATTCCTAATTTTGCAAATAGGCGGATTTGGATAACGGCAAACTCGGGTTTCGAGGGCGCAGATTATGTCAACGCGATTGCACGGTGTCCAACCCAAACGCTCTTAAATGCACGACGGAGCGTTTCATTCACGTGGAAACGCTGCGGAGCGAAATAAAATGGCGGCTAATGATGATCCAACTATGACCGTAAGTATTGTTTCACTCGTTTCTCTTACATATTGTACGATATGGAGACATATTATGTACCATTTGATGAACAATACCCTGAGCAAAGATCTTATTTATTCAACGTCTGGTGGTAAACTGTTATTTGTTTGATGAAAGCTCCGTGGTGTAGCTCAAACGGATCTGAAGTAGATCAACAACTCGTATATCCTCATTTGCCAAAATCCCAGTCCAAATCCATAACTTGTTCTCGAGAAATCGCTTGTTTTCCCCAAAACGCTCTATCGATTTTTGACACAATTTTAGAAAAACTCTTACCATTTTGTATTGATATTATTTTCAGATTATTAGAGAAGAGTTCGGAATCGAATCTATCTCTCAAAAACGTGTTGTACTTGTTAGGCAAATTGAAACTTTCCAACTTGCTGTTGGTGCTACACGTGCAACAGGCCGACTTAAAGACCCACTATACTTAATTTAGAAAAAAATCATTGAAACATTTGACTCACAGTTTGATTTGCTTTAATATTGAACCAAGAAAAAAATCACACGGAAAAAAACATTTGAAGTTTAGAGATCATTAGACATGCATGCACATGTTAAACAAAGTGCATGTTTTAAATTACTGTTGATTTAAAAGATGGCGACACTTCTATAAAAAGAATGTATCACGTTATACTTTTGCCATCTATAACTTTGACATCTTTCAATGACATTGATAAAAACTTGATATATAAAACTTGACAGATCGAAAATATGTTTTTGATAATTTATTGTAAGCATTGATGTGGTCCGTTTGAGCTGCTGTTGGTGTCAAATGAAAGATAAGGTTCTTATCAATACATTGAACATACTATGAAATTCAAATGTAGGTCTTTATTTTGCCCAAAAAGTTTAAAATGGGCCTTAAGCCTACATTACATGATGTTATACCTACATGTGTGCTAAAACATAAAATGATTGACAAAAAAAAAAGTTTTTATGTGAATTAATCTTTCTTCTTTTGATGCCAAGGATATTATTTATTCAACTTCTGATAAATCGTTTTTCCTCTTCCTGAAAAGGAAAGCCAAGATAATCCTAAACATATCTAGATTAGTACGGCCGCGTTTCCAGTTCACTGTGTTAACCAGCAGATCGCAGCGTTTCTTGAATATGAGAATGTCATTATTTTTAAGACTGGATTTTCGATCATCAAATCACAATTACGATAATGTATGGTGTATTGAAGCTTTAAAATTTGACCAAAATATACTCTGATGCTCTAATCTTGACTCAACTAACCAATTGTTTCGACAAAAGGGGTTTTGACCGGTAGAATGACAAATACGTGAATGAATATATATAAAAATATATACAAATGAATTTTGATAACTATACTGCTTCGTACAGCTCTTCCTATTTGCTTCAAAGCCAGCCAAGAACAACATGGATATCAAACCCATCGAATACTCGAAATAAGTAACACATACCTCTTATTGCCATTATTGGGTAAAACGTCAGATGGCTCATTTTTCCCGCCCGCCATTTTTCCTACTCCAGAGCGTTTCTTTGTTTAATTTCAGTAATGGACCGCTCCGTCGTGCATGTAAGAGCGTTTGGGTTGGATACCGTGGACCCGGGGGTTTCACTCCAATATACCTCATAATACTTATGCATCCTCTGGAGTCTGCTGGGACTAAATTTCCTTAAATATTGTTAAATTGACTAAAAAAAACTTTTTCAGTGATTTGTCAAAGGCCTTGGCAACTGATTAAACCAAAGTAATACCATTTTATAGAAAAATTTTTGACCTAAAAAGGTACTTTCTTCGACAAATTTTCCATGTTTTTCCTCTCAAATTTGCAAGTTTCCATCGTTAATGCCCATACCTTCTGCACATACCTACCCAAATAATTTGGAGTGAACCCCTCCGGGACCGTTGAGTGCTTCTGCTGTCTACGTCAGTCTCCAGCCAGAGCCTCGTTTTCAACTCTATATACCACGGAGTATATTCCACGGTAGAAAGTGCCGGATGTTCAGCACTATCCCCGATATTACCGGGAGTTTATTCCCCGACTACGTGTTTCATTTCAAAGGGCATGATGATTGTATCTGATTAAAATGGACGAATACATTTTACGATTTGTGGGCTGGCCTTGATTGGGTCATAAAAAGAGGTTATTTAATGCGAGGTTTTTGAAAAAGGATATACCCGAGAGAAATACAGTATGTCTACCCGAGCACCGTAGGGACCGAGTGTTGATATAGTGTATTTACCGTCAAAATTGAGCATTTAATAACTGATTTATCCTATATTTAGTAGATTAATAGGATTAGGTAATCATTGAATGTTATGGAACCCTCATGTAATAATTACAAATGATAATCACGATCAAAATAAATGTATTTTATTTCAATTAAAAGTTCTTAACATCCATTGCTTTTAAACTTTGATTTTAACTTTGGTTAAACTTTGTTTGTTGATCGTCTGTCATCTTGTTTGTAAGCACAAAAAGCACCGAACGAAATTCCCGGGGATTATTTAAAAGGTTTCAGAAAAGTGGTTTGCAGACAGATTATGGAATCTGTCTGAATAGGGTGATTCAAGTAAAGCCTGGAACCGAAAAAATAAAAATAATTGTGTACCTGTCAAGCAAACTCCCGTTATTAACGACATTGGGACAAATTGATCTCCAGAAAGGATTCGCCATTGTGTATTAATGTTGATATCACGCGGCGTCAATGCTGCGTCATTCACAATAATTCCCGCTGCTCTGGATGTTATGTCTGGTCCTACAATCCACGCTCCCCAATATGTACTATAAAAGAGATACCCTGTTCCTGACTCATGGGTATAAACGGGTCTATTCATCATAGTCTGCGCACTCAGAGTGAAAACGCCCCGTCGATATAGTTGTATACTTGTAATCCCATTGATGTAGAACCGCTCGCAATGGTTTATCTTATCAACTATAAATAAATGACAATTCACTATGATATACGCTAACGTATATTATGAATTATAATCATGTTCTAAAACTTTTTTGGATCACCCTCGTATGCTCTACAATTTTCCGACTTAAGGGCATCTTCCACAAATCTTTGTTCTCCCTCTGCCTCTTAAGTCGACATCACATAGAGGTCATTAAGTTCGATACAATAGGCACATGGCAGATATATATATTATATATTTGCCTCGGGAAAATCCCAATATCCTGAACCTCATATAGGATAATCTCTATTTATGCACTAACCAAGTTAATCTACAGGGCGTCCACAAAAAAGTATACCCAACTTTGAAATCAAATTACTAGAATGCTGAACAATATCTAAAATATACAAAGGTAGCAATAAAAGCCTAATTTGTCCTACATCAAATGGTACCTGGATCATTATGTAGCTGTCATGTACGACTGAGCAATCATGACTTTATGGAAGGTGGTAAAACAAAATCAGCACTGTTATCTTCCTGTGTGGCAATCGATTGTAATTTGGCTATTCTTTTTCTGTTACATTAAGAGGACACGCCTTTCATACTGAACTGGGCTGGGGAGTGAGTAACTCTTATGAAAAAAGGTTTGGCAAAAAGCTTAACTTACTTAAGCTTAGAATAGGCCTGCAAAATGGTTGAGCTGACACCTGAGCAGTTGAGCCAACAAAAGTTTCTAAAAAGTAAGTCCAATATTCTGTTTAAGAACCCATTATATTACTTTTGAAAATAGATTGTAGCAATACTGTCCCACATGAATCTACTTGTTGAGACTCAATCAACTTGAGTTCTTTTGAGAAAATAAGGATTTAGCAAGGGTGTATTGACTTTGCACGGGGGATACAATTGACTTCACCTATTGATCAGCAAAGAAACTTCTACATGATGATATGCAGTCTTTGGATCCAATTTCCCGAGAGAATGGTACCAACAGAAAGCTATGGAAAAAGCAAAAAGTGAAAAGAACATGGAACAAGTTTGAATTTGAACATTAATATTGTTTTGAACACACAAAAAAACATTTACTGTATCAATCTTACTTGAATGCTAACTTGGCACAGAGCTGATTTTATTACCTTTCATAAAAACCATGATTGCTCAGTCATCCATGACATAATGATCTAGGTATCGTTTGATGGAGGAAAAACTAGGCCATTTACTGCTACCTTTGTATTTAAAAAAACTGCTCAGAATTCTAGTATCCTGGCTTTGAAGTTGGGTATACTTTTTTGTATTTAACCGACAAGCTCATGTAACACACACACGTATCCATGCGATTTCAATCACGTAATTGTATATGTATATTTGAGGTTGAAATATGGAGGTCGTATGAAGTGAAATCAATGAAATGTCCTGCAAACAACAATTCATTATATCGTCCATACCTGTCAGGCAAACTCCCTTTAATGAGAAAGTGACAAGCCGACCTCCAGACACGATACGCCATTGTGCATCACTGTCGATATCCCGTGGCGACAGTGCTGCGTCGGACACAAAAATTCCTCCTACTACTGAGCCTACGTTTGGTCCAACAATCCACGCCCCGAGATCTACACTATAGTATAGAAACTCTCTTCCCGACTCATGGATATAAACAGGTCTATTCATCCAAGTCTGCACACTCAAAGAGAAAATACCTTGTCGATTTCTTTGGTAACTTGTAACCCCGTTGATAAAAAACCGCTCGCAATGGTTTATCTCATCAACTAAAACAATAAATAACATGTAATACATGTGCAAATAAAGTTTGTCAGTACCTCAGCTGAAATACTTAGTTCTGATTGGTAAATCAATAGTGAAGATGTATCAGTATACAATTGTTGACCTCTCCAGAGGTCAACCGGCAAAATTGTATACCGAGACTGTAAACCGAGAAACTACTGTTGAGAGAGACCGAAGGTCGAGGTCAACAGTAGTTTCAAGGTTTACAGTCGAGGTATATGATTTTGACGGTTGGTCGAATGGAGAGGTCTACAATTGTTTTGTTAGTCCGAAGAAACTAATAATACACATAAAGACGACAATCATCAATCGGCATGGCTTCATTTCACAACCTTTTCTCCGAACCACGTTAGCAATATTTTTTTAGAAAATCTGAAGACAGTGCAAATAGCTAAACTCTCTGTATTCGGCACATCACGGCGTACTTATTAGAAAATTAATGTTAATTTTACGTTTCTATTTGTATTTTTGCTATATTTGTTGTCTAGTAAAGTCAAAATATAATTTTCATCAACGTTTATACATGTTACAAAATATCCGTCTTTCATGTTTTTTGTGACGCCATGGAACTTTTTTTCAAAAGTTGCGGTCAACAGTACCTAGTAGCGGTCAACAGTATACAATTGTTGACCTCTCCAGAGGTCAACCGTCAAAATTGTATACCAAGATTGTAAACCGAGAAACTACTGTTGACAGAGACCGAAGGTCGAGATCAACAGTAGTTCCAAGGTTTACAGTCGAGGTTTATGATTTTGACGGTTGATCGAATGGAGAGGTCTACAATTGTTTTATTAGTCCGAAGAAACTAATGATACACATATAGACGACAATCATCAATCGGCATGGCTTCATTTCACAACCTTTTCTCCGAACCACGTTAGCAATATTTTTTTTAGAAAATCTGAAGACACTGCAAGTAGCTAAACTCTCTGTATTCGGCACATCACGGCACACTCATTAGTAAAATAATGTTAATTTTACGTTTCTATTTGTATTTTTGCTATACTTGTCATCTAGTAAAGTCAAAATATCATTTTCATCAACGTTTGCAAAATGTCCGTCTTCCGTGTTTTTTCTGTAAACATTATGACGTCATGAAACTTTTTTTTAAAAGTAGCGGTCAACAGTACCTAGTAGCGGTCAACAGTATACAATTGTTGACCTCTCCACAGGTCAACCGGCAATATTGTATACCGAGACTGTAAACCGAGAAACTACTGTTGACAGAAACCGATACGTAAATATTTTTATTTCTTACGACGGGTCGTTAGTTACGACGGTCGTAAGTTACGATTGTCCCAAGAACGGCCCCCTGTTGACCCGTCTTCGTAAAAGACCTGGCCAATGCAATTGACGCAATGTCACGTGGCGTACCTGTGACACACGTGTGGGAATATTATTATACGCCGACGATATTGATTGTGCTAATCGTATGCAACGTATGCTGGACACTATGAACTGTTGGTGCAGTAAATGGCGTATGGCCGTTAATGGTCTTAAGACCAACGTGATTCACCATCGCGCACGTACAACATTACGTTCACATTTCCAATTTCACTGTGGTGACATCGATTTGGACTATACATCGAGTTACAAATACCTGGGAATTACACTCAACGAGCACATGGATATGGTGGCAACCGCCACAGTGCTGGCCAAGTCCGGTGTAAAAGGGTAGGAGGTCCTATCAAATTATGGTCCTACTCTCCATTGATCTATATGCATGGTCACCTGAATACAACTCTTTCCCTCATTATCTTATACGCAATCAGGGCCAGTAAGGGCCGTTAAGAAAGGGGGTCTTAATCCCTGGGGGACCATCATTTCTTTCACACCGGTTAACGTGCGCTTGGTGCCATAGTGGCCAAGTCAAGAGCAACAGGAGGATTATCATACGACGTATTCACTCATATCTATGACTCACTCGTAGGACCGGTGCTAAATCTCTCAATGACCAGCAGGTTTTGGAGTGCTGCTGGTCATTGTGACCAGCTGATTTTATAGTTGACCACCTCGAATTTTAATACTGCTGGACATGATGACCAGCAGGGAAATTTGGCTTAAGGCGTGCCCTGGTGCTCACGTATGACTCTGGAATTCGGGGCATTAATAAAGCAACAACTGCACCCGCGATCGACCGTCGTACCAAACAAAGCACAACGATTCTTTCTTGGTGTAGGCCAACATGCCCCCAGCTCGGCAGTACAAGGAGACATGTGCTGAACAAGCATTGATACACGACACAGTATTGAATCAGCACGGATGTGGTGCCGCTTTAAAAACATGTCACCTCAACGAACAATTAAGAAAATACACGTTTGGTCACTTAGCCCGCGCGGTTCCTGGGAATCAAAAGTAAAAACTCTGCTATCGGACAACGGAGCTGAAATGCTAATAACGCAGGATGAAATTTCTAATTGTGAAACAGTATTTGAAACAACTTGGACATCGTTTGAGCTCTACTGCACATGAAATCAATCACTGTGGAACGACCGCAGAAACCAAGAACATGGCACTAAACTAAGAACATATAGACTACATAAATCTCATGCGACAACCTGAGCCGAAAGTCCAAATGCCCATGCACAATTATGAGCGCAGTAGCTTAGCACGAATTCGATCAGGAACCCTCCCTATAAGAATCGAAACCGGACGATTTACAGGTGTCGAATTACACGACAGAGTATGCTCATGCAACCAGAGTGTTGAAGACGAAATCCATATCCTAATTGACTGCCCCTTGCACGTTGACAATAGGCAAGCATGTGCTTTACAAATACCGGACTTTAACAACTTATCGAGCATGGGCAAATATTGCTCAATGATGAACACTATCAGTACAAATACTCAGATTCTATGATAATGGTAAAATGGCTACCTTAGTAGAGGTATGTAGCAAGTTGTAAACTGTTAGGCTTAAAAAAGCTTTCGCATGATATAAAGAGCACATTGGGGTATGCTATTAAGGTTTGGTGGTTGACGGGGGACGGTCATTAATGAAACACCGACCCTAGTAGAAGTTCGACACAATACTTAAAACTTGAGCTGAGCTGTGAGTGATCCTTCAATGCATTCTCAGAGTCAGAATCTGAGAATGATTTTTTCATAAATTCTAAAATTGCTAGCAGATACATTGTTTGTGAAAAATGGAGGCATATTTTACATTCACGGGTTAACAGATATACCTGTACGAGACTTACAATACATAATTTTCCCATTGCCTTTAATGGATATGATAATAAACGGAAGGATTTGGACATCTATGCGGTTACCTGTATAACAGTTTACAGAAACTGTATCTGCATACTCAAATTGCTCAGATTCACCAGAATATACCTCCCAAGTGGCATTTATTTCACCCGGCACCATCGCTACGTCAAGGACTTTCATATAGACGTCATCCGGCTTATTCCAGAGTGTAACATACCAATATCTTATTTTCTCTGTAAGCACTACATGAAACAAGGACATGTTTCTGGATTCGTGAACATAGACTGGTCGTCCATTGGAAAGAGTTCCATTTAGAAAATAAATACCTCCTAGTCCCCTTTGATGACGAGGCAACCCAGTGAGCAGGAACCTTTCACAAGGTATAGGACCTGTAAATATGAATCGTCATCATTTCATCGTTTTAACGACAAATCCCACATTACTCTTTATTATCAAAACTTATCTTGAAGATATTTTAATGACATTTTTAAATGCGATAGCCCTATGTACAGATAACTAAAAATGTTTTCGCTGCTATAATATAAGGATTTGTCTTAAACGTTCATATTTCTTTTTGTATATCAAAATGTATTTGTTTATTGGATGCATAGATGCAAATACACATTTGCGTTTTAGGTAATTTACAGGGGTTTCAAAACAAATTTTCAGTGACGGGATATTTGTCGAAAAAAATCTTCAATAATTTATCAGTCATCTTTATAATCAAGACAAAAAATATTTATTACTTAGTATACGTGGTATATTAAAAACATAAAATATCATGTCACAGGAAACCACGATGGATACATACCAAAGTAACATTCGATCTTAATTTCGCCTCCACCGGTTACCTGCCACTTATGAACAATTTTTGCAGGGTTAGTTTCGTTTGTCATAAACGGTGATTCAAGAATAGAAGATGCTGAACTCAGTTGCCATTTTTTGCCATTGATCATACGGAGGGTGACTACACTATCGCTGTCAGAGTTTGCTTTTCTGTAAATCGGCACTCCATTGTCGTCAGATCCAGCAATACGATACGCACCAATGAGATGAGCGTTAGAAGCATCCCTTGAAATCCAGCTTACCCAAAGGCCATCACAGACACTACTGCACGATAGGGACAATTCATTCTCAGGAAGCCAGAGACCCGAGTTCAGAGACATCCACTGGCCAGTTATGGCAGATGGTGTCGTTGTTGTAATTTTCACCTTCAATCCAGCTTCTAATTCTCCAATAGTAGAACCAACCAACCAGTGACCACAGTGAAAGTAAAGGAATTCGGCTTCTATTAAATGCTTATAAACTGGTTTAAAATTCCATTCCATCGCTTGTAGGACAAATACTCCTTCTCTCCACCTTTGCTGTCGATTCTTTATGTTTGTTAATTTAAGTGATTGACAAGGTAGCTCACTGGTTCCTAAAAACATTAAGACATAGATTATAGACAATAATAAAATAATAGTACAAGTTGTTCGCTAAGTAATGCCACTGGGTCTCCCATTTTTACGGTTTTAACCAATCTTTCTAGAGTACATGATATGTAACAAGATTCATGTCATTGGAATGAAAATAGTTACTAGTAATTATCTGCATATAACATTTTGATTTTGTAACAATGTTCTTGACAGAGCACCTATTAAATCCCATTTAACATAATCCTGAGTTTATCACTTCTGCAAGCGTTTCAATATTTTACATCCAGCAGTCTAGGTCCATCGCCATTTGATATAATATTCATTTTATCTGCTTCAGTGCATTTTTGGTGTTACTAGTAATCGATCCATTCTTGAAAAATATTGCATGATTCCTTGACAAAATGGGACACCTGGTGTCATACCACATTGAACATCTTGTATAAACAGTCCAGAAATGCGATAATTGCATCACAGAATACACAGTAGTAGTTATACAGAGTGGGGCATTTACGTTTGTAGTAGCTTAACAATTTGTCAATTAAAATGTCAACCAGTCAAATAAAGATACTCTTATGAAAGATCACAAATTAAAAAAATGTATTCCCTCAATATGTACAACCTATCATAACCTTTGGTTTTCAATTATAAAGGAAAATGTAATTTTTATTTGTAAAGGACGATTCTCGGTTTGGAGAACGAAGTTCATCAATCTAAATGAGCATTATCCCTGCTTCGGACAAATTTGATTTTTTTACATAATAGAGATTTGAACGTCTTCTTTTGAATAGTCATAATTTATTTTGGGTTATATTTCTAGATTTTTCGCAAAAAAATATTAGCGCAGTACACTGATGAACTTCTTTCCCCAAATCGAGACTTGTATTTTATTGAATCGGTCTAATTGAGCGTTATCCCTGCTTCAGACCAATTTGTTATTTTTACATCTTGTAGATTTAAATGTCCTCTTTTGAATATTCATAGTCTAATTTGGGTAATATTTCTATATTTTTCATTAAAAAAATTATTAGCCCAGGAGACTGTTCTACAAACCGAGAATCGTCCTTTAAAGTTGTAAAGTAAAATAGGAATTGTACTTGTTGTGGCAATATTCAAGTTTGAATCCTCTCCGTAGACCAATACCATCAACGTAATCGATGTCATGGGATCTCAACAGTATTATGATCTCATTATCTCTTGAGACAAATGTAACATCTGGCAACACAGAGCCGCAGAATCTAGTACATAGAGGGAATCAATGGCTCATAAACAGTTATACACATGTGCATTCATCATATTCATTTACAAGAGTTACGTTGTCACTTGTATTTATATATTCTTACGTTTTTATCCATATTCTATGAACTTGTGCATAACTCATTTTGAAATACGAATGCGATTTTTTGTTCATACACCGAACAAAGACACTTCATCCTATCAAAAAAGGTTTGTTAGTCTTGCTTCAATACCCTGGATCCCTGGCCTGTTGAAAAGTAGATAAGGGGAAGGGGTGTGCAGGGTCTTGGAGCAAGACTAGAAATTCGTTGATACATTCGCACAGAATGCAACAAACTCTAGTCGACAATCGCTCGGAATGCAACGAAATCTAGTCGACAAAAAGAACAGTACAGAGTTGAAATGAAAATTAAAGAGAAAAAACCTTGGTCCTGTTTGTCCCATGTCGGAGAATCGAACTTCTATCCAATCTAGATATGAACAGCTCGAGCTCCCATTGGTTAAATCTATGCCAAAGTCATCTATAAAGTATGCATTCACATGTTGCCCAACTGGCGCCTACAAAGCAAAGACTTTTTTGATTCTTAATCTCGGTATCTGCAGTTGTAATTACAATCCACAGTAATAATATATATTGTAATTTAAATGTAAGATGTACAAACACGAGAAATCGAGGAGAACCAAACAACATACTGTAGCGACCCGGGTTGGCTTGTCATATTTTACCCTTGAATAAAATGCCAACCTTCCAACCGGTCTCGCTACTTCCCTTCCGCTCGGAGCGCGAAAAGTACCACCGCAGAGACAGGGTGATACACGAAATTGGTAGAGCTCTATATAGCTTCTGTATTCAGTACAACTATTTTGTAAGGGTTTGAAGCTTATAACCATACTATGTCCCGATCTCATGTACATTTAGAGAAATACCAGCTTGAAATGGTACATCTGTTTTTCGGGAGACTCTTCAACAATGCTTTTCACATAATACATACCGTGTTATATATCAAAACACACGTAATTGGTATGAAAAATATATGTTACAATAATATTCAATTTCTATTTTTCCTTTTTATGTAAGAGACGCTCAAAAGAACTCCATAGCATCTTAAAGTGCTCATTTTTACCATGTAAAACGTGGCATTTGGTGATTTCAAAATATGGTAATTTGGTCATAATTTTTTTATTCCTCATCCAATTTACCTCAAATTTGGTATGGGGCTATGGTGTTAAAACTGTATCAAAATTGGACATCTTATATTTATGTGATATCTCTAACACATAGAATAGCGTTTATCAGAATACATACACAATCCGTGTGATTTCATACATGGTTTGTTCGAGTTTGTACACTTTATGTTTGTAAAATCACACTTGTACCAGGTCGTTCAATAAGTTAACGGAAAAATGCTCTCATTTTAAAGATTTTTGATATTTTCTCATGAAATTTTCACACAATGTATAAAAAATACTTTCTGATTGATTCATAAAATATCAGCATCTCTTATTTGATTGGTCAAAAATAAGGGTTACTATGGTAACTTGACTTTTGGGTGGGCGGGGCACTTTTTGCGTCACATTATTCATTAGAAAAACAACAGAATTGTAGGCAATTTTTGAGTTTATCACATGATTTTTTCTCCACTGTCTACTTGTACATGATATTACTTAATGTAATAGTTACAACTATTGTCCCATAAGGTTTTAGAAATTATCTCCATCATGTTTAATGCACAGTCACTTGAATTCAACTCTTTGACGATACAGTGCTCTGAAGCCATCTAGAAACTTGTTTGAAAGGCAATCTGGACTGCAGTCGAAAGTTGTTTCATTGTTCCATAAAGTGCACCTAATAGCTGATCCTTCATCCTAGTGAAAACAGCAAAATCATCTGGAGAGTATGTACATGTAACTTGGGGCAGCTTTATCATCTATCATGCCAGTTATTTGTGATGGTTTCCTGCACAATATGAGCAGTGTGATCGGCTGCATTATCCCGATGGAAAAATTTAGAGATTTGCTGAATGGTTAAGTTTTAATCAACTTTTCATAGCATTACTCTTTTTTGATTTTTGGCCCACTGGTAAAGCATTGACTAGCAGGATTTCAGAAATGTTCATGAAAACAATGAACATCAACTTTACCTCAGAATATTTGTAATTTAAAAAAGAACAAATAAAAAATAGAAATCCTTCATTTGCACACATTTATAGATTTCTGTAATGGTAAATTCTGTGACGTAAAAAGTGCCCCGCCTACCCAAAAGTCAAGTTACAATAGTAACCCTTATTTTTGACCAATCAAATTAGAGATGCTGATGTTTTAAGAATCAATCAGAAAGTATTTTTTATACATTGTGTGAAAATTTTATTGGAAAATATCAAAAATCTTTTAAATGAGAGCATTTTTCCGGGAACTTATTGAACGACCTGGTACATGCGTATTTGTGTATGCATTGTTTAAAAATGACATCGAACAAAGTACACAAGTCGAACAAATGCTTATGCGGCTCGCACAAACGTTTTTCCCTTCACAAACCATGATGTGCCGATCAAACACCTTGATGTACCGATCACACACATTGATGTAACATAAATTGCTTTCTAGAGATGTTCGAGATTTTGTTCTAAATCTCGCGTTACTTTTGCACTGAACGAAATAACACATCAGCGCGGCAAAAAGATAAAAATATCTCGTTTGTAGTTTCTCAATAAATGGCCACTGTACGTCTCCCTAGCCTATGGCCTAGGGTATCCTATTATATATTTTTTATTTAAAATTTACATTTTATTACATTTCAACGGAGGGCGCCATATTGTATAAACCAGGATGTAAATATCACGTGACTTCAAATCTCGCACCCTATGTGAAGTGCAACTTGTTTGTGACAGCCTATGCGAGCGGGAACCAACCTGTGCGATTTTGAACTCAATGCGTGTGTAAAATTGACACGTTCGTTCGAAATTTACTTTGATCCATGTGTAATTCTTTCAGTATTCTATGCAACTTATAACACAATCCGTGTGACATTTCAACATTGCTTTTGGATTTCTGGAAAGTGATTGGAGTTAGTGCTAACTCTTTGTGTGACACTTGATACAACCAGTGCGTGTGTGAATGAAAATAAGTTATGTAAGAAAATTAACTGTTGGTATAACATGGATTGAAAATGGCATACGATGATGCGACTTTCGCATATAATGATGCGTATTTCGCATAGTATGATGCGAGTTTCGAATCATATAGTTCGAGTATCGCATCATATAGTTCGATTTTTCCCATTCATCATGTAATGTCCAATTTTGATACAAAATAAATTCCATAGACTACAATGATTACAAATGACTAAGTAAGATAGTGGCTACATGAGCGCTTACAATCAAAACAACATTAATTTTAAAAAAGCGAATTGAATGTCTAAAAGGTGGCGCTTTAAATGAAATACCTGGGAGTCACATATAAAGACTCACCTGCGCTCTGAGCATATTAAAAATCAGGCCAGACCCTTCAGGCACCAATTACAAAATTTTAACAAGTAAAAACAATCACAATTCACAATATATATCAAGTTCCAAATTATGGAATTATGGAAGTTGATTCGCCTGGAGCCGCCATATTGTTTTTATACGGGATGCTAATCGGAACCCTTTAAAGCGCCGTGCAAAGTCGCTTTGCACACCACTTTAAAGCGCCATCAAAGCGCCGTTGGTGTGACTTAGCTTTAACGATACCTCATGATTGTAGCGTATGCACTTAAATAACCTGATGATTGTAGCATGTGTGCTTGAATTACCTGTATGAGCCACGTACACGGTACACGATACCTCATGATTGTAGCATGTGTACTTGAATTACCTGTATGAGCCAGGTACATGATACCTCATGATTGTAGCGTGTATGTGGATAACCTTCCGGGAAAGACAGCTCAGTCGCAAATTGATTGGCAGGAAGGACTCCACCACATTCTAAAATGAAGAAAACATCAACAATTCTGAATCTGAAGAGTAGACTGGCTTATTTTATTATTTATTTTAAAGATAAAACTAATATATACCGTATTCTGAAGAGGCCAATGTATCGCACAAAGGCCCAGTCCATCCGTCATTACATCGACAAGCACTGCAATTGAGTGGATCCCTGTATCCTCCATGTTGGCACTCAGACCACACGAGTGTTTTGAACCCTTGGCATCGTTCTAATGGGAACAAAACTGACTAAAAGGCATTTGAAAATTAGACTCACACGTTTATCCAATAGAATAGTCGAAAGCTTTACAATAGGCTAGGCAAATGGAAGTTTAACATCCCAAAAATTGCAACAGTTTTTAAATTAGGCTTATATTGTATATTGATACCAGTTGAAAAACATATCAAAAATATAGAAAAATATATGCAGTGGACAAATATGAAATGTCACATTCTAGGTACCCCCCTCCAAATTTGAGTATGGGATTGTAAATATTTTTTTATTTCAAAATGGAATACTCTTGTCAACTAAACGAGTAATATTATGATAGTTTACTGACATAAGAGCAACTAAAAATTGTTAACCAACTATTTGAGTGCAATAATTGGCATTTCTAGCGCCAAATATCTGAAAATAGGCCATCAAATAGCCCGAATTTAATATAACAATGTATTTATTTCTGTATCAATTCATCAGAGATGCATGAAAAATATCAAGGAGAGTATTGTACACCTGAGCATTGTCTTTGATAAGTATCAGGGTCATTAAGTGAACATTGAGCGTGAAAATAATATTTGAAATTTCAATATTTTACCACACCCACTTTTGGGGTGACCTTACTTTTGTTTAATTACTTCAAGATATGTCGTATTTGAACTCAATAGCACAACTAAATTATTTGTAAAGGCTTATTTTGTCCTGAAAACAGTTTTTTGAGGTTTTCAGGAAAGGATTATGTAAAAAAAAGTAGAAAAACAGCAAATGCCAGGTGAAATATAGGGGAAGCCCTACTTTTAGTTGATAACTGTTAAATTATCAAATGTTTTTCCTTTTAAATTCAATTTGATATATAATATACCTTTTCTGGTAAAACAGAGAACGATTTGTTACAATCAGTGGTCAAAAAATGTCCTTGAAAAGGCAACAAAATGTTAAATATCCCTGTCCCTGACATCAGTTTATGAGCCAAAAAAGGTAATCCAACCAAATGTTTGTTAATAACCCAGTCATTCAGCATGGGTTTGACATCATATTTGGCACAATTACCTTGTTCAATGTTCTTTCATTCTACTAAGTGTCATTGATCTATCCTTAATAGTCACGATTTTATGGCTCAAAATATCGAAATGTGCCTAATTGACTGGACACCAATACCACCATTTTTTTTTATCTGTGGACCTTTTTTCGATACTAACAACACTTGAAACATTAAAACAAGAGATAAGAATGAAGATGAGAGTCATAACACATGATTTTTATGCTCCTGATTTGAATAACAACGCACGATACGTTCAAGTTGGCCTCCAGGCATGACACCCATATCATGGCATGGTATAAAATGGCCATAAAATCGTGACCACTAGAGACCACTGAGACTGGGTAGATTGATAATACATTGACCAAGACTCAATTCTGCCAAATATGACACTAAATCCATGCAGGATGATTGGACTGGATTATTAAGATTTGTTTGGGTTACCTTTTTGGCTCGCCCTGTATTAAGGAAAAATTGTTACTTTTGACTAAGGTGTTCTTACCCTTTGCATTCGTTTGACTTTACTTCTTAAAAGAGAGCTTCGTCTTCACTCTTTCAAACTAAAATAAACCTGTGAACTCACCGCGCCAATCAGTGTTCGTCGGCCAAATTTGACCGACGTTCTTTATATGGTCAGCCTGGAATTGACCAATGACATGTGCATATTTAATTAGAACGCATTTGGCGTATGTTTCTTCAAGCTTGCTGATTGGTGGAAGGTCAGCGCGTAGGTCAAAAGTAATTTACCCAAACTGTCACCGGTACCCGTTGTGGGGGCGGGGCTACTAAACTGTAATATGGTCTCTACTAGGCAGAGTGTAGTTTAACTAGACTCTGCACGCAGGGTGAGGTGTTCTTAACCACACAGTGATATTGAGAAATGAAATGAAGAAGTTCAACTGAAGAATGTTCGATTTCAAGAGGGGGGGGGGGGGGGGGGCAAATGTCAGGTCTGAGAAAAAAACTTCCGCGGAAAAAATTTTGGGCCCCTAAAACCCTGAAGTGGGCCCAAATTTTGAAATATTGAGACCCATTTTCTTCAATTAAAAAATAAGACTTAAAAAGGCTCATTTATGACCAAAAAGGCCCACTTTTCGGGGCCTTAAGGCCTTTTTGGGCCCAATTTTTTTTCTGGGTCCGCCCAAGGGGGTGGAAGGGGCCCAGATCTGCCAGTGTTCATTATTTAGTCATCATTATTCTCATGATCAGTAATGGAGGTATTTGCACAAATGCCTTTGCATACCTTACATGTCAAAGAACAGTTATTTCATTTTTCTACAAGAACATCTCATAGAAATACAATCTGCCTTACACATACAATGGATGATCTCTGAGAAAGGGGAGCTGCATTTAGGCAATTGGTACATAGTTTCGTTGCTTATTTCCCAGCCCAATTATAATGGAGGCAGTTTATTTCCCTCCCACTCCTGGATCTGATGGTACACTCTGTAACTGTGGTATTCCGCAGCATCAGAAAATGGAGGAAGAACACGGGGCTGCAATAATTCAGATCTTGCTGCTCTCTTTTAATAGAATTTTAGAAGCCTAAGATAATTTAGGATTTCACCATTTTTCCACCATAAATTGACAAAAGAGCATGTTCCTCTGCAATGACAGAGTTGCAAGTGCATTTCACTGGTTTTCTACTTGTTTACGTTGTAACAAAATGTCGGAACATCGAAGGTTTGATTTTTCTTTTTTCTTTATTTCACACATTGTAGGCAGAATTCCCACAACATTGTTATCACAAACATGTATCAGTATCATATGTTTAAAAAATGTACATATTTGCGAACAAATAGTTCAGAAGACAACAGAATCTTCGATTTAATTCCTCACTTAAGTTACATAAACGGTATTTCGATAAACAATTAAGATCTGCACTTTTAACTCAAACCGTTTATTTAACTTAAGTAAGGAATTAAATCAACAATTCTGTGAGAAAAAAAACATCGTGGGGATTCTGCCTACAACGCGTGAAAAAAAGGAAAAAAGAAATATCGTACTTTCGACGTTTAGACATTTTGTTACCGAAACGACAAGCGTAATCGAACGGATCACCAGTGCTTTTGGTAATTTAAAAACAATCGCTTGTTTTCTCAAGAACTCACTCTTTTTTATCTGCCTCAATGATAGCCTTTTGTCCATGCCATATATAACCTGAATGCGATGTCACACCCCAGAAAAGAAACAAAATATTGTCACAGACCACTTTTCCAAAGACAATCTTATTTCATTTATATTCCAACATTTTGTTTCTTGGGTTGCTGCTTTTGGTTCAGGTTTGAAGAAAATATTGAAGTATGTGTTTTGTGCATGATAAATGAGAAGCACAAGGAGATCTGTATGAATACTGTATTTGAGGTTTGGACACTTTGGATTGCAGTTTTCACAATCACAATATCTGCATCCGATTCTGAATGCAGCACATGTACACTCAATGTTTTCCAACCTGACAGACAGAATTACCATCATTCCTATGCACTGAAATTATATTAATGAAAGACTCCCCAGATATCTGAGATTTTAATGTTCTCTGTCAGTTTAAATTCCGTTTAATAACCAAAAATTCGTTTCTACAGCATTATACATCCAATTGATAGTTCCATAGTAATGTACTCTTATGTAATGATTTATTTATCTGATGAATTTAAATATATGCAAATTTTGTAATTGCGGATCGTAATTAATAATTTAAACAATATTAAATTCCACAAAAACTACAACTTACATTATTTATATAAGCCTAGTATAGAGCAATTATCAAAGTGGTGATATGTAATTATTCATCAAATAAAAGTGAGGTCACCTTAACATTTCACCTGGTGCAACTAATAATTCCTATTTTTCATACTAATAAGGTATAAACCTTCACAAAACTTGTATTTTAGATGATGACAAGCCTATATAAATGATTTAGATGTCAACTCTAATACAAATGTGATGCATTGTGGGAGTTAATCATCAAAACTATAGTCTCCCCTATAGTGGGCGGGGCAAAACTATGAAAATGAAATTATTTTTTTCTTCCTAAGTATACACCTTAGAATTCTGACACTCACCAAATATGAAGTTCATATGAATATGTAACACCATGATTTTTTTCATGCTTTTCTGACAAACTGATCCTAAAATATCTAAATAGATATGTGATAACATGCCTGTTTTGTGGCCTATTTTGTTATACTTTGGGGTCAAATGACCAATTACTGGTCTCAAAATTGATTAAAATAATATTTTAATTATTTGTGAATATGTGATCTATCATAGTAAAGCTTGAATACTTGACTAAAGTATTCCATTTGGGAAGAAAAAATTGTTTCCTACCAATACTCAATTTTGGGGTAGGGTTGTAGGGGGTACCCAGGAAGTGAAATTTCATATTTGTCCACTGCATACATTTTTCTATACTTTTGATATGTTTTTCAACTGATATTAATACATAATATAAGACTAATTTAAAAACTGTTGCAATTTTTGGGATGTTTGGGCCTTTTATGAGCCCATTTGCTTGGCCTACAATGACAGTTTTAGTTTTCAATGTTTGTGGAATCCCGTGATAGCTCGGCCCAACTACAATTCAATTGTTCACATGCTCCTGAGAATGAGAAATATACCAAATCGAAGTTTTTGTGTCGGTTTGTTCAAGTAGTATCATTAAACTTAAATTTGGACAGAAACACATGTTAATATTAACATTAACAGCACTTCAGAAACATACCATTACAATAATGAAAGTTGAATATCATGGCGTCTGAGAAAGACAACCCAACTCGTTGCCCCATTGTATTTAGGTATATTTTATTCCGTGATGTGATCGTATCTTCGCCATCTAAGCTAAAGGCCTGTAAATACATAAGCAGAAAATATCACCGAACGTACAAGTAGAATGTTGTAGTTTTATTTCTTCAAATACCACATGTATTCGTATAAGAAGATACAAATACAAGTAAAAAAATACAAACTAGGTTAATAAGTCCAGCTTAATTTGAAGAAGGATGCCCAATTTGTACGTGAATCTAGCCTTGCTTCAGAAAGTAGAATGAACCAATGTTCCAAGTCATATATAGAATACTGACATTATTCAAAAACTTTCTGAGATTTTTTAATGCAAGCAATTTATAAGGTCCTGGACCTGGTTGCATGAGTTCGAAATTTTCACATACTTTCCATACTTTCACAATTTTCAACATTTGTAACAAAATACACTAGAATACTTATACCCTTTTATTGTAGTGCATGACGGAGCTGAAGTCATATTCTATGTTATCAGTGAACGTTGTAATCCAGTTTTTTCTTAGAAAATTGTATGCCATGCCTCCCACAATGGAGCCATTATTTATCGATACGTAGGAGTTTCTATCAGGCCTTGATTGTTCGTGTACAAGGCCTAATGCGTGTCCAATCTCGTGCTGAATCGTGCCGGGCTGAAAGACATGAACACGATCAGTTTTTGTCTGCATAAGTAAGTCATTTCGCTACCTTTTGCTCGTTTATATGTGGTGTGCAATCGGGATCCATATATGGATCTTTAAAACCTTTGAGGTTCACTTGAAAACATTGGGCCCGGAAATCCCATGTCATAAACCCACCAAGTTAACATTTGCTGTCAATAAACACGCCCGGTGATCGTAAAAAATGGACGGAGGAGGAGAAGGCGATTTCTGCAAGAAAACTCAAGAGGAAGATTCATCTTTTCAAAGAAAATTTACAACTGAATTGCCAAATGAACAGGCGCAGTGCAAATATGTGTGGTCTTCGAGTATTTTTTTTGAATTGATACGCTTCTAAGATATGAGATCTATTAAAAAAGGCCCATCATCACCAACGTGCAAAAGTCAATGTTTTTGCTATAAATCAGGCAACAATGGTCTACACGACCTGTAATTAATAGGTATAAGGGACGTTATTATCACAACACTAATGACAATGCTCACTTTTTAAAGTTAGTTTCCATGCGTTATACAAAAAATAATCGAAATAAATTAATATTGGATGGAAGGGGGAGTGGATGGAGGGGGAGAGTATCGTGTATATAAGACATGAAAAGACATGCTACTAAAATTAGCAATTTATTTTTTGTTTTGTTTTTGGGATAGTTCTTAAATGCCTCAAAAAATAGCCCAATTACATTTCTAAAGTCCTTAAGGATTGCAGTAGTGTGTGTATATGTAGAGAATTTTATAAATAAAATGTGCAATTTATATTCTGCATTTGTTTTTTTCTCTGGCTAAATGCCTATTTTAAAGCAAATCTTGATTAAAAAGTTCAACTTTGTTTATACCAAACGCAGCCATTGTACCAATCCAAAACGCACAGCGTCCAAGATACCCAACCTTAGACCTGAAGTCTCACCATTGAACTGTTTCCTTATATATACCTGCGTTTCTTATACTAAGTATAACTGACCTAATAGTATATTAGGCGTAAGGTCTTAAAAACTAATGGTATACTCATATGTCTGACCTTAGGCCTAAGGTATTGTTGATATACCGTTTCTTAGTTTACATGACCTTAGGCCTAAGGTCTCCCTAATAAATGGTTCCTTATACAACCGACCTTAGGCATAAGGTCTCTTCGATATATCAAATATTGTTAGCTGACCTTAGGCCTAAGGTGTCAGTAATACATGGTTCCCTAATACACTCGACCTTAGGGCTAAGGTCTCGTCGATATAACGTTTTGTGATTTACAAGACCTAAGGCCTAAGCTCTAATCAATGAACGGTGTCCTTATACACTTGACCTTAGGCCTAAGGTCTCGTCAATATTCCGTTTCGTGTTTTACGATGAATGGTTTTGTCATATACCTTCAATACAGCTGGCCTTAGGCCTAAGGTATAAATTACATATAACAGACCTTAGGGGGGTTAGTTGAAAATGTAACTGAACACTTGAGAATGTGTTCTATGGTGTATAACAACTTACCAACATGCAATGAGTTGCAGATAACCTGACATCATTTATTCCGGTGGGATTCTTTCCAATAAAGGATCTACACACGCTGCAAATTATGACATAGCATGAATTATTATAGACTCCAAACAGAATAGTATTTAAGAAATATAGACCGAAGAGCAGAGGTACTTTTAAGTACTCTAGATAGACTTCATACCTCTCATCTGTAATAAATCTAATTCCGGACGCATATGTAGGAATGTACCATACTTCTTGGAATGACGCACATGTCAGTTTTTCCCATTCTCGTATGCCGTCTAGAATCCTCATTCTGATAGTTTCTGGAAGATGAATAAACAAATGTAAACACTGAGAAAAATTTATAGAAGGCGTGAATACAATCATGTTCGAATTCATTTTATATGAATACATAATTTAATTCCCGTGTACGGCATTTTTAACGTATGTCAACAGGCCAGGGGTCTATAAAAATGTGTTTTCACTTTCAGCACATCACATAAATGACTTAAAATGACAGTAAAGGTGAGTAATTCTATTCAGTAATTCAGTCAAACAGGTTAACCTTTATGTGTACAACGTATTTTTCATAACACTAATGGACAGGGGGTCGGATGTATAACGTAAGGTACCATATTGTAGGTCATTCAAAACTCTCGAGGGGGTGTATTGAAATCTCAAAAAAGGTAGGTCAAATGGGGTCAAAAGTAGGTCAAAGTGACATAGGGGTGAGCTTTTTTCGCGTATCTTTTTACTTTTTTCAATCAAAAACAACATATAGTGTATTTTAGCCAGAAAAGGGTACACAATGTGATAGATGTATATAGTATCTGTCTTTTTAGGACAAAAACCGTGGGTAAATACATTTCCTATATCCAGAGATAGGTAGTTTGGTCGAAAATTTGACAAAATAAATATCGAAAAAGTGGAGACAAATCACAGCCCAGGACCTAAGATACTGAATAGATAATATATTTTTTAAATAATCTCATAGGACATACCCCTGGCTATAATATAGAAAAAATTATTTATATGTATATACGAAATCTTGGATATTGGTTGAGTAATAGCAGAGAAAATTTGTTTTTAGTGCATCTTGGCTAGCGAAAACGCAATCTTGCGTGTTGAAAATAAGTGTATTTGAGCCAAAAGTTGCAGCATTGACATATTCTCATGGTTTATTTTCCTTCTAGTTATAGATGCTATATGTCTCTACTGGTACATAATCAAAATATTACATAGAATCAGATGTTTGGCTCTATATTTACTGATTTATGAAAATTATTTTAAAATAAATAAAGCCAACCGAGATGACAGAATTTTTTTTTCTCAAAAACTAGAATTTCAAATACAATTTAATCTTACCCACTTGTTTGCTACATTCCTCAAATAAGTGTGTAATATTTTGATGCATATTATACATTCTAAAGTTTGTAAATTATGCATATTAAAAAGGAAAAATGACTAAAAAATAGCCGCGAAACGGAAAAATCTTGGGGTAGGGGAAACAAAAAAATTATTTCTACAAAACAAATAAAGATATGGTAATATAGGTTTTGTAGACATCTGACAAACATGGTCAGGACCTCCCAGAAAAAATTTCATGGATGATCACTAGTTTTTGAAAAAACTATTTTTACTCAAATTATTTGGATCGAAACGCGAATCGACCACAATATAATATTGAAACTTCATATCTCAGTCAATAAAAGTCAGATTACCTTGTAATATGGTTTCTTTGCTTATATGTTTATTCTATGAAACCATAGAGATGGTGTGATTTTCAAGCAATTTCTGAAAAAAATCTACGACAATTCAGAATCAGGAGTAGATTACTGGGCCAGACGGGTTTGGTTATGTTAAGATACAATTATATGGGCAAATTCATATATATGTGAAATAGCTGTCAGGACTCTGGAACAGGACTGTTGCAAGGATGTTGCAAGGCTACCAGAGAATGCTATCAATCAATTAAATGCCATAAAACTATAATTTGCACGATTCATTCCGATGTGCTTTGAAATTGTTCTGACAGTTGGCATTAACAGTCAGGGGGAAGTTATAGATTTAAGGAGTCTGGGTACATCTTCTAATTGATGAGCAACATACGTGGCAAAAAGAAGAAATCTTCGAAGGCAAATTGGATCGGAAATGTCCACCTTTCATCCTTTTCACGTCTAACCATCTTTCTTTTTACTCTATGTTTAACTTTATCGTCTTTGTTCTTCGAGTCGAGTCCCATTTCTTTTAGTAGCTGGTGAATTGGTTTCATTGTTGCTGGTCCATGACGTGGTTGTGTTGAAGTGATGTTTTCATTAATGTTTGCTTCAATGTTTAGCTCGTAGATAGACTCTTTAAGCAAAGACAACAATATTATTCTAATCTTTTGATTCTTATTTAGCACAATATCTCCTTCGAATTGATCTTTAGATACGTTTACCAAATTTAAGATCTCATCTAAATCGCTTTCAGATAGCTGATTGAGTAACCGATTTTGGTTGTCGCAGTTTTTATTTTTCTCTTGTAGGATATACATTCCTTCAGTCGTGTAGAGATTGTCAAATGTATAATTGCCGTGCACATCCGAAATATATCCAGCTACTTGCTCAGGAGCATTATTCAAAGCATCCAACGTATGTTTGTCTTTATCATATTTCGTTAGATTGATTGTAGTATCACCCGTTATTTCGTTGTTTTGAAGTGTTAGACAATAAAACATGAGTATACATTTGATATCCATCGCAACAACTGTTAAATCCAAATCTAATACCACATGTTTACCAAGTTCTGTAATATATTTTATTTCATAGTAGCCGGGACAGAACAATTCCCAAGTCTGTATATTAGCTATCATTTCTTCACTTTTAAGAGTTAAGTCACGACATTTTGCGTGTCTATTCCCTGGAGAAATCCTAACATAGAATTTATTTGGTTGTAATTATGATCCAATTTGTTAAAAATAGGGAAAGAAATTAGAGAGTACATACAGACTTGGGAGTTGTTCTGTCCCGGTTACTATATTACTTATACACCGTTGCTAATTCACACATTCGGAATATTTTTTAAGGTTTTATACGATACACTTTGTATACCATTGGTTGTTTTTCTTAACTTTGTTTTAATACTTTATTTAAACATCCTGATTTGTATTTCTGTACAACTGTTCAAGTTGAGTAACCGAAATAGTGATACTAAGTATGAGACGCACTTGCAAATGTTGGATCAACTTAAAATCGCTTAGGACCATATATGTATATATGTTGTTGTTGTTGTTTCTATTTTATCAGAACTTCCAGAGTTTATTACTTTCTATATTCCAATAAAGGACCGCGATGTGTTTGTTCAGTAGAATGAATCGGACTATCGGGGAAGTTTTTTCAGGCATTTCGCTTGTGTTTTTCATCTAAAAAACATCATTACACTTTAAAGCATTTTATTGACTATAAGATTACACCATAATTATAATTTAAAAAATATTTTCACTTTCAAGGATTAACCCAGGTATTTTTATTTTTTATTTTTACTTTTTAAACTTCAGAGGGCTTGGAATCCTTGACTACGAACGTTTTTGAATAATATAAATGCTGTTTTAAATATAGGTTTCATGTATGTCAATAATTTCTCAAATTGTGTAGACTGTTAATCCCTAGAATATTCTCTTGGAGGGATTTCCCATATAAATCCAATGGTATAGTTCCAAGTAGATTTTGAGATAACAGGAAAGTTAATCTTTAATACACACCTTATTGGGTTGTGATATAAATCAAAGCAACCCAATACGGGAAATTTGTCATACAGGATTGCCTCACGTTGTTTCAAACCTTAAACTGTATCAAATTTGGGCATCTTATACAGGGTGGTCCAAAAAAATGGGACACTCGTATTTCAAAAATAAATATTGATTTTCTTGATGAAAAAATGTCATATTATATACCAGTGGATAGGGAATTTACTTATCTTTAATTTGGTTTATCATAAATCCAAATTTATTATAATGTCTGTCAACCAGCGTCCATAATATAAATGACGTGATTTTCATTTCAAAACAGGTTTTCCAAATCTTACAAAAACAAGTTTTTACATAAACAGACGTTCAATATGTCCACCATTTTGATTAATTGTACCCCTCAATTTTGGCCTCAACTGGCCAATAGCATCATTGATATGCTGTTAAGACAATGAATTTGACTTCTCATTAATTCAATCCTGCTCTCAAGAGACTGAATAGATGTAATAGATCCATGGTACACCAATTCTGTTAGTTCGCCCCATACATGTATGGTAGTGGCAGACGTTTGGCGATCATGTGATCTGGGGGAGGCAGTGATTAGGGGGATGAATCTAGGCACATTTTCCTTTTAACATTGATACTCTTGAGCATTCTATTGCTTGGAGCACAATATTGTTGGAAAATGTAATGATTCGAGAATGAGCTCATATCAGAATGGTCTAAAAACAACATAATTGGATATTGCGAGGTCAACGTCTGCGACTACCACGTATTGGGAGAACTAACAGAATTGGTTTATCATGAACCCCTTACATCTACTCATTCCCTTATTAAGGATAGACTTGCTGAGAAGTGGAATTCATTGTCTCAACAGAATATCAATGATGTTTTTGACCAGTTAAGGCCAAAATTGAGGGATATAATTGATCAAAATGGTGGACATACTGAACATCTGTTTGTGTAGATAAAGTTGACAAAAAGCTTGTTTTTGCAAGTTTTGGAAAACCTGTTTTGAAACTAAAATGACATCATTTATATAACAGAAACTGGTTGACAGACATTACAATAAATTTGAACTTATGATATACCAAATTAAAGAAAAGTTAATTCCCTATCCACTGGTATATAATATGAAATGTTTTCATCAAGAAAATCAATATTTATTTTTGAAATACGAGTGTCCCATTTTTTGGACCACCCTGTATTTATGTGATATACACATAGAATAGCGTTTAATATGTTTATGTTACGTTTACACTCTATGTTTGTAAAATAACACTTGTACATGCGTATTTATGGATGCATTGTTTAAAAATGACAATTTTTAAAATCTCGTGTGACTTTGGACTTTTTATGGAGGGCGCCGTATTGGAGAAACTAGGATGTTAAAGTCACGTGACTTCAAATCTCGCACCCTATGCAAGGTGCAAGTTGTTTGTGACAGCCTATGCGAGCGGGAACCATCCTTTGCGAGTTGAACAGAATACATGTGTAAAATTGACACATTTGTTCGAAATTTCCTTTGATCTGTGTTCATTTCTTTTAATATTCTATGCTACTTATAACACAATCCGTGTGACATTTCAACATTGCTTTTGATTTTTGCAAAGTGATTCGAGTCAAGTGTAACTTTTTGTGAGACACTTGAAAGAATCGGTGCGTGTGAATGAAAATAAGTAATGTAAGAAAATTAACTGTTGGTATAACATAGATTGATAATGGCATACGATGATGCGAGTTACGCATGTGATGATGCGTATTTCGCATATTATGATGCGAGTCTCGAATCATAAAGTTCGATTTTTTACATGGATCATGTCATGTCCAATTTTGATACAAAAAAATCCATATTCCCATTCTACCATCGGGTTTCTACATAAACTATTCCAATTCATGTCACAGAATAATGACATTTAATTTGAATTTTCAGTTATACTCGTATTTTACTCGTATATTTTAAAGCATGTTCAAGGTTGTCTCTATTTGCAGTATTTTAGATATTCTTTTTTGAAAGTTTAGTAAATTATTGCCCGACACTATTCAAAATGATTATTGTATTGAGTCTGATGAATGTGACTATGGTGCGGATCACAACCAGGATGTTAAAACATAACCTCAATTTTTAACCAATGGAATTTAATGTTCGCTGACCTGCGACGTTTGTTATTGAAGGATGTTCAATTATGAGACAGTGATATATATGTGCAGTGCACCTGTTTATATGACAACATTTGTGTAGTCGTGTTTAAGGCAAACGTTTAAAACCCAATCTCGATGTCCAAAGTCTCATTCTTCATAATTTAGAATATCTGCATTTCTTAACACCAAAGGCTTACAGGTAAATTTCATTTCATTTCAATCATCTATTTTGATTTGGTACTTCCCAGGATTTTTAAGTGTTTCTGAAAAGATCGGGCTAAATTCCAATTGACATAATTTTAGAACGTTTTATCTTTTGAGGATCACAATTTTAATGTCAAATCACATTCAGCTTGTCAACAAGGCCATCTATTTCACCCCATGCAGACAGATAGCGTAAATTACATTCCTATGATGCGAGACTCGACATTAAGCAGGAAACTTTCTTTACTGCCAATAAATGGTGAATGACAGTCACATTATGTTCTACAAGAATGAGAATAGCATGACATTTTGATTTTTCAACTCGTTTGAAAAGTGATAGCGGTGATTGAAATTACGATGTCAAGATAAACCGCAACCGAATATTTGTATTTATTTGAAAAACACATCATATATCGAAGTTTTCAAAACAGAAAAATATGTATGAATAGTGAGGCTTACAGGTCCCATCCCCCCTGGTTGCGTTAACATTTATTTCATGTATGTCATACAATTAATATTTGAAACACAAATATTATTCGGACTTATGATCGGTCATAAGTAAAACCTCAAGCTCATGACAGATTGTTATAAAAGTTAATATCAATATGATGTTGATCGTTTGACCTTGACTTATTCTTCAATTGGAATGAACTTGTCCAAAGGCCTTGACAGGTCAACTACCTAGATATTCACATTTGACCTTGAGATGAATTTGGCCAATGAACATTGACTTTGACCGGCCTTAGGTGATCACCTAATCATGAGTCGCCGAGGGCCTAGGGCCAAAGTATCTTCCAAACTATATAACTTTGGTAGAACCACGGTAGAATATGATGTGATATTCAACTGTCTTATCTGATTAGCATGGCGATTGAATACCGGCAGATATTTCATGACATATGTGATCAGGTTTTGACCAATCACATTGTATTTACTGTTCTTTGGTAGAATGTAATGAATGCAAATGTATTCTCCTAAATAAACACTAGTTTTTGTAAACAAAATGACGCTAGTGTTTGTATTATTCCCAGATATTTGTATGTTTTTTAGAAAAACGTAACGACTAACCCACCATATCCGTTTTCTTGATTGCAGTCGATTGACTCTGTAAATGTAGGCCATCAAAACTACTTTGGGTTGCATTGGCCCAAAGATGTTCACTTTTATGGGATGCATATACGTTTGACAAAACGTAAATCGCAATAAGGTCATTATGTTAATGCTTCACACAAATAATTCCGAAAATATGTGTCTGGGAGTATGTGCTATAATGTAGTAACACAGCCTTGTGACACAATCCAAATATTTGTTCATATTATCTTCCTGTCAATATATTCCTTCAACTATTAAACCCTTGATGCGCATGCCGCTCCTATATCCTGCTGAATTTGAGGTTCTTCTTTCTTTATTTCACATTTCTTCTTTCTACTCAACTGGTTCTTCCAAATATTAGAAGCTGAAAACAAGACAACTAATTAAACTCTTATGTTCGAGACACATGAGTAAAACCTCACATTTGAGACACACAGTCTCATGTTCGACACACAAAATATTTAGTCCCTCAACTTTAACATGAATTAATTTTATGGATAATCATGTAAGTAAAGTAATATTCCGACTCAAAAGAATCATTCACTATACAATATATGTTAATCTTACTTAAAATAAAGTGTTGTGTTTCTCGTTGCATTTATAAGAAGATGATGTGAGTGCATTATATGTCACTACACACCACAATGTGAATGCTGGAGGTCACCATGTTATCGTTGGAGTGCAATGCTGCAAAGCCTGAGAGTGTGTGGATCTCCTTTCAGTGCATAATATGTCACAAAACGCTACAAAGTATGTGCCCGATCGAGATCACCATTTTATCTTTGGAGTGCAATACTACAAGGCCTGGGAATGTGTAGATGTCCTTTCAGTGCAAAATATGTCACAAAACGCTACAAAGTATGTGCCCGATCGGGATCACCATTTTATCTTTGGAGTGCAATACTACAAGGCCTGGGAATGTGTAGATGTCCTTTCAGTGCAAAATATGTCACAAAACGCTACAAAGTATGTGCCCGATCGGGATCACCATTTATCCTTCAGCACCCAATTAAAGAGAGATATACAGGGTGTCCAATAAATAAGGTAAAAGATATTGTAACTTTCTTAATATGGCATCAATCTTGATGAAATTTTCAGAGTCTGTAGCCCAAAAGAGAGAGGTTGAATAGGCATAAGAAATGTATAGCTAGAGATGGACATGATGTTGAATAGCTTATTTTCATAACAATGGGACTTTAGGACTGTTTTTATATTGTATTTGTGGTAGTAATAGACCTGAAAGTATGAATAAAGCTATCAGAAAGAATAAATATGTTTTAGAAACTTGTGTCGTAAACAAACTTGCCCCACCTTTTTGTTGTTTCGGTTGCTATAGCAACCACAACTCTGGCCAATCAAATAGGAGACGCTTTAACTTTACAGAATAAAGATAAAAAGGTTTGGGCTACAAACCCTGAAAATTTCATCAAGATTGGTGTAATATTAAGAAAGTAACAATATCTTTCACTTTATTTATTGGACACCCTGTAGATACAGATATAGCAAGTAGCTGGCTAAAGTTATAGCGAGTAGGCTAAACAAAAAAAATGTTTCAATTTTAGAATATTTTTGGCTCATGTCATTCCTTGTCATATCTATTTTCTAAAAATCGATTTTTACAATAATGTATTATTTTTCTATAAGAATGGTAACCATTATTATAATTTGGGAGAATTTAAACATTTTCACTCATTTTTGCACTTGGAATCATTAATAACTTCACCAATTTATAACATATTTTGAATCTATTGGGAGATATTGTATTTGATATTGTAAGGAATAGATTGATAGGTTAATTATACATGTTGCTTGTAATTTTGTCACCCCTTATAGATCAGATTCTGCCTTTACTTAATATCACTAATGTTATCCTTCAGAGCAAAGTTTGACAGTAATCTAGTATACGTTCGACAAAGTGACACCTGTACAGATACACTATCAGAGTCAACGCTTAATGTCACAAAACGCTACAACTTAGGTACCATGGTACTTTTCAGTGTCCGATATCACCATGTTATTCTTTTCAGTGCAAAATCAGACAGTATATACCACAAAGTGATGCCTGCATGGATTTACTGTCGGCACTGCATATATCATGAAACGCTACAACATAGGTGCCCGATATCACCGTGTTATCTTGCAGTGCCCGATATAACCATGTTATCCATCAGTGTAAAACGAAACAGCATATACCACAAAGAAATAATCCATTAAATTAACTAATCTCTATTTTGGAAACTGACCTCTTAAGTAAAGAATTAAGCAAGATATATTATTGTATTGTCTTTAATGTCTCATATTATTGTATTGTTCTATTGTATTATAGCATTGCATGTTTGTACCACTTTGAATGCTCATAGTTGTTCATTTATATTGTAAACGTAATTATGGGCAGTTATACATACACTCCTTTGGGTGTCAAAGTCGGTATAATGTTGTAAAGGTCCATATGTGCAGTATGGCAAGTGATTTTAGACAGTCATATCTTTCACCACTTTCTGGGCATAAATACAGTGGTTTTTATTAAAACAACATGTCTTCTTTCAAGGGAAGTGTCCATGATGATAAAAATATCAATCAAACACTTCGAAAAATCATGAATAGGGACCCATTTTTTTCAAAATGTTGAACCTATTTACTCAAAAGAAGACCTCATTTTTCTGACTTTTTTTGCATGAAAAGATTATTCAAAAAGGGGCCTAACATTTCTTCAAATGTAGAATGGTCTAGTTTTGCAGATATCAATTTTCGATGACCAAAATTATGCTGAAAACAGTGGATAGCACGAGTTTTCCCTATGGGAAAATAACATGGGATATGTGGTTTTTAACTTTAACACATTTCAATACCAATCTCCTTTTCAAAAGTTGTTAATATAGTGTAAAATATACTTTCGGTATGGTTAAATTGAGAAAAACGATCCTCTTTTTTAGAAAATAAGCCGAACATTTTTTTTAAAAGTGCAAAGATGGGGTCCTAAACCATAATTTTTCAGAGAGTTGGATTGATATTTTATTATCATGGGGACTTAACTTGGAACAAACACATTTTTAATAAAAAAAAAACTGTATTTATGGCCAGAAAGTACTCATGATGAAAGATATGACCGTCTAAAATCACTTGCCATACTGCACATGGGCCTTTGTAATGAAAATGAAATAAAATCATTTTGAAATTGAATTGAAATTGACAAAGTGACGGCTGTATGGATGTTCTGTCGGTGCATAAAGGGCACCAGCACACAATGACATCCGCAAGGATAACATTGCATTTTATGTCCCTGAACCCAGGTGATCTCTGGATGTCATTATGTTATATTTTGAGTGCATAGGTGGTTATTGACAATTTACACCGTGCTTATTATGTTCGGCACTCCGTTTTACCATTTGTGAATATATTCGTCTCGCCAAGTTCGTATTGTCTAGATTTTCTTTTGAGTTTGGTGTTTTCCTGGACGCCAAGGCTCTTCAACTTTTCCTGAAATAATAGTATTGTATTATTTCATTATCGTGATATTAAGGGCAAATGGAAATGGTAATTAAACAGATGGAAATGCAAGTATTGTAGAAAGACTTACCAAATAGGCCATCTCTTTAGATAACATCTTTCTTTTTCTGTGATAAGCCTACAAATAAAGTGTTACCAAGAGTGGATTGAAATTTTATAACTCGCATGCATATCAATCACAGATTTTTTATTCATAGAATTTATTTTACAAATACATTAACAATACATAAACAGTGTTCACTTGTAGTGGTCTTGCTGAAGGCATTAGCAGCAACTTGATTGCCAATTGCAGGGTGAAGAAAAAGGGTGTATAGATGTGACTTAAAAATTAAGTCACAACGCAACTTTGTTTGGTATAATTTCTTGATTTCTTGAAATATCAAGTTCAGATGATCGAATCATTGAATTAGACAACTTTTGCTTTGCCCTTGACTTAAATATACTTGAATTCTCAGCTTCTATAAGGGGCTTTGAAAGGGAATTCCAATCCATCATTGATTGTAAAATACAGGATCTATATGTGAAAATGATGTAATTTTTGTTGGGATTTGAAAATTCTTCGAAGAACATTAACTGTATGATATCTACGGAATCTTTGGAAAATTCTTGAAACATATGTTGGTACCAAATTAATCAGCGATCTAAACACAAGAATATCGCGGAGGTATTTACGTCCTTCCGCTAATGATGTCCAATTTGAACAGTTCAAAACTTTAGTTCACGATGTGCCATAAACGACTCTAGAGCATAAACAGGCTGCCTTATAATAAAGCTGATAAATTATTTTTAATTTTGATAAGTTTGCAAAGGAGTAGAGAATATCACAATGGTCAAAAATCGGAAGTATAAATGACTTGAAAATTAACTCCAAGTGTTTACCTCCTAATTTTTTTTGAAGTGCTCTGAGAGCGGGTTGAAGTGATTTTCGACTGTATAGTTCATTTAAGCTGTTCATTTATATGTTGTTCGAATGAGAAATGTTTGTCAAGTGTTAAGCCATATTTGTGATAGTCAACACGAGTTAGATTGTTGTTATTTCCAATAGTTAGATCTGGTACCTGTAGAACTACTTTACGAGGGTTAGAGAATAAAATGTCCTTACCTTTTTCAGCTTTAAAATTCAATTTCCATAAGTTTGACCAGTTGAAAATTGAATTCAAATCATTTTGTAAAATATCATTTTTTCAAGTAAATTATCATGGTTAAATGACTGGTAAAGAGAAGTGTCGTCTGCATATATGTAGCATTTACTGTGTAAGTTTTTAGGAAGATCATTGATATAAACTAGCTAGGAACAGTAAAGGACAAAAAATTGATCCTTGAGGGACGCCTGAGTTGATATAATTCATATCTGGAGGGTTTGATATCTGGAAGATATGATTCTAGCTATTTTAATAGTAAGGAATGTGTTAAAGTGTCAAATGCGGCCGAAATATCTAAATAAATACCCCTAACACCCCTCCCCCTGTTTTAATTTCATTAGTGATATAATCTATAATGCTAAGTTATTGAGATTGGGTACTATGGCCAGAACGAAAACAGAATAGGCTAAATGTGACCAAGTTTCCATTTTTGTGAAAATGAATTAAGGGTAAAGATTTTGTTATGAGTGGATAAAATATTGACAGCGTTTTCAGTTCTTGGGTCTATGTGGATGTCACAGATCTTCATATTCACATAGTTTGCATTCAGAACTTGAAAGCAATCCTTTAAAGAAAATAATGCTTGAATTGTTTGAAATAAATAATCGATATCAATTTAAGAAATAAATAATTCACTTTCTATTCACAAAATTACATAATACTTACAAACAAGTACAGTTTAAGGCCATATGTAAAAGTAAATGCAAAATAGAATATCCCTAGGATTATTGCAGCGCCCTTGTCAATGTATTCTGCAGAGGGGTGGTCATTGATTACTATCACAAAGGCATGCCAGATACAGACCGTCACCAACACAAGAATTGAAGCGATGATATATTTGTCCTAGAATAGATTAAAGTCAAAATTGAAGTATTACATTTAATCTGGAAAATATACTGACGTCTCGCAAAAAGGTCGCGCACGCATTGTTACACATTTTGTGGCGTAATCCAGAGGATCCTTATGGCTGGCCATCTGGACCAATGTATCGTCATACTTTTAACGCCGTAAAACGATTTTATACGCCGTAAAGAATTACTTTTTACGGCGTTAAAAATTATTTTGTACGGCGTCAAAATTGATTTTTACGCTGTTAAAAATTATAGCTGGCAGCCAATTAAAACCAGCGTTACAATCTGGTATTCATTGAACAAACGAACGTGTATGTTCGACTTACCGACTGATTGATATAAATCCAAAACCCTATTTTTCTGTTACTGTACATGTCACATTTATCATTTATATTGGACTTTTTATTTGCCAGACGCATTTGGTTGTATGGAAGACTACAACTATCATATAATAATAACAACCGGGAATTTGATATACATCGAGTTTTCATTGGACTCGTAGAGTCAAACATTTGCACTTTTTGTAAAGCAAATCCTGAAACGATTTGGCATCTTCTGTATGAATGTACTATTGTAAGTGCCGTATTATATGACATTAAACAATGGCTTCCTTTAGAGCTCACATTGCTATGCACTAAACAAAATGTATTGATAGGACCTGAGAGTATAAATGAGAAGACAATCATCTTAAATAATATGCTATGTATTTTTAAAAGGTATGTTTATTTGTGCAAATATTCTATGCTAAAACCAACACTTAAAGGTTTTATAAGTAATGTGAAGGAATACTTTATTATGGACAAACGGGTTGGCAGAGGCGATAAGTGGAAAATCATGGAAACAAAATTAAACAAATGAACCTGATGATTTTTTCCTTTAAATAAAAAAAATGCCAATGGTATAACGTCTCTTAAGACGAAATATTTAACCACTGTACTGTATTGTAAAATTGTTAAATGTAGATTTATCATGTAACTGTACTGTAATTGTTTTTTGCAATTGCTTTAACATGCTTATTCTTTGAAATAAAAAAAATTATAAAAAAAAAAAAATTTCGAAAGGCGTAAAAAATCAGTTTTGACGGCGTAAAAAATAATTTTTAACGGCGTAAAACATAATTTTTAACGGCGTAAAAAATATTTTTTAACGGCGAAAAAAATAATTTTTAACGGCGTAAAAAATAATCTTTAACAGCGTAAAAAAATCGGTTTTGACGACGTACAGAATCGTTTTTAACGGCGTAAAAAGTAATTCTTTACGGCGTATACAATCGTTTTTACGGCGTTAAAAATTATTTTTTACGCCGTTAAAAATTATTTTTTACGCCGTCAAAACTGATTTTTTACGCCTTTCGAAATTTTTTTTTTTTTATAATTTTTTTTATTTCAAAGAATAAGCATGTTAAAGCAATTGCAAAAAACAATTACAGTACAGTTACATGGTAAATCTACATTTAAAATCGTTTTTACGGCGTTAAAAGTCGATTTTACGGCGTTAAAAGTTTGACGATACATTGGTCCAGATGGCCAGCCATAGATCCTCGCTTTTAACATGATAGAATGTGACGTTTTTGAGAAAAATGTACACACATGAAAATCCTTTCGTCCTCCACATTTACCTCTATATCTCAAAACATTTTAGATGAATAACTCTGATATCATATATACAGGGTGGGCCAAAAAAAACCAATACCCAACTTCAAATCAGGATAAAAATAGTTATGTTCAATATGATACATTGACTTATATATAATGTTAAAGGTAATACATTTTCAAACAATTTGGTATATAACACTATAACATAAAATCAATAGTTAAGGTGTATTATTCTTATTTGGGAGGCTGGGTCGCTATTAAGGTCTCTAGATTTTAGGGAGAAAACAGTAAATCTGTGGAATTATGTAAACTTTTTATTCATAGAATATCATTTTGTTAGGTGAATACCTACTTGTATATTTGCATCATTGTGTGACTAAACTTATTGTTTATGAATTTCAGTGTTGTTTAATAACATTTTACAATTTATTTATTTAAACAATTGCTAAATATGCCCCCCCCCCTATGCGTCAACAAAAAGCTTCAAGCGGTAGCGCCATCTATCAACGGATTTCTATTGCAATACATTCCAGCACTTTAGGATTCCGCGGTTCAGCTAATCACTACTTTTTATTGGATGCCTTTGATTTTACACCATTTCCTGGAACCATTACCACACAGGGAAATGGCTCCATGTATGGTAATCCACCACATTAGAATTAGGGCTTCTGGGTGGCCAAGCATCTGGATCAGTCAAATTGACAACTTGTTCGTGAAGGAATGCCAACGTTTCCTTTGATCTATGGGACAAGGCATTGTCTTATTGAAAAATAAAACCCCCACCACATATATGTTTTATGTCTTTTAACATACCTTTTTTGAGTACTTATTGATAGTAAACAATACTGAAATTCATAAACAATAAGTTTAGTTACAAATGATGCAAATATACAGGCTTATATTCACCTAACAAAATGATATTCTATGAATGAAAAGTTTACATAATTCCAGAGATTTACCGTTTTCTCCCTAAAATCTAGAGACCCTAAATAGCGACCCAGCCATCCAAATAAGTATAATACACCTTTACTATTGATTTTATGTCAAAGTGTTATATACCAAATTGTTTGAAAATGTATTACCTTTAAAATGATATATAAGTCAATGTACCATATTGAACGTAACTATTTTTATCCTGATTTAAAGTTGGGTATTGTTTTTTTTGGCCCACCCTGTATATTGTTCATGGGCTAGGAGCACCATAAAACACGAATCAATTGATATTTTAGGTGAAATAAATATACGTGTTGCTGTGCTTGAAAATAGGCGAATGGCGTAAATTAGCCCTATTTTAATGAATTTTGAAAACCTTTCGTCCTCCACTTTTCCACATACAACAGAAAACACATACTTTTGCGAACAAAATCAACTATTTATTAATAAACTAAAGTTTAAGAGCAAAATAATCATGTATGATTTATTAAAAATTGATCTCGTATTTTTTGTTTAATATACACCTGAAAAGTTGAAGGTAACAAAAAATGAGCAAAAAAGGTCGCTGTCAACAGATTCTATTTTTCAAACTCTATGACGTCACAATATGGGACGCTTACTAAAATTCATCCTTTGAAATAAAATTTCTATATCTACCTTTATCAAGACGAAAAATAAGTATAATAGTCATATATTGTTTGAGTTATGAGCGTTTAAAGACGAAAAATAATTCAAAATGTAACGTGTCAACAGGGGATATTTGCCAGATGTTTTGGTAAAAAACTCTTTTTTAAAAAAGAACGCGCAAGAATTTTGAACGGAGTGTAGTTGATCTAAAAACTTCATCGGAACAGCTTTAAAATGATATATAATTTTAATTAGAATATTATCTTATAATCCGGGGAATCAAAGTTACATTCACGCGATACCCTTAAAAACAAATGCGCCACCTTTTTGCGACACGTCACTGTACAAATATGCGTTTCTAAACACTCATTTTACTTTTGCAGCTTTTTGTTCAATGAAAAATATCCGGTTTAAAAAGCATCAAGCGTACACAATGGTAAAAGAAAATAGCAAATTCTACAATAAGAATTCTTCTTCTTTCATTTTCCTCTCGTTAGAATGGAACATAACATCTTTACCATTTGGAAGACATTGGGTAACCACGAACATAACATCTTACCAGATATGTTAGATATGATATCTTTGGAAGGCATTGGGTAACCACAAACTTGAATGCTATGTTCGTTAGTACAAGTGTGAATCCTAGATCAAGTCGACTCTGGGGTAGCCTACGATCCACTGCAAACGTCGCAAAACTCAAACAGCAAATCACAAACTGAAGTAAAAATTGAGTATAATTAAATGATAATTCCATAAATTGACATATCTTTAAAAATAAATAGCTTTAAAACTAAATTGCGACCTAGTATTTCTTGATATTTCCAGATTCATCTACATATACTAGTAAGGCACATCAAAAACTAGCAAACATTTTGCTAAATTATTTTAAATTGAAAGACGTCTTACTGTGACTAGAAAGATATTCCATATGAAGTACTTGGCTCTTCTGGCTGCTCGACATTTCACAGCAAGAGCCGATCGTCGAAGATTCGGGTCGGAGTGCTCATGCGCAACCTCTAGGTTCTCGCTTATGATGTGTTTGTAAAGCATCCATTCTTGTTCGTCAGCGAAAGACTGTTTGTAAACTCTGTGTGCGTCATATGGGTCTTCAATTAGTTCAACTTCAGTCAATGACTTTTCAGAGGCAACAGTTATAGTTAAATCCTGAAGCGAAATTATGCTATCGGATACAAGTGCAATGAAGATCAATTGGTACAAATAGGCCGAAGTGGCAGACATCAACATGTAAAATCATAAGTCATTAATCAGAGCTCTGTTTTAGTTACAACCGTTTTTAATTTTTATAAAGTAGTAAAATACCTGAACGTCAAATGGAAATTCGTTTAGCTCCAAATTCTCTATGAAAAGCCCTTTCACTCTTCTCTTTTCATGCACGGTGGCTTCGCCGCGGTCATTGTACACAACCATGTGGAATATACTTTCCCGGGGCTCGGTTAACGTATTTTCTATGAAAAGTTTTGGATTCCAATATGAAGTCAAGTCAAGATCTTCCGTAACCTAGTAAATGAAATCAAGCATTTAAAGGACTAGAGGGAACAAGTGTTAACGCTCAAATTAAACACACCAGAGATACTTCATACGCAGATTCGAAAACACATAAATTAGGTCAATTGTCCAAAGATAAAATACCTTAAGTTTGGATTAGGCTATTAATCAATCATCTCACTATGAACATTACGGTTGTCGCAATTGACCTTGTTCACTTACTTTTGTCTTTCCCGAGTCAAAGTCTGGTTCTCTCCATTTTGCCTTAATGAGTACATCTGCGGAGAATTGCTCCCCTATCGTGTCTATTTCTCCAATCTTCATAAACACTACGCATACTTGGACCTGCCTCTGTAAACGCAAATATGATTAACATTAAGCGTGAACAATGCAACATGTACATGAATCTCAACATTTTATCTAAATGAAAAGTGAATTATGATATGATCAATATGACTTTGGACACCTTAAGTTTCAGCTTAAATGCACATAACATCAAAACAACGCTCGTCCTTTGGCTCTCTTTCGTACCATGTTTTACATCGTGCACAAATTATCCTGTATCCCTAACATAATCACACCCTTATGGTACTTCGATAAAGGCTTATTTAACGTGTGTTTCTGATATTTTTTGTTACTGTCCTATTCGTGACGACCCTGTAATGAACTTCTTGGATATAGCATACGTACCGGCACTGACGATCCACTGCCTCCAATCAGAACATTAGTTCTTTTCTTTAGGTTACTGAATGGAGATTCAATGGAACAGCTTTGTATCAGCTGATCCTTCTTCATTTCCTCTCGTTTGGCTGTGACAATAGGATCCAAATTTCCAAGTGTAAGTTCAAATGTTCCAGTTTAAGAATTTGTATACAGCTTGTTGTGTTGGTTCACTTCACAGAATTATGGCACATTGAGCCATCGGTTGACCCAATCCATGCATCAAAGAGAAAGTTAATCCCAATATGAAAGCAACCACTATGGTCATGTTATAAATCCCAATAACCTACTTCAGATTTATATAAAGTCAAACTGCTTTTATAACAGGATTTTAAAGGTTTTATCAGCAAAACGAATACTTTTACTTTAAGTTAAACTGAGTATAAAACTTAATATGATAAAATGAAAATGTTGATTAAGGGGATAAGAGGGTATAGTGAGTTTAATATATAGCAAGCAATAATATCGAAAAATCATGCCAATGTTTCCCTTACAATCTGAATGTTATTTTTGATAAAAGAACTAAGCTGGCTTATCAAATATACACGACATGCCGGCTTAAGATGCATCTAGCTGTTTTTATGAGAATTTAACAAGTGAGGTATATTGATGTTGCAGTTCTTCTAGTGTGATCGACAGTTTGACATATTTATTTATAACACTAATTTAAATGTAAAACAACTTTTTGAAGCACAATTTATCAACTTGGGATCCATTCGATCTACAGTGTACATGTCAAGGAACGAGGAAAGGTAAGCGATGATCAAGCGACGAGCGAAACATCTTTTGCCAATGGTTTACAGGTAAACGTTGAAGCTAATTAAGTTAAGAATAGATCGAAACAAATAGCTAAAATTCCATATTTATTACATCACAATAGTCAACAAACTTATAAAAATAGTAAATTACGAAGCTACGTTTTCTAGTGTCTCATTTTATAACGCGGCTTTAGTTCAGGCTATCCACACTCGAGTAATCGTGTCCATTTTTACCGCCAATCGGACAAAATGTGTTGAATGTATCGTCGAGAGTAAACGTGAGCAACTGTTTTCAACTATCTTCATCAGAAGGGTCCTTCGTTACTTATTGTCTTTTGGCATTTCATTTGCCCACCTAAGTGTACTGACAAAAAGCTCAACACGAATATACAAATTCCAGTCCACAGCTGTTTTTTCTGTTCACCTCTTTTACTTCGATCTAATTCAGATTCACAAATTCGATGATATTGTCTTGAGATCACTACCCTCATTGTCTCGTCCATTTTCAAGCGTACTCTCGTACTTTCGGGATCTTGATTTAAATACGAATCGGTGCTTGTTTGCAATCAGATTCATCCTCTCCTGAAAGTATTTCAACAACACTTACAAACTGATTCAAGTTGCCGACCTCGCTTTTATGTGAAACTAGAGGAACGCAGAATTATGTAATAAAGATTATTCAATTGTCACACTGGAGTAAAAATATTGTTTAAGCACATCGTGAGCATTTCCAAAATGTACAACATATTTTTGAATTTGTTCTGGAATCCAAGTCCAAAATATTTCAGCAATATTAAGCATTTGTCCAGAGAATGGCTCAACAGGATGTACATTGGGCTAAGGCAAATTGGAGCGTTCTAATCAAGTATGTTTCAATTAGCTAGATGTCAAATATATGTGATAGACGATAGATAAATTAGATACCGGTGTAAAAGAAATTATGGTCCCCTGGAGATTATGGTCCCCTTTCCTTACGGCCCTTACTGACCCTGACTGTGTATAAATAATAAGGAGAATAATTGTAATTAGGTCACCATGTAAATCAATAGAGAGTAGGACAAAAATTGATAGGACCACCTACCCTTTTACACCGGTACACCTTTTACATAACTTACTAGGTATGCCTTTTCCTTAATGGTCATCTCCCGTCTACGTTTACAAGCCTGTAAATCCCAAGTTATGTCACATATTGTTTATTTGCTATTATCGTGAATATAAATATATCGGTGAATACTTGACTGTCCTGGGAAGGATAAACATTCTTTATAATTTCTAATAATACACGATATATTAATATTTTATTATCAATTACGGTTTAGACTTCTATTTACTTACATATACGTACAGTCTGAGTCCATATGCAAATGTAAAAATAAAGTAGGCAGAAGCAAATGTGATGACTGCCACCATGTCGATTTGATCAGCTGATGGGTGATTTTTGAGGACTGATATAAAAGCGTGCCACATGCACACCGTGGTTAGAACAAGCATAGACGCTATGATATATTTATCCTACAATGGAATTCAAATTCATGATCAGATAAAAGGTGGCGCGTATGATTGTTTTGTGGTTGTAAAATTGAAATGCGGATCACAATGTTTCAATAAAGACGTTCTGATTTGATATGATCTTACAAAAACATTTTAATTAGAATTATTGATATTTCTAACATGTATGATTTGGATAAGTATTTGATTTCAGACACGATTACCATAGTATCAACAATGGGTTCAGGAATGTGTTTTTAAGTATATATGTTTCGAGAAATATACCATAGCTTCGCAGTTAAGAGATGATATCCCAAGTTCCTACCAGATATGTAAGATATGAGATCTTTGGTAAACATTGATTGACCACAAACTTGAAAGCGATATTTGTGAGCACCAGCGTAAATGAGAGCTGCAGGCGGTTTTGTGGCAGCGTCCTATCCACAGAGAATGTTGCCAAACAAAGGCAGCATATGAGAAACTGCAAGATAAAAACAACAATAAAACAAAACAACAGGGGAAATGAATGACTGACATTGATTATTTATAATGCTCCTGGGAGCTTTTTCATGAGTGCGTGCATCCCTGATAAAAACAGTAACAAAATAATGATACCATCTCAAGTTTTGTATTAAATAACATAAAATGCATCAAGATACCACGCGAGATTAGATGTCCTCCTAATTGACTTAGCATGCGGATATATATCGCTATATGAATTCGAAGTTGTGATGAATTTTAGAGATGTCATAATGAGAAGACACTTTCGGCTGTAATTACCACATTAATAATTGAGATCACCTGGTGATTATTATCTAAATGATATAAATGTATGAAATATATCATCTATTCCAAATTATTTTTAACATTGGCATTTTTCGTTTCATTTATTTTTTGTATCTTGGTTTAGCTGATTTATCAAATTACTTTTGCTAATTTCATTAAATATTTATTCAGTGATATCCCAATTTCAATGACCCCTCAGACTGGCTTCAATTATTGCTCAATACGGAACTGCACTTACGGTAACAAGGAATATATTCCATAAGAAATAAACAGATCGTCTTGCCGCCCGACATTTGACGGCTAGTGCTGATCTTCGTAGATTGGGATCAGCGTGCTCGTGCGCAATTTCTATTGTTTCACATTCGATGTGTTTGTAAAGCATCCATTCCTGTTCATCTGCGAATGACTGTTTGTGGACCCGATGGACGTCGTCTGTGTCTTCAATGAGCTCAACCTCAGACAATGGTTTTTCAGATGCTACAGTTATGGTCAAGTCCTGTACAAAATCATTCATTTATGTATCTCATGTATATCAAATCTGGGGATAAATGTTGTATCACAGGATGGGGGTGGTGGATATGGATATATTCATCCTTCCAGCTCGAGGCTGGAGACGAGTGGATGTAAAAATAACCTCATTTCAAGGGCAACAGAGTGAAAGCTTGTGTTCAGTGAGGTATATTTAATGCAATATTCAGGATGTTTTTAATATTCATTTTGTACCTGAACGTCAAATGGAAAGTCATTTAACTCTAAGTTCTCGATAAATAATCCCTTCGCTCTTCTCTTTTCATGCACCATTGCCTCTCCTTTTGTATTATGCACTACCATATGGAACACAGTCTCCCTCGGTTCACCAAGTGTATTCTCGATAAATAACTTAGGATTCCAATAATCGTCGAGGTTTGGAATGTTCGCCTCCTGTGGAAAGTAATGAAAAAGTTTGTTAAAATAATTATCGTGTAACACGAAACAATTATTGTGTATCTAGCAATTATTAACTTTTTATCCAATCGGCTATTACAGACACTATTTTACGTTTCTATGAAAAACAAGAAAAATGCACTTACATCAATCTTCCCCTTGTCTAGTGCTGGCTCCCTCCATTTTGCCTTTATTAGGACATCGGCTGAGAATTGTTCACGAAGTGTGTCAATTTCCCCAATTTTCATGAAAACTACGCAAATTTGAACCTTTGTCTGCAAAACAATAAACTTGTTTCATGACTAGTGGTATACTAAATCGTCCAGAATTTAATCACTGACGTCGGTTGCAGCTCAGACGAGTACATGCCACTATCAACATTTTTATGGGAATGGATCAATCATAATATACCTTGAACCTCGTTAAAGTACAATTCAGAAGCGTAAATCACCCATGAAAAGCAGCCTCGTTACCTGAATCCCTATTGCTTTTTTAAGAAAGGTAAACACATTTTCCATATTCTTCGTCTCGAATTGACTGTCGCAGTTGATAACGGCGACGCTGTTTCGCTTATACGCGTCGTAGCCTCCTTTTATTGAGCAGTGTATGATTGTCACTTAACTGCGTGATATCGGATGGCATTATTGATCGGATCTGTATAGACATTGTCTTGTATGATTTCATGAATATTTCAAAAGTGACTTCACTCTGTCAAAGTCCTCTATAGATCTCTAAATCTCCTTCAAATTTGGAGTCAAACAATGTCAGAAAGTTTAATAACCCCCCTATCACACCAAACTAGTTCTTACCCGTTCTTGCCAGTCCTACGAAAACGTCGTAAAACGGGCTCAATCTGGCTGTGGTCGGGAAATATGTCTAAAATAATTAGCTACTTCGTTCATAAACAGTCTTCAATACGTCCATCTCATTCGCAGTTCGTTCAGGTCGCACCACGTCGGTGTGCAACGTTGTATAACGCGTCCCTTACCCCCCTATCACACCAAACTCGTTCTTACCCGTTCTTGCCAGTCCTACGAAAACGTCGTAAAACGGGCTCAAACTGGCTGTGGTCGGGAAATATGTCTGAAATAATTAGCTTCTTCGTTCTTAAACAGTCTTCAATACGTCCATCTCGTTCGCAGTTCGTTCAGGTCGCACCACGTCGGTGTGCAACGCCGTAGAACGCGTCCCTCAGTCTTGAAGGTCATCATGACCTGATAACAGAACGGTATGGTCGCAATCGAATTTTGAATCGATTCAAAATTCTAAAATCACATTCCCGTCTGAGAACGTTCATAAAGTTCGTAAATAGACCTTAGAAAGTTGCAGCTACGTTCATTCCGTTCGCACACAGTTTAGAACCAGTTTTGAAGAACGCAGTGGCAACTAGTTTGGTGTGATAGCTATATTTTTGCTAACTCGTTCATAAGCAGTGTTAAATACGTTCTTAATCAGTTTAAACCCGTTTGCAATGAGTTCTACCTCGTTCTCAACACGTCCTCAGACAGTTCCACTCGTTGTTAAAACGTCCCTAGTAGGATTGAAGTACGACGGTTCCGTTCGTAGTACGTCCAGCTCGTCGTTAGTACGTTGTCACTCGTTCTAATTGTAGAACGTGACGACCACGAAAACATTTTGAGCATTGTCTAAGTTCTAGAGGACCTACCCGTTCGAGTACGTTCGATGAAGTTTGTAAATAGATCCCAAACGGTTCTTAGTACGTCCAGTCCGTTCGTACACAGTTGAAGCCCGTTTTCGAGAACGTAGTGAGAACTAGTTTGGTGTGATAGTAGGGTTAGTCTAGAAGGTCATCATGACCTGATTACAGAACAGTATGGTCGCAATCGAATTTTGAATCGATTCAAAATTCTAAAATCACCTTCCCGTCTAAGGACGTTCATGAAGTTCGTAAATAGACCTTAGAAAGTTGCAGCTACGTTCATTCCGTTCGCACACAGTTTAAAACCAGTTTTGAAGAACGCAGTGGCAACTTGTTTGGTGTGATAGCTATATTTTTGCTAACTCGTTCATAAGCAGTCTTAAATACGTTCTTAGTCAGTTTAAACCCGTTGGCAATCAGTTCCACCTCGTTCTCAATACGTCCTCGGACAGTTCAACTCGTTGTAAAAACGTCCCTAGTAGGATTGAAGTACGACGGTTCCGTTCGTAGTACGTCCAGCTCGTCGTTAGTACGTTGTCACTCGTTCTAATTGTAGAACGTGACAACCACTAGAACATTTTGAGCATGTTCTAAGTTCTAGGGGACCTACCCGTTCGAGTACGTTCGATGAAGTTTGCAAATAGACCCCAAACGGTTCTTAGTACGTCCAGTCCGTTCGTACACAGTTGAAGCCCGTTTTCGAGAACGCAGTGAGAACTAGTTTGGTGTGATAGTAGGGTAAATATTACGTTACTTTGACAATGGTCAGTGTCATACGGGACTAGTCAGACATAATTATATTAACTAATGAAGATGTACTTAGTTATATGTTTGCTATTGTAAATATGTAGACATTACTCAATTTAATTAGACTTACTTATCTAAGCTTAAAGGCAGAATCTGATCTATAGGGGGTGACAAAATTACAAGCAACATCTATAATTGACCTACCAATCTATTCCTTACAATATCAAATACAATATCCCCCAAAAGATTCACAATATGTTATAAATTGGTTATTAAGTTATTAAGGATTCAAAGTGCAAATATGAGTGAAAATGTTTAAATTCTCCCAAATAATAAGAGTGGTAACCATTCTTATAAAAGAATAATACATTATTGTAAAAATCTTTAGTTTTCCTGGAATCAAGTATGCACTTTTGTGATTTTTAGAAAATAGACATGACAAGGAATGACATGAGCCAAAAATATTCTAAAATTGAAACAATTTTTTGTTTAGCCTGCTTGCTATATCTGATTCTCTCTTTAAGTATAGAGTCCATGCTGACTTCATTGAACGAACTGAGGAATCAGTCATACAAAAGATGTATGCACAAGTGCCAAATGGAAATGATCAAAAATTGTTACAGAGCACAGCAAGAAATTTTTTTTAAGAGTCAGGGGCGGATCCAGGAATCAACAAGGGGGGGGGGGCAAATTTTCGGTCATAGAAAAAATGTTGGGCCCATAAAACCGAAAAGTGAAATTTTGAAAATTTGAGGCCCATTTTCTTCAAAAATTTGGCCTGAAATTAAAAAATAAGGCCTTAGAAGGCCCACATTTTTTTTTCTCTGAGGCCCCCCCCCCATGATCCGCCACTGGAGTACACCAGTCATAAGAAAAACAAATCCCAACTATCCCAAATTATAATCTAACCGGAAAAGAATCAAATGTCTAATACCCTCTCCCCACCATTCAAGTACCATTATCACTATCCGAGACCATAACATCAATGAACATTTCATTTCGTTCTTCGAGTTAGATTGAAAGTCAAATTAGATAAGAATTTAAAAAATGAGTGGCACATATTGCGCAAAATTAAAGTAAAAAATTCACGATTGCCTCTTGGATATTTTTTGCAGTAAATCAAAGTTTGCGACAAAATCTTTTATGAGGTATTCATCAAACAATTTCCTTAGAATAATGACTACTTGGCTAAATGCTAAACACATGCTTGTATACTTATTTACTTACTGCAAGAGCTTTACGATGACCGCCATTCATAATAAAATCACTAGTCTTTTTAAAAAGACGAAGGGAGACACCGGACTGACGTTTCTGGCCCTTTTCTCTGTTTCCATCATCTTCTGAAGGAAAATCTAACGGAAAATCTACAAAAATATTTACAAATATTGACTAAAATACATATTGACGGAAATTGTAACGAGATATGCTGATCACACCGAAAATAAACCTACACATTATCCAATCAATGAAGTATTTGTAACACTAATTAACAGACACTGTGATAAAACATTTATATTTTCATTTTAAACTGCCCTAGTTCAGCCACACCATTACATTTTGGAGTAATTCACAAACAAAGGTGCAAAAAGCGCATACCTATTGAGTTAAGTACTGGCATGTTGTGGTTGATGTTCGACTTCTACCGCAGCATCTAAAATTAAAAGTAAACCTTCTATGAAAAACTGTAAGAATCAAATAAATATTCCGTATCACTTCATAATGTAATGTACTGAGAATCACCTTATTTAAATAAAACCAGTTTTATTTAAAGCAGTCAACATATCTCCAACTCTAGATTTAAAATAGCCTACTCAACTAGTTTGGTGTGACAGGGGGCTATGAACATACTTATACTTCACCTTGAATACCATCAACATAGCCAAATGTGTCTCTTATTTAATGATTTCAATAAGTTTACTAAAGTAGCATTTAAACCTCAACTAGACAGCAGCAACGCCAAAGCGTAGCAAATCCCATGGAACAGCCATGGCTGGCATTTTTACAAACAAAATAAATTGCAAAAGTGGCGGCTATTTTTCAAAATGGCAACCTTCTGCCAAAAGTATCATTAGACAGTGTGCCATGCTTATAGTATTCACATACCAAATATGAACAAAATCGCTCCACTACTTTTCGAGTTATAGTAAAATACGTTAAAATGGCAGCCATTTTGATAAATGGCCGTCCTCTACCAAAAGTGTCAAGAGACATTGTGCCATGCTTATAGTATTCACATACCAAATATGAACAAAATCGCTCCACTACTTTTCGAGCTACAGCAAAAATTGTAAAATAGCGAGTAAAGGCCGCCATTTTCAAGATGGCTGCCATGTGCTTCTTTAATATCTACATTTCTACCTTTATTATTGTCCTATATATTTTTTTACGTTTAAAATATTGCTATTTACACGTCGCACGAAACTGGGGACAATTAGCGTAACATTATGGCGTCAAAAAAACAAAACAAAACAATGAGCAGTATAGGGCGCAAACAGCCTTACAACGTCAAAAACGACAAGCGTGACATTTTTTACAAGTTTAGTCAACCTAAAAATAAAATACTTTATCCTTATCTAATCATTACAAAATTTACAGGGTAGCTAGATCTCGAGGACAATATTTCTAAAATGTTTTTGAATTTTGAAAAACGGTCAAGAAATCCACCTGGGGCGTTAGTAAAAATTGATATGTATGGAATTTGTGGTAAAAAATCGATGCGTCACATTTTTTCAAGTCTCGAAAACCAGCTCTTATTTTGATATTATTTGCAAAATAAACAAACCGGTTATTGTTTTGTAAATTTCGCCATGACAATATTGTGCAGTTCAATTTTCTTTCAAATCAGACCTAAATTAGAAGGTTAAATGAAGGTAAACTTATTGCTCGTCCCATTCGCCTTCAAAACCTTACACAATTTTGAAAATTTTAAAAGCGTTCGTATAAGATAATTTGAAATGTAGCCGTTAAGCAATTGTGACGTCATAAATGCAAATGTTCCATTCAATAAATTGTGAAATTTAAGTGGGATTTTGATCATTATTTCAAAAGTTATCTCAATTTCAACGAGCCCTGTAAGCGTAAAGTGTTACGTCTTACAGCGTATTTGACGATGTCGGAGTGTATTTAACTTTAAAAATGTGTTGGATCCCATCAAAATTTTGAAGGAAAAATAATTTCATTGAAATGCGAATAAAAAATACTTCAAAATGATATGTAAAACACATAGTTGGCTTTTTAAATAAGGCACAGATTAACGTTCAAAGCTGAGATAAGCCCGCATTTCCCGAATTGTCCCCAGGTCCGTGCACGTCATAATTACAGTTTTACATATTGTACCTAAATTACTGTAAGATCGGCACTAAAATGGCCGCAATTTTTAAAGAGCGGCCATTTTGAAAATCGGCTTTCGAGCAGAACTTCTACCCCCATAGAGTATAAGTGTACAAAATATGAACAAAATCGGCCGGCCAACGGTATTTGAATTATTGTCCGGACGAACGGACAGAGGCGTTCCCTATATCCCTCTGAACTTCGGTTGATGGGATAATGATCTTTTAGGCTATTCATGTAATTTTTGGTCATCAAATATCTTAGTAGAATAACTCTTCAAACCATCGCTGCACAACGTGTTTCAACTCACAGTGTATCTGCATGCACAGGGTGGCCCACATTAAGTCCATATTTTTATGGTTTATAGACACCTCATCCCAAGACAACTCATCCCTAGGGCAACTCATCACAAGAGAATTCATCCGAAGAAAATATACAATAAATCCCAAAATGGAACAATATAGGAATTAATTTTAATCATGATATTACATCAATATTTTATTCGGAAAAAAGTAAATGATGTGAGTGAATACAAACTTCTCGTCTCCAGATAATATTTGACAATTTTACAGTGGTTTTAGTTATGTTCCATAATTATATAAGAGCCAAATGGACGTGTCAAACAGTCTAACAGAGACACGCCTATCACACCTGCATCGTTGTCTTTGCTTCAAATCCGTTAAATAGCGACATCGTACATCTAAAGTACTACGGTATATTTTGTCACTGTACCTTGTCGATGGTTTGGCGTGAGACACATTTTAATGGTTATACGCTATTTCAAAGCTATATTTCTGTTGGAATGAAAATATAGAGATAGTACTCAGACCAACAATAGGACTGGTTCAACACCAAGAACTACGGGACGATACGCTAAATTCTGAATCGATAAAAAAGTCTAATGTTCGTTTTTGGCCATGAAGATGTCGCAGCTCAGCGGCTGTGACATAGGAATCATTGATGGCCGAAAGCGAGCGAATCGAGTATAACTAATTTGAAATCGGCATGTTGTTTACTTGACTAGATGAGAAAGAATTAGGTTGCTATCTATAATATAAATTTACTCTCTGGATTATCTGCTTTCCAATACTAAACTGAGTACTTAGCACACAGTCCACCTTTTTAAACAACTCAATTTACTAGCTATTTTTTACATTGACATCAACATCCATCAATTATTCTAGAAACAATTTGAAAACTCAAATGTTATCGGAATCGAATTAACTGAATTATTAGAAAAATTATACAGGGTGTCAGAAAATGGAAACCCTCTCGGTATATTACTCATATCTTTGTCATTTTTGGGATTTGTTCCCGGTCTGATATTTTGCACATTTGTGCCTAATATATTTCATGACCATCAGACTGTCAGTTCAGATGCTACGATACTTTAAACAGCATGCCCAAGTGGCCAATACCGCGCTGAAGGCAAACCCGCACACGGCGCGTCGTCAAAATGTCCCTACCTGACTACTACCTGTTGGGATATACCAAAGATAGAGTATTCGAGAATGATCCCAGGAAATTTCAAACCTAAAACGTGTGTCATTCAGGCCATACCTGCTAAGGAATACAGTCAGGTCATTGGCAATTTTAGGCGATGTGTGGAGGTTTAGCTACAGCGCGATCACGGCCACACCTGGGATATGTTGTTTAAAAAGCTGTAACATTGTGACTACCAGTCTTACGGTTATGGGGTATGGTAGGCTGGTAGGTAATTGAATGATGTACACATGTACCAAATATTAAGGAATATTTTCTTATAAAATAACAAAGATATGATGAAAATACAGGGTTTCCATTTTTACCATCTTATGTGTACATTTCATAATTAATTTTATTCTCTTTTGACTGAGTAATAATTTTTAGTCAAATCACTAATGGGTTTCTAACATGGTGATAGTTCACGATCATATATATTCTTAGATTTTCGGCACACAGACTAATATGGACATTCTAAAAATTTTGATCCGCATTGACAAGCGCGAATCGCACTCCTTCATGGTGAAAATTCAAGATGGCCGCCTTTTTATGCTCAATCCCATCAACTAGTCAAGATGGCTACCAGTTCATATCCGTGACATGAACCAATTTAACGCAATACACCAATCAGTGCTTGGTGAACTAAACAGTGATTAAAACAACAAGGTAGATGACATGAACAAAATCATGCCATCTAGATATTGTTGTGGACAGTTATGAAACTACATGTAACAGTTTAGAGACTGGTATAAATAATAAGAGAGAAAACAGTAAAAGGAGGCATATTTATCCCGAAAATTCCCTACCTAGAAACTGGCAAGATTGTTTGTGCTTGGAGTAAAACAAGAGATTACTGTTTCAAATCCTTACTGCAAATGTGAGCAATATAATTATTCCTGAACGAAAAAGACTTCTCGCAACCTTTGGTCAGGATGTCATTTGTTAATCCACAAAAACAATCCACCAAAGACAAGTAACCTTGCACATAATCAACACATTTATTCTGAGTGAACAAATGAGTTAGACTTGACAAGGGGAGACAGTTCAGGTATTTGGCAGCACATGAAATGGCGAATTCCATTGGGCCTCAAAAAGTCTATGTCTGCCATTATTCCACTCATTGACAAGTTGTGATACCACACCTGGATTCCATGGAAGCAGGGGCAGAATTACAGCATGGGACAGATGGAACTCAGTTTCACAACTGATGAATGCACTCCTCTGTCTAATATATGATCCTTTTAAACTGTTAATGTTATGTTGCTGTATGATAAATTCAGCAATGTCACCTCAATCAACACTGCAGGGAAGAATACATTTTTAAAGAAGACTACTGCATTATTGAACACATTCCTCCAACAGCTGACGCCTTAATGCAACACTGCAAGGGAGCATTGTACCAATGTGTACATATCTGGGGCCAGCTTAACAAACCAAGTCCTATCATTCCCCGGGTATCATTCTATCTCCAAAGAACTAGGGCTGGAGAACAGAGCCAAGAGACAACTAAAAAGCTATACAGGACTACATTAAAGCAGATGGCTGATGCTAGTCAACCATTGGTAAAGTGTGGTTGTCAGAAGCAGGGTTTCCCATCAAGATGTACCAGGTTGAAGGCTGCTCTAGTATGCACATCATTGTGTGCCTGTAATGGAGAGTGTTCATTAGAATAACTAAAGTAAGGGTTCAAATATGACAATACTATATAAACTGCAAGATACCCCCTATTTACCTCCCCCCACCCCAATTTATATGGTTGACATCTTAGAGTTGGCATTCTACTGTAAAATAATACTATAGTTTTTTATTATGCATTGTACATGATACAGATCAAATCTTGGCTCTCCAAACTATTACACGCTTACTTCAACAGTTCAATATATTATAAAACACATTCTTCATTATGTGTTTATCTAAATATTGTTTGGAAAGGAATCAGTTTCTACTAAAACATAGAAACCTAATACTAGTATATTCTGATGAAAAAAGGATAGAGATATGATAGGTACAGTACTATATATATGAAATGTACATATTTTAATGATTTACCGAAACTTTTGACGAAATCTTAACAATGGGTGGTACTGAACAACCAAATGTCGACAATTTTGGCGGCCATCTTGAATTTTCACCATGAAGGAGTGCGATTCGTGCTTGGCAATAGGGATCAAAATTTTTAGAATATCCACATTAGTATATGTGCCGAAAATCTAAGAATATATATGATCGCGAACTATCGGGCCATTATTGACTGGGCTATTACAATGTTTTAGTCTTTGGAATGTGACCCAGAAGACAATTTAAGATGTTATTCACACTAGTAATTGTGAGTTAACGTTGTATGTAATTTCAATATAAAAAAAAAAATTTAATAAAAAAGATTTCAGATTCATGTTGACTTGGAAATAATACAACTAAGAGGAAACATGAGACGCACATATACCCGAATGGATACCAATTAAACCCATTAGTAAATTACTCAATGCACAGGTGGCAAACCATATATATGATCCCATTGTAATGCATTTCTAGACATGAACATACTCAATCAATTATAAATATGGGATGTTTATTATTGATATCAACAGACCTTTTATCTGTTATGATCATTAACGTGATCGATTATATATGATGTCGTTTCCTTTGCACATTTACCTCTACCAGAATACATTTGCACTTCCCAAAATATACGTCTGTACCTCGTGTGTCATCATCATGCAGATCGGAAACTAATTCTCAAAAAACATTTTTCAATATCAGGTAACTGTTTTGCGAACATAATTGCAAGGCGTAAAAGCAATAACTTTCACTTAGCAACAGAACGAGCTAGCAGATATCATCAGTAGGCCTACAACGACCAAATAAAAGTGTTGTCAAATAAACTTAGTATTAAATGCCAATGTAGTATGTAATTTCTTATGTAATATTACAAATTAAAGGAAGTTAAAATAATGAAAACAATACCTTTATTTGAAAATGTTGTAATAGTCCGTTGCTATCATCACTAGGTCACCTCTCTAAGCTTCATATATAGACTACCCAAGTGTAAATCCACCGTGAGTTAATCATAATTGAACAGGAAGACTATTCATCATTGTGCAATGCCAGTGCCGTCAATACCTTGTATTTATTGTTAATTATTTTCAGTTTTATAATCTGGTGGTTACCCTGACTCAGTTAACAATTGCTGCTCCATAAGTGATTCTTTTACACAAAGGCTCGCCTATCATCTATATAATGTTTCGTCTTCATAATTATTATTAGATTCCTGTCGAGTATTTACGATTCAATCTACTGTATAACATCAATGCAAAACGATGAAATGTGGCATCTTGGAGATAACGTACTGCTCATGCGTATGTAATACAGGGGAAATTTCATTGATTACAAACAAATAGATGTATTGATGCCTATGATAATGTAAGAAGTATTTGTTACAATCGGTTATACCTGTGTGCATTGTGCATCGATTGAATGGAGCGTATGAAGGCAGTTATGAAGCATCTGACTAACAATACGATTCAATAACAATTGATAATGATTGTATTGACCATGATACCTATACATACAAAAAGCATAAACAATGTTACGCAATATAACAACGTAGCCATGACGACCTAACATGCATTATATGTACTGTAGATGGTTGATGCATTTTTCATGAATTGATGTATTGTAAAAATCATGAAAATCGCTGCAAATTATTCAATATGTTTTTAAAATGACAGTTACAATGACGAGAGTTTTCTCAAAAAGCATCTTCGAAAAGCAATTCTAAAAATACAAAACTATTTCCTTATAAATAGATGGCATTACAGGTATCTGCAAGAGAGACGTGGTAGGAACATCTAATTTTGGAAGTAATAGGATCATGACATTCAAAGGACCTCTGTGCTATTTTCAATTATACATATATTGGATCAGAACTGGATAATACAAAAGTATTGCTGAGGAATGATTGATTTTTTCCATTGCATAGGATGGCTCATTTTGCACAAGATAAACAAGCAATATGCCTTAATTTAATGTCACATGCGACTGACTGTTCCTGTCTTTATATGTTAACACAAGAGAGTTAACATGGTGCTCTTATAGTGTTTCCTTTATAGCAAATAACCATTTCCACTTTCATACTGCTTATCATAAATAAAATGATTTATTGCTATTTTAATTCTTCATGGCAGGGTACATGTTTGTTTTCCATGTCTTCACTATAGACTTCTTATATTCAGAACAAAATATTCACAAATCTTTTAACAAAATGATACAGTACATTAAATACAAATCAGTATTTTTTGTTATTCGATTCTTCACAAAGTATTCAGACATACGAGCAAACGCTTAAACAATGATACGAATTACAATCCAGCTGACTGGTGCTGCAATCACTTTTCACTCTTTTGACATAGTTTAATTGTTAGCCCAATAAACTCTTGGCAATGAACTTAAATATAAATCGATATATTCCATTTACTGTTGGTTAGAAAGGTACCTGTGACCCCAACTACTTGAGAAGACATTGTTGTATATCAACAAATATAGTGTCATTTGACACAACCAGTCACTCAGCAGATCAAATGACAACTGTTTATTGACATTTTTACAATAGAATGTGTCAAATTCGTATATCTACACGTAATGTACTTTAAATATCTTGAGTAAAATGCACATGCAATGCAAATAATCTCCATGCATGACATTTTGTAAAAATCTATTAAAATATTTAAAAAACTTTAGCCAACCATTATTATATAATAGTGCAGTCGGTAAGGTTATCAATTGCACATGCTATATATATAGCACCATTTTTGACAATAAGTATTACTATATATTTTTGATATCTAACGAAGTGTTAATTTATCATTCTTCAAAATACCTCCTGCAGAACAGTTTTAGAGTAATATTACCAATAACATGATTATCTTCAAAACAAGAAGGGTTAATTTTTTCTTGAATTTTGTAAATTTCCCATTGGCTGCCGTTATAAACCGCTATCAAAATGGCATTACTAAAGTGTCATTTTCTCAAAAAGTCCACTATTGAATTTTCTAATATTGTAGATTTCTATAGTTAATATGTTGATTTTAAAAAAGAAACATTTCTGATTTATTTATCTTTAATATGTTTAGCCGTTGAAAACTATAAAAACCTATATTGTGCCCCATGTTAATTTGTCATTCTTCGTCTTCATGGCTGAATATATTAAAAATAAGAAATTTTCAGATTTTTTTTAAAATCAATATATTAACTATAGAAATCTACAATATTAATTAGAAAATTCCATGGTGGACTTTTTCAGAAAAGGACACTTTAGTAAAGCCATATTGATATGTTTGATAGCGGTTTATAATGGCAGCCAATGGCCGGGATTTTAAAAATGTCAAATCATATATGACTCCATTAATCATTCCAAGATTACCCCTTTTACTATGACATGGCCTACTTTATTCAAATTTAATGCATTTTGATTAAATATATTTCTTTCGCCTTGTTTAAATAATATAATTTGTTAAAAGTCCCCATATAAAGTTTAAACCACTTTGGCTTATGTTGTCTTACCCAATGTTATCAAAGTGTGATATGTAAACTTTTTTTAAATTTCAAAACTTTTTGTTCAAAAATTTGTGAATTTATTACAAACTAACTGTTGAATTAGAGGTCACGCTGTTCTTTTAATGAGCCACAATTCATACCAATGCATAGCATTCATCCTCGCATGTTTTTGCCGAATATACGGTGTCAAATAAGTCCCGTCCCCCTGCTACAGCCAAAACCTTAACAGACGATACCTAGTATGATATACCATTGGAAAGATCATCCAAAGTTGTGTTAACTCACCAACTATCAAGTATTTTGGATGAAATTTACTTATATTTTTATGATGTCTTTTATAGTTAACGTGCCCTCCTTTAAGTAGCTTTTTTGCGTCAAAATGACAAGGATATGACCTCAGAAATACGTCAAAAAGTTAATCTTTTTCGCATTCCACTTGTTACAAAAAGGTTTTCACCACTTTCCTTGCACCTCTATTTTCTACACATCTAACCCTTTCCAGAAATTGGTTAAATTCATTGCCATAAACATATTTAGTCATCTTTTGGACCCTTGACCTTTCTTATACCCAATTCTTAAAATCCTGCCAAATGCGCCAAATTGACATGTTTCTAGGCATATGATCACCTCCATTGATACAATGTAAAAATTTTTGAGATTGATTGACATGTGTCAGATACATGCCAATCATCAGTGCATGAAAATGGTTCAGAGAAAAATGCATTTCAAAATTTTAGTTCTCATAGAAACCAATGGTACGATGATATCCAAAACATAATATATTCTTCCTTTTAACCTGGTTAGACAATCAACATTGGTTTATTATTGAAGTCTAGCATTTTTAGAAAAGAGTGACATTGAATTTTTTTTCAAAAAGTTTTTGCCACTTGAGTGAGTCATAATGACATCACTTATGTTGCAAAATATTTTTGATATGCTAAAACATTAAAGTGGCCCATTAAATATGGCATTTTATTATTGAAATATTGTTTCCTTTGTTCAATCTTTGCATTTGGTATTAAAAAGATAATCTTCTTTGAAATGCATTAAGAAATATTTGATGACTAAAAAATCTCTAGAATAACTTTTTTAGTCATGAAAAATAGTAAATGAATGATAAAAAAATATTTTCAAACTTTAGACAGGGACTTGGACCGTGTCCTATTATCACAGGGTGTGTACCAAAGTAAGCGTGAGAGTTGAAAGCGCAGGGTAAGTACAACATGAGGGTGATGCCATTTGAGCAAACTGATGTATAGGTACTAGGTAGAGAAAATTTTTACCCCTTCCTATTTTGAAGATAATCAATGTTATTGTAACATACTATGAGAATGGGTATTAGTACTCTAAACTTGTTCTGCAGGGGGTCTTTTGAAGAATGATAAGTTCACTTGGAGCTCAATGTAAATGTGCAAAATGTTCGAGGCTTGCTGATTATCAAATGGGACCACTTTTCAACACCACTTCGTTGTGATACTTATGTCAAAAAATGGTGCTATATATATTGCATGACTGTGCAATTATAGGGGTTTATTGGTTAAATGACTCCCCACTATAAAGAAACACAAACATACACAGGTTGCAGAGAGACTGTGTTTATATTGCATCATTCTATGATTTTTAGATTAGAGTAATTACGTTTTCCATCCAGGTATGTATCCCACATATTATCAATAAAACGTCAGATTTATCCATTTTCTAAATATAATTAATTTTGTCAGATATGATGAACTGGTTTGCTGTAAAGTAAATTTCAAGAAAAGCAGATTTCCTTACTTACATATTTTTGACTAGTTTGGCGTCAGAGCATGCCTCCCCAGAAAACATGATATCTCTAAATCTAAATCTAAATGCTATATAAGTACTCCAATGTTTCAAGCATTGAACACTCTTTCCATAAACACAATTCATAAAGATTCGTTCATAATTGAGAAAGGTATTCCAATACTAAAGGGTAACGTTTTGGTTATCTTGTGTAAAACATAAATGTGAAAAATATTGCGAAGAACAATTCTTTTCTATATTACCCCACACAAGTTTTTGATAATAACTTTGACCCGTGATTTGAACACTCTGTCCTTAACTATTTGTTATTAAATTTACCACACGTCACGTTTACTAAATTGCTACATTGTTTGAATGACTATGACGTTACAGCTGTACAGTACATTTACTTGTATAGAGTTAAAAAGCAGCACTATAACGCTGAAATTAAGACTAAGTTACTGAATACTGGAATAAATGTTGTAATCCCATGTTGTAATGCTACCCCAAAGGGCCATTTGTTGAATCCAAGTGAAATATTTAACAATAGTGTTCAACAAAGAGTATGTAGATGGAAACCGCCAGGAAATCCAAGAGATGGGTATGGGCATGGGGTAGTTGGGCCACACAATTGTGTGGATTGTGTGATGGCCTTAAATGATGCGTTAGCTGAGATGCAGGATCCTTCAATGTACGGAGCCTTTTATTTTAAAAGAGCGACTGGAAGAGAATTCTACAAGCGGACACATGGCAGTAAAGTTGCTAAGACAGTATTATCGAAAAGAAAAAGATCGGCCCATAACAACTTAACAAGTACATTTTCAACTGGCCGAAGAAACTGTAAATCATACAACCTTGACCATAGCCAGACAATTATAATCAGACAAGTATACAATCTCCAAATGTAGGATTTGTAATAAACTATTCATATTGTGGGAAATTTAGAAATTCCCCACTTATTTTTTTATTTTTAATTAAAATATTTGTAGAGTAATATTTGGTGAAGTAAGAAGTTTATATTTATGTCAGTAAAACTTCATGTACTGTGAGCAAGTTAAGGAGTAACCTAGGAGTAACCATAAACTCAATGAGTAAGTTGGGAGTAGGAGTAAGAGTAACCTTACTCTTTGCTTGTGCGGGAACCCTTGCCCTAGAATTGGTCAACCTGTAGGAGAAATAGGCCACATGGTTATGAGTCATCAGCAATTAGAAGCTACTTGATTGACATTGCTATGGTGATTTCCCACAATGCATCACCAAATAGAGGAAACACACCAGCTCAGTCCAGATGTAGCCAATCATATAGCTTCCCTATGCATCTCATTAGTGGATTGAGATAGCACATGATCTGAACACCTGATGTTAGTCTAGCTCAAGAAATTGAAGTGTGAGGACCTGTAGTGTTATTTTTATAAGCTGGCTCAAGAAGTTGATGGCGGAAAGGTGTTTTTATGATGGAGTATTAGTGGATGTGAGGAATTTTGGCGTTTAATCATGGATATTGGAGTTTCTGGAGTATTTTCACTGTTTTGTGACGGGAATTGACAGTGACACTTGGATATAGAGCCGTTTGGCCCGATGTGTTATTGGTGAACAGGGAGTACTGCCAGAGAAGTTGCAGTCTAGAGGCGCCTAGAAGACATTTTGGAGAGTTTGTGAGTTTTATTTTATTTTATAATTCATTCTGATATAGAATTAGAAGGTTTTACTTGATGATTCTTTGCTAGTCAGCGTGGCTATTTTGTGATTGCATCATCATTTTCCCACAAACCTCGGCAAGTCCGCCATCTTGTATGACTTCCGGTTCACTTGTGGTTCAAGTCTAATCTCAGAATTTGATTGACATTCTTGAGTCTCACCAAGAGCAAGTTTATTTGTGGGGTAGCAGATTTATTTCCATGTGACTGGTAATTTGGGTCTAATCTCATAATTTGATTGATATTCCCGAATAACTCGTCTGGGGGAGTGTTTTTGGAACAACAGGGATTCCAATTGAAGTGATCGCTTTATTTCCTTTGAGGGCAGATAGTTGGGTCTAATCTCAGAATTTGACCGATATTCCCAATCTATTCGCCAAGAGGAGTAAAGAAGAGTAACCCAGGCTGAAGAAGAGCAGTCCTGAGTAAGCAGAACAGAGTAAAGAGTAAGCAGAGCAGGTTAAAGAGTAAGCAGAGCAGATTAAAGAGTTAAGCAGAGCAGAGTAAAGAGTAGCAGAGCAGAACAGAGTAAAGAGTACAGCAGAGCAGAATAGAGTAAAGAGTAAGCAGAGCAGAACAGAGCAGAGAGGAAGCAGAGCAGAATATAGAGTAAAGCAGAGCAGAGCGGAATAAAGAGTAACCAGAGCAGAATAGAGTAAAGCAAAGCAGAGCGGAATAAAGAGTAACCAGAGCAGAATAGAGTAAGCAGAGCAGAGCAGTATAAAGAGTAACCAGAGCAGAATAGAGTAAGCAGAGCAGAGTGGAGTAAAGAGTAACCAGAGCAGAATAGAGTAAGCAGAGCAAAGCGGTATAAAGAGTAAGCAGAGCAGAATAGAGTAAGCAGAGCAGAGTGGAGTAAAAAGTAACCAGAGCAGAATAGAGTAAAGCAGAGCAGAGCGGAATGAAGAGTAACCAGAGCAGAATAGAGTAAAGCAGGGCAGAGCAGATTCAAGAGTAAGCAGAGCAGACCAGATTAAAGAGTAAGCAGAGCAGATTAAAGAGTAAGCAGAGCAGTGCAGAGTAAAGAGTAAGCAGAATAGAGTAAAGCAGAGCAGAGCAGAATAAAGAGTAAGCAGAGCAGAGCAGAATAAAGAGTAAGCCGAGCAAAGCGGAATAAAGAGTAAGCAGAGCAGAATAGAGTAAAGAGTAAAGCAGAGCAGAGCAGAATAAAGAGTAAGCAGAGCAGAATAGAGTAAAGAGTAAGCAGAGCAGAAAAAAGCAAAGCATAAAGTAGAGCAGAACAAAATAAAGAATAGAGTAAAGCAGATCCGAGACCATAGCAGAGTAGCCGAGTAAAGCAGAGACGAAACCAAAGCAGAGTAAGCAGAACAGAAGAGAGCAGAGAATAGAGTGAAGAAGAGTAAAGCAGGGCAGAATACATACAAGAAGAGTAAAGCAGAATAACCTCGGAGCAGAGTAAAGCAGAGCAGAGTACAACGAAAATTATAGTGTTAAAAATTATAGTGTTAATAAATTATAAAAACTGTATATCTGTATTTTGTATGCATATGTGTAACCACCTCCCCTTTCAGTGAAAGCAGTACCACCAAACCAGGTCTGCGCCCACATAAGACCAGTGAGAATCCCATATAATAAATAAATTGTTCGTGACCCGACCACAACCACACTACCAGAATTTGGCCAGGTCCGACAATATGTACCATAAATACAGGACTGCTTTGAGATGAAATTCAATAAGATGAATATTGATAAGATAATGAGATAAAAGTCAATAAAATTGTTAGAGTGATTTTATGACGTCAATTTGGTGAAAACTTTCCAATGTTGGAAATTTCCTCTAGTTTATGTGTGCTAAATTTAATAACAAATAATCAAGGATAGAGTGTTCAAATCACGGGTCAAAGTTATTATCAAAAACTTGTGTGGAGTACTACGTATTCTAAAATGTTGACTTAAATGCAACAAGCTATGAACGGGGTTTTGTTATACCTTAAGATGTATATGTAAAAAAATACCACCTAAGACAAGTTATATTAATAATAAGTTCGTCCTGACATTGATACTGATCTTGCCTTCTATAGTAATTATCTGAACCCCAGGTGTTAAATAAATCGCACCAAGAATTGAATTGAACTTTTAAATGCCTCGATTGAAAGGTAAACGACTTTTAAAAAGAATGTTCGTTTCAAGGACAAACTTAAAGTTTCAAATAGTTATTGTTAGTTTGTTAAGCAATCTTACATTTATCCTTAAACTGTCCAAATAATTGCGCTTGTCAAAAAGCTCTTTTTAAAGAGACCTTTTTCTGATGTTGACGAACAAATAAAGGCCATTTTTAAGTGCATTAATATCACTCTATGTCCCTTTTGAACTTGCCTATGCAGAATATTAAAAACTGGTGTTCAATAAAGTTTTTGTTTGGCGTAACAAAAGGAGAAATCCAATATAAACTATAATATCAGAGAAAGCTATTGCAGTTTTTAAAGGTTCGGGTTCTGCCATGACGTTCCATAGGATATGTCTTGGATGGGTTAGAATTTTGATTCTGACTGCCTCCTTATTGTTCAACTACATTGTTGTCGCAAATGAAGGTAAGTAGATTGATTATTTACACACAAATTGTTGGTCACATATTTGGAGTTGTTATATAAGAATTGTGAAACTTTTTATTTAAAATTTAACTTAACATCTCAAATGAGATGTTGCTTGTACCAACTAAGGGACTTGGTACCAAGTTCCCGAGCTGATTAACTTTTTGCGCGGTCGTCTAAGCTTCTTTTTGTTTTATAAACGTCTTCATCCAGATTTCAGAAAAAAACTTCGGTCGGATAATCTTCAAACTAGTACAAATGTTAGAAGACACCATGTTCTAGAACTGATCATCTTTTGTGCGGCTTTTATATTAGACGTTTATTGACAAAACCTTTTCAGTAAAACAGCTTGTCGGATAATTTCCAAATTCGTATTTATGTTGGAATCATGAAGTTCTAGAGATGGTTGTATAATTTTTACAAATTTTATTCAAATTACACATGTTACAGTTAAATGGTACCAAAATCAAGCTCCTTCCTAGCCCTAAAAAGGAGCCACCAACACATAACATAATGAACGTAATCAATATATTACAATGCGTTCGTAAATGCCACAAGTTTCCCTTTTTAAAGAAGTCTTCTGATACCAGTTTGTCCAGTAAGCTGGTTGTTGAGATATCTACTCCTCAATGAAGTTCACGTTTCGCATTTGACCATAGAGCTTCGGGTCCTGTTTGGATCATCTTAAACGTTCACATCTTGGATGCTAAAGCTTATTTTTCTGTCCTATTACTCGTAACTGTGGTGTATGTCATGCATTAAATGTTCACGGAACCATTTAAAATTGTCCAAATATTTGTATTGCAAGCAGTAACATTTACTAAACATGCATTGAATAGATAAGTCCAAATACCGGTAGATAACTTGAAATATATATATTTTTCAGATTTGGAACCATTTGTGGACAAAGTGGAACCGCATGTTGGGAGTGCCGGTGGTGAATCGCTCATTACAATCTATGGGGGAGGTATGCACTTACTCTTTGACAACCAGACCGCCACTGCACTTGCTCCGCGTTTCGAACTATCCTCGGACAACTATAAATCAACGGGAAAAGCAAATTATATTATTGCATTTAAACATTGGGCCGTAATATTATTAATTTATTCCCATCTCATGATTGCAGATTGATAAAAAGTTTATTAAAAAACTACCAATACAGTTTTCTTTTAGTTTTAACTTTGCAAATGCTTCACGTAAATAAATATAAAATATTAAACAATCAAAATTAAATTGTATTTGAGCTTCCGTTAATCAGTGTTCCCCCATTTTCTTAGATATATAATCTGTATATGACAATATTGTTTTCCTTGATATAGTCTTTGCTAAGAATCAGTTCAACTTCAATCCTGGCGAGGAACATCTTGGCAACAGTGTCACTCTGGTATCTGATAAACAAGCCTACCCTTGCAAGGTTCACAAAGATGGATGTACAGAGACACGCATACAATGCTACACCCCGTAAGATATGTTATATTATGTCTGACAATTGTGTCCATTGCTATCATACTATTAAACCAGTGCATTACTTCAGTCATATTACCTTGTAATGCCTCGATGGATCAAGATGATTGCTATTTTGATTTCGCTTTGCCACAATACACACCCTTTACCAATGTTCCATTCTGTGGCAATTGTTTTTATTACTACTTACGGAATTTGACTGATCATTTCAGTAATAATGGTGACCTTACCCTAGGTAAATGGAGACAATGTTTCACTGCCAGTCAATTCGCCCCGCGATACTGTTACAACGCCCAGTATCAAGGGAATTGATTGTACTTTGTAAAGAAAGCAATTGCAAGTGGTAAAAAAAACTAACAAAAAATCGTTGTTTACATTTGCCATAATATCAAAAACGTCTTTTGAAGATCTCGATTATTGGAACCGATTTCAATTGTCAGCGAGTGATGATTTAGCCTAGGTGCACCCGACTTGAGCAGGTCAGAGCCGCTCGTAATAACTTTATTCACCAGTTACATAAACATTCAATGCAAGACCACATGCTACTACGGAACGGCTCAAGATATCCCCGGGAATGAACCTTTCTGTGGTAACACTTGGTCTTGAATTATATTATTGTGTTCTCCTGTTCAAATAATCGAGGTTTTAAAAAGCTTTTAAAAACATTTTTGGTAATGTTAACAAAAGGTGGTCATCACCAAGGTGTTTAACCATTCCATCCACAGATTTGCAATTGTTTTCTGTACAAAGAATAATCAATGCCCTAGAGACTGGGCACTGTTGTATCGAGCGCCGAACCGGCTGTGAAACCTTTACTCCATTTCCGAATGGTAAGGTAAGCATTATTACTGAAATGATCACTTCAGTATGATTCAGTAGAAATGTAAAAAACATGTCACGGAATGGAACAATGGTAGAGGCTGTACATCCAATGACAGTATTCAGTTTATATACGAGTAGTAGTACCATCAACAGAGAAAATAAAGGTCCGCCTTGCATTATATAATATCTGAAATTATAATCAAAAATTATGAGTGTTCAGTACACTAAGGTTCTATCTTGCAGGCAACTTGAGCCAGGGCATTATTTCGTGAGGGTCGCGATAGATGGTGTGAAGATTTCTGACTCTAAACTATGTAGAGGAGATGTGAACGGCTATAGATGTCTCTTTGAAGTCAGACGTCACAACTTTTCTCCTACCATATCCTCCGTTTCACCAAGATCTGGTCCACCAGGTTCGATAATCTACCAAACATTACATTTTGCAGTATTTTCGGATCCTAGCTATGCATCCATTGATATCTTGTTGTTTTCATTTGCAATGTAGGAACTGTAGTAACTATGAGAGGGAAACTGTTTACGGATAGATACGGTAGCGACAAAGAGGCCGGCTCGAATGGTAACACCGCTGATATCAGGCGTGTATTCTTTGGCGGACAGAAGTGTGAGCTCAAGATGGAAGACCCCGTTACGAAGGAGTTGACTGACGAAATGTAAGTAATATTATCCAGTTAAGCATTGCAATTAGAATACATCCGATTTTGGTCATAAATATTTTTAGAATTCCATTTACAATGATCAAGATCAAATGAGCAGTGAGCATTCATTTGCTATATTTTCGATCATTAGACGTAGACGTATCATAGATAGCAGTTCTATTCGAAATTGATATATTAATAGGTTCACGTAGATTACTTTTTGCAAAACAATATTTTGAAAGCATAATGTATATCAATTTATGAATTGCACGCGACCAGTAGTCACGAAAGTTTCCCTTGTTGTACAATACATCAAATCCGAATTTAAAGCATTTCAATTACTGTAAGTTACAGGAAAACATTGAATTTCGCTGTTATGTGCATATTCCTCGATGAGATCTGTCGATGCGTTCCAAGACACATGATAGTATACGCCTGGTCTCAACTTACTATAAACTTACTATCTCCAATTATAAATACTATAAATAGCCATACGTTTGTGTTTAATTAAAGGATCAAATAAATAGTTTCATTTTTATTGTTACAGTCATGTCTTGGTCACATTTGAGAACATGAATGTCTGGGTTCAACTTTGCACAAAATACTCAATCGACCGGGCGCCGTAGGGAAAAATCGGAACAAATGTGACCAAGGCGTTAATGACGTTATGTGAAGACAAAAAAGAATTAATTTCTCTACTTTACTTTACTGAACCAACGAAATCGGCTCCCCTGTTTGTAATGCCATATCATTCAAATTTTACCATTTGCGATGTCAATGTACGACAAAGAACAGACAGATACAGTTGACCATGTAAAAAGAAGAAATAAAAGAAGTTATCATCTTATGTAATGATTGCAACTTTAATTTGTTCCAGGTACAACCTATCATTAGACTTTGTTGATAGAAATGATGATGGGATAACGGATTCTAACATGGGTTCAATGACGTGTAAGCTCCAGGGGTCTTACGTGGGCAGCATCAATGGAAGTTTCATAGTCTCATCACCTTACGGGGGATCCCTTGCCTCATTGGAGGCCCTACGTGTCACATCAAATGACAAGATTTCCATGTTTCAAACGTATGCAGGTAATCATTTTTTCATAGTAAGCAATTTTCTGCAATGCTAATTAAATCGTGCCTTAACGCCATGTACGATCTTACACGAAAGGGGCATCCAGCAAAATGTATGAATTGAAACTGAAACCAAACACGAGTTTAGCAAAGTAGTCCACAGTGTCCCCGGAGTTATCCAAATAATTATCCAAAATGTTTAAGGTCACGATTACACTGTGCATGGTTATACTTACAGAGGTGATAGGGGTGTCCCCAAGTAGTGGCAGCATCGCTGGTGGAACTGTTATCACCATCACGGGAAAGAACTTTGATGACACGAATGCGCCACCATATGTTGATATTGCAGGTAATTATGAGGCCCTTTTTAATGAGACTAACACAATTATGAAATAAAAGTAAAAATATTAACTTGATCCAGCTACGGTGTCTCCTCTAGACTTTCATGTCATGTTCAATTAAACGTGTATTTGTTATATTTTCCTTTGCTAGGTTCTTTATGTGAAGTTCTGTCTCAGACAGACACGGAGATTGTATGCGTGACAGGACTACAACCCTCTGCATTTTCCCTTTACCCTGGTAACAGGGGCATAAAGAAAGAATTATGGAAAAATACAAATATACATTTTGATGACCTTGCCTCGGTGTCCAGCTTCACAGACACGAACCCAACAGATGAGTACACCATTGAGTGGTTAGATGAGGCTCGCTTCTTTGAGGATGAATTGGACTCATTTGTCACACGTATGCGAGGATTCTTCGTCCCTTCCATTGACAGTGACTTTAAGTTTTTCCTCAAGTCAGATGATTCCTCTAGACTTTATCTGAGTACCTCAGAGAATCCAAGTGACAAGGTAAAATATGTGAATACTGTACATTATAAAGTTTATATTAAAACAGATTTGCATGTTAAAACAAAAATTGATCGATGCTGTTCAACAAATTGACCATGCTTCCGCATGATTTTATTTTGGCAGGTCGAAATAGCATATGCAACTCGCCAGTGGAATTGGTATGACCGCGAAGAGTCGCAACAGTCGCAAAGAGTTTCCCTGCAAGGGGGACAAAAGTAAGTCGTTGTATATTTAGAGACATCGTCATTAGAATGTGTTTGTGGTGTATTGTTTCCATTATATTTTTCAATAAAGTTTAGACCCTTTTAAATTGTGGGCTGATTTACCACAAGAGCAATATCAGGGATATAATGGCAAGTGATAAATCACTTATTTGGGACAGGAATGATATCAGGATTAGAGGGATAATATCTGGGATGATATTGATTATATCACATGCTGTATTTAAAAAAATTTAATTCAAAAGTTTTAATTTTTTTTAAATTTTCATTTTTTTTAAATAATTTTTCAAATTTTTTTATTTTTTCAAAATATTGAATTTTTCACACACATTTATTTTTTGATTAAAACAAGTGCGTGATACAGGGGTTGCCATTTTAGTAAAGGGTGTAAATACGTTTCTGTGCTTGATACAGGGTATATTTAATTGAAAAGGTTAAATTATGATGTTGAATTATTGGTGTCTATTTAAGGAATAAATAATGATAGGCCATTCAATATGGTGAAATTCAGCACGAGTTGGACAGAATGTTGTACAAAGCACGAACCGAAGGTGAGTGCATTTGTACTAACATTCTGTCCAACGAGTGCTGAATTTCACCATATTGAATGGCCTATCATTATTTATTCCGATTCAAACATAAAAATTAGTAAAAGCCGTGTCTGTGGAACGGGCATGAAGGAAGAATACGCATGCTGTCAAGATTCTGAAGTCGGCCGGAAAAAGTTTAGAATTTGTTTGGGCTGTTCTATTTTACTCCCCGTTTTAGATTTTATACGGTGTATAAACTTGAAGTCAGCCATAGTTAAATAGTTACAGTAGTTACGGAGGGAGTAAAAAAGAACAGCTATCCCCGGACAGAGCCCCAGATGTGCAGCTGAGATGTGACGTCACTCAAAACAATGCAAATTGCAGATTGAATAGAGCATGGTCGTGCATCTATGGAGAATTAGAGAACGTTCTATATACGAAATCCCTGACATCAGGAAAGAACTTCGTGATTTGCACGATATTTTATTTAACTGTGATCACGAGCTTTGGCATCGTCAAATGTGGAATGACGGACGCAATGTTAATGGTAATAAAGTTAGAACATATCGATTACATAAGACACACGCCATTGGTCCGGAATACTATGTTAATGCGAACCTCACTCGCTTTCAGAGGCGTGCTATTGCCCAACTTAGAAGCGGAACGTTGCCACTCAAATTAGAGACTGGGAGATACACCAACATTCCACTTAATGAGCGACTATGTCTCTGTGGCAACGCCGTGGAAACAGAAATTCATTTTGTTATAGAATGTCACCTTTATGAGACTGAGAGGAGAGAGCTTTTGCATAAGGCCAGGTCGCTAATAGGGAATGACTTTGATACCACTAGTCTAGGACAGTATTGCTTACTTATGAATTGTGAATTGTTGCAACGTTCCCTAGCAAAGACTGTAATTAAACTCTGTATGAAACGTCGAACATTCTTATATTAACTTATTAATCGAATTGTTGTTAAGTGTCTCATATGCCGACATCGGCAGGGCCAATGTTTTTTTTTTTTTTTTTTTTTTTTTTTTTTTTTTTTTTTTTTTTAATATCGTTTTAGTACTATGTAATATTTTATGGCGTGACACTATAATAAATAATAAATACAATACAATACAATATATTGACTATGCTGCATTCTGATTGGTTGAGAAATTCGAATAAAGCACGGTCATGTTTGAATATATATTTAAGAACTGCCATCTATATAAAGTTTAAATAACTAACGTGAACAAAAGATTAATGAGATTCTGATTGTTAGGTTCTGAGAATGCTGCTGCCATCTTTGAATAAACCCTAAATTATCAATGATATAATTATAATCTATTGTGATAACGAACACCTCCCAATCTGAATGTTTTTAACTGCACGGTGGCATTTGGATTAGACAGGTTTTACTGTATGAGTAATAGTAATACTGAAATTCAAAAAAATCTGAAGGCCTAGTCAATCTATTTTGGGAAATATTCTCAGCTATTTGAAATGAAGATCAACTTTGTAAGAAGTCTCTATAATTATTTTTTTAATTTATACAATAACATTATACTCAACTTTAGTTCAAATTCCAATGCTCTGGCCTTGGCTAATCAAAACAGTTCATTGCAATTGTTTCATCAATTATTATATTATTATATTAATATATCATAATTATTTCACATGCAAATACTGTACTGCCACTAATATTTGATGCTGTTATCTTTCACAATTTTGCAATTTTGCGGATATCAATTTTCGCTAATTATAAATTTTTTATAATTTTGTATCTATTTTTTTCACCATCATATCATTTCTCAAAAAAATTTCCAGCTTATTTGATTAAATGTTTTTAAAACCAAGAAATATGAATGAAACAGTACCTTCTTACCTTTAATTATTGCTATACCATGTACTTAAAGCCTTTACATGACACCTATCAGCTATCACCTGCTTCAAAAGCATAGGTGAAACTAAACTATTGAAATCAAGTGCTCACTTTAAATTTTTTTTATATTTTCTGTTTGGGAAAATCTGTTAGTTATCAGCTGCATTTTTGTCAGTCAAGATTTCTCTTCATCAAACCAAATCAAATCCAAGGAATGTTTAGTCAAATATCCAGTTGTTCAGGAATCAAACTCAATTCAAAGAATGATTAGTTCCATAGTGTAAACATATACAACAATATTGGTATCAGCCATTATGTTACATTAAAAAAAAAGAATGTAAAAGACTTTCATGTAAGCAGGAAATTTCTTGAAAGAATACTAAAGGTTTCACAACAGAATTTAGACGGTCATATGTTGAATTGCAGAAATGTTCTGAAAATGTAAGGTGTGTATGTTAGGCCAATGCATTATCTAAAGGAAAAGTACTCATACAGATGATAAAAAAAATTGGAGATTGAGACAGGGAAGGTGCAAAGACCCATCAACATTTTTTTTCAAAAATGTTTTCCTGATTTTCAGTTCCTTCCATTTTTTTTATAATGTTTTCACATTAATATGTTGCATTTGTAGACAAAGTTAACATACTAAAGAGAAAATATTTTCCTTTTAAGAGTTTATTTGTGTCTCCAAATGCAACATACTGATGCATAAAACATTTATAAAAATTGAATAGAAGGGGAAATTTTAAATTCAACGAACATATAGGCCCACTGAGCATTTATTTTGCACAGGGCTTTTATTAGAAAGAACTCAAAATAAATGCAATTGGCTTTTATTAAGACTAAGAGGGAAATTGAAAACATTTTTCCAAGGGGACAGGCATTTATTAAGAGGGAAAATAGCTTTCCCAAGCCAGTGGGTGTTTATTTCGAGGCGTATTATCAATCGAAGAGTTGACACATGGCCTTCATATACTCATGCAATAGTATCTATCATCTCTGATTGCACACTTCTGTTTTACCTTTCAAGCATTCGATTTGGATTTTGGAATGTCATAAAGCTATGCGGTCAAAAGTAATCTTAATACTTTTTAGTGAAAATGCATTTATATTTTTAAAATGCAGAATCTTGCGAATGCAAAATCCTCGAAATCCGATCACCTTCGCATCTGAATGTTTTTTTTAACTGGTCATGGTGTTTTAACTGGTCATGGTGGCATTTGGATTAGACAGATATTACTGTATAAGTATTAGACAGATATTACTGTATAAGTATAATAGTATTACTGGAATTCCAAAAAATCATAACGCCTACAATGCTAGTAATATTAAGTGAAAATGCATTAATATTTTTTCAAAATCAAGAATCTTTCGGATGCAAAAACCTCGAAATCAGACGTTTAAATCTGAATGTTTTTAATTTGTAGCGGTGGCATTTGGATAAGACAGGTTTTACTGTATAAGTATAATAGACATTAATAGTATTACTGGAATTCCAAAAAATCATAAGGCCTATAGCAACAATCATGTGAACTTCAGGTCAAAATTCCAATGCTCCCTTGGCCAATCAAATCAGTTCATTGCATTTGTTTCATCAATGCTCTCAATATCATAATTATTCCACATACAAATACTGTACTACCGGTTAATTTGCGAGTTTAAATTTCATGAATTTTGAGAAATACCAATTTTGCGGCCATTAAATTTTGCGGATATCAAAGGTTTAACTTCCATTATTCTCTGAATCCTCAAAATTAATTTATCTTATCTACAGTAATTACACCTACCCAATATCATATACTTTGGATAAGATTTACAATCTCTAGATCTTAGTCAATGGCATGTTGCACCTCAGCCTTTAATTGGGGATATTCGCGACTATTAATTTTCGTGATTTTTACACAATCGCGAAAAGCACGAAACTAAATTGCACGCGAAAAATATCGTGAGTACAGTACATTGAAACCATACACTCTTATATTTCATAAGAATTTGCAATCAAGCCTAACAAATCTATTGGCAAAATATTAGAAGGCCAGCAAATGTACACATGCTAAAGTGATGAAACTTTAATGAATTTTAATTTTGCCTATACTGAGATGTGTTAAACTCTATTTGGGTTAGATTTATTCGGCTACACCCTCTACTTACAGCCTTAACATGCCCCCTATCGGCTATCACCCGCTTCAAAATCATAACAGGTTCCTTTATATCTTCCTTTATCTTCTGTTTAAGAAAAGCTGTTAGCTATCAGCTGTATTTTTGTCAATCAAGATTTCTCTTCATCTGTGAATTACCCAGCGAGAAACCAAAATGGCAATTTTGATGGAAAGACACAAAGTACCAGTCAAAATCTCTGAAGATTTCCGGGCAAACAATGGCAGCTCTCCCAGTTAGGTTTTAGACTGTCTTCTCATATCTTGTCAATTTTATTCAATCTCAAGTATTGTTTAGAGTTGTGCGTTCAACATATTCGAGAAGTCAATAGCTATAATAAATCTGCAGATTTTGCTCGCATTTATGTAAGCTTTTCTCTTTTGACGGATACTTTGTGTCTTTCCTTGAAATCATGACAGGTGTAACTGATCTACTGAAATCAACTTCAAGTGCTTACTACTATCTCCCAATGTGAGCTACATCAGTGCTTTTTGTTGAGAAAATATGTAAGTTATAAGCCGCTTTTTGGCCGATCAGGATTTAAATTCTCTTTATCTGTCATGTACGTAGCAAGATTCAGAGATTTTGACTTGTACGTCATGTCTTTCCGTCAAAACTTCCATTTTTGGTTTCTTGGTAAAGAGTAGCTTCTCAATGTATAATGAGAATTTGCTGTTCGGCACAGAAGCACCTTTTAATTTTTTTCGATTTTCGCAAGGAGGACACTAACACAATTTTGAAGCGGTTGATAGGGGGCTCTAAAGGCTGTTCTAACATATCAGTCACAGCCTCTGAAAGAGCTAGATCTAAGGCTCTAGCTTTAGGCTAGTCTAAGTCCTATAGATCTAGTAGTCTAGGCCTTGGAATATTCCCAGCCCAGGCATAGGCCCGTAAAAATGTAAAGAAATAAAGCTTCTATTTAAGTGAATTTGACTCATTGAGTCAATGTTATACATGTTCCGGGCCTATGCCTAGTATAGTCCCGCAGGACGAAGAAGATAGAATGTAAAAATCAAATTGAAAATCAAAATAATCGAACGAAAAAAAATTGAAAAAAATTGAAAAAGTTGAAAATTCGATTTCGATTCAATTTGATTTTCTGCCATTATAAATCAAATACTGTACTTACCAACATGTTTCTCGGATATATATGTTGTTCTTACTTTATCTTCGCCGAAGATCGATGTTTATTTATATATAACAATCGAATAATCGACATCATAATTCAAACTCATCACTACGACACCCAGGCTTTCGAAACCATGTAAACTGCTAAGATGACGTCATTTATATCCGGGATTGCTTTGCAAACTCCACACAACAGACTGTCCCAGCTTTTCTCCTGCTTTCTCCCGATGCAATTCATACATTACTCGGAGATTACTGTCAAACGTTCCAAGTTTTACAATTTTAGCACGTTTATTACGATCTAATTCCTGCCAGTATCAATGAATAAATCTATTGACCAACAGATTGGAAATATGTATTCCAGTGATACCCTCATTTTGACGAAAGAATGGTACAAATATGTCCACTATTTATCGAGATATCGTGTAGAAAAATTGAAGAAAGACATCGCTTAAGAAATTTCTATTTCTAGACTGTACTGTTCACGCTCGCAAGTGGCATCTCCATCTCCATATATGGGCAAAAAGGTGGAGTTAACAATAAGCAATGCAGGGATTGACACGATTGAAACGAAGAAGTCTCGATGAATCTCGCTTAAACTCCGCCCCTTCTTCGTGAAAAATCACGTGAATTCCGGCTTTTGCTGGGACATATCCGGGCATCTCGGCTTCGAACCCAATCAGAAGTTTCAATTTTGACTGGCGCCGCATACATTATCTCAAGTCTCACCCAATATTTTTATGTATACGTTAACAATCTTCATCTTTTTATTTTTCAAGTATTATGTTTTTCTTGCCCTTACATTCTCAATGTACTTTGGAGTGGGATAACACGTACATGTAACGTAAACATTTCCAAGATTCAATCCTTTTTTCTCTCATTAAGATTTTGGATAGATATTGCTCTTGACCATGGTATAAGGCCCGTATGAGGTCGCCATTCACCGGAGTACATATGGGTAATATCTCTCGAATGATATCGACATTTCCCTCGGTCACTGTGTATCAACCTGATATTCCCCATATCAAATTCCTCTTGGTAAATAACTACTTTAACTTTGTTTGGGCTAGCTGCCGGGGTCAGTTAATGGCGGTTGATAGCCCTATCGGCAAAGAGTATTGTTATATAACATTGTATAATAAAATTTCATTGTTTTATAATAAAATTACATCATCATATTATATGGCCAACAACAAACCTACTTAGTTTTGTTACTCTTATTTTTGCCTATCAAATGCAAAGAGCGCAATAAAATACCCAGAACACTACAGCTCCATAAATTAAAAATGCAGTTAAAGGTTTTGTGAGTGTGAAGTGGTGACGTCTTATTGTCTTCGGACACCAGTCATTAATTCTGACCAATCATGTGGCTTCTAGGTTTTAAACGTCAGTTGTCTATTACCACCTGGTATACCATCTTCATTCGTTACATTTATTGTGAATACACACAGCATCGGAGTTATTCTTCTTGCAGGACATTACATCATATTTTGTATTCTCTATACCTTATTTGTTAAACTTTTTATTATACATTTAAATTTCATTTTAGATATTGATTAAAAGGATCACGGTGTGGAAAGAATTAAGCCCATATGTGGGGTTCCTTTTTCCAAATGCAATATCGAATATTGTAGTTTTTATATCGAATCGTTTTGCAGATACTACATAGAGGTCTTGCAACAGGAGCATGCGGCTCAGGCTAGGGTTCAGGTAGCAGCTATGATGTATACAACTCGCTTCACAGGTCAACAGTCGGGAGACGTTATAGCTGAGAAGCAGATAGTAATGACAAACTCTGTGGCTTTGCAGGAACAACAGGTAATTACATACAGCTGGTCAATGCGAAACGTTGACTTTTTAGAACCTGAACATAAACATGTGATATAGGACAAAAGTTTTCTCCGTAATACTTTCATACTCAGGCTAAATCATTGAAATAAAATATTATGATTTTTAAGGAAATATACATCAAAAATTATTCGTAAATTAATTTTGTCATTAACAGTCGATAGAGTTGCAAAACTGGGCACCCAAGACATCAGTCAGTGAGGTACAGAAGGTAACGGTGGGTGCTCTACAGGGAGTAATCAGACTAGGAATGGACGGTGTATATACAGGTACAATTTATTGTTTAGTATCAAAATATTACTTACTATTTCATGTTGCATCGTATTTTCCATGGTAATGATAGTAGTTTTAGACTTAGATTCATTGGATACATTCGCGGAATATTTAAAAAAATAAAATCAATGAATCTAACTTCTACAGAGAGTTGATCTCACCTATTCATGAATCTATAAAATGCTATTTCATTGGATGTTTTATTTTGTGTTCCAATATAATATGGGATGATAATTCTTGGTTGTGCATACTTTTCAGTTCCCATTGATATTGGGCAACCTAATGCTGGCGATATGATGATGATTCAACTCAACAGGCTTATTACAATCTCACCTGATGGCACGTCTGTCTCCGTCAATGTAGGCACATCGACTATGGAGTTTACAATTACTTTCAATTCTGAAAGAGGTTGGTTCATGTCAGTGTCAACTGTATGTACAGGGTGTTCCAAAAGTAACAGGACTGGTGCTGTTTTTTTGTTAAACATGGACCAATTGTCTTCAAAATTTTACATAATGTACTTTCATATATTGTCATGTGAGGACATCGCAGGGTCGATTGGACAACGTGAAGAACATCATTCTCATCTTTAAAGGTCTTACCCCACTGATTAATATTCCATTCTCCATAAAAGTAATAAAAAATTAGACATTTCATGATCAGAAGAGTGGCTTCAAATAAGGTTTTTTCGAAAACTCAATCGTGAATTTTGCAGACTGTTATACATAGTAATATTCCAGGAAATTAAATAAATATTATTATAATGAAATCATACTTAAATATGAGTTGTATAGCAACACCATAACAACAAAGCAACTAATAAAACAAACAAAATATGATGTACTGTAATAGGTGAATTAGATACTATCCTTTATAGTACACATTTTCACATATCACATTTTCATGAAAAAGTTGCCCCGGGTATTGTGATGTCATGTTACTATAGTAACCATAACTTTACCCACATTTTATCATTCTTTCTGAAACTTTACAATTTTAGTTGCAATACTTCAAAGTACAATTTGTAAAATTTTGAATACAATCTGTGCAGAATTGACAAAATGACAGCACCAGTCCTGTTACTTTTGGAACACCCTGTATATTGCTTGCTTTTTAATCTTAAAACATATTAACAGCATCAGGTTCAGAAAGCTTGCCTAAGAGACTTTTAGGCTTTTGGTGTTCTCCAATATGTTATAATAACTTCTTTTTTGGAGGAGGGGGGCCGCATATTTTTATATTCATCACATAAATGTTTACTGATGTCACATTTATCTACATAATACTAAACTTTAGTGTCGGCGAATTCTATTCTTAGGTGATCTACCACTGTTAACATATCGGACAACTGGTGGTATCAGTATTACAGTAACTGAAGTAATGAAGGGGCAGTCAAGTCTTGAAAAGTTCCAACTAGAACTATTTGGCGTGCCTTCTGCATTGGTCACAGTAGGAGCATCGGCAGGCATGGTAGGATCTCCACTACACTTTTAATTCTGCTCCAACCACTTTTTAGACTCACGAGTATGTTTTAAAAGCTGATCAATATTTATGTAGCAATATCAATCATCCAAGTTATTGTTTCTACATTTTTGCCGTTTATTTTGCAAATGAATAGTTTTTTAATTGTTGACCAAAGTAATTAGTATTAATTACTGTTTGGAATATTGGGTACAGGCATAAAATATGGGGGGGTGTATGGGGGTGTATGGGAGTCGGGAAAACATGAGTTTTAGTTATTCTGATATATCTCCATGCACAATGTCTATCTTTTATTTTATTCAAACCAAGGGTAGGGTAGATGATAGATGTTATATCAGACATTTACAGATTCATGAATATTGTGTTCGTTGAGATTTGTTACTTGGTGGAGTTGCCCTTTTCTAGTTTCTCATTTTATCGTGTTTTATATTGGCAGGTGGCTGATGCTTTAACAACGCTAAACTCTCTTAGATGCCCTGACTACATCGTGAAACCATCCAGGAAATTCTACTTTCAAGATTATGAAGGAGATGAAAGGGTACTTGGTGAACGATCTACCGAAAATCCATTTTGTGGTAAAACAGTAGTACAGAGTCCACACATAATTTTCCAAGATTACAAAAGTCCGTTTGAATTATCAAGTGGTGTCAAATATGTAAGTAATCAATGATTGATGCACTTCAAAATTATCCGTTTTATTCAATGGCATTGAGTAAAAAGTTTACATGATGTTGTAAATAGTTTGTCAACAGTAAATGATGATCCATGTACTTGTTAAATAAATTGTAAGTGTTTCCAAGATGCATGTGTATGTAAAAACAAAATATGGGCATTTTTCCGAAAATTCCCCGTTCAACTTGTTCAATTGAATCATTGATTCCCATTTCAGTAATAAATCTTTTATTTGTATAATTGTTCAATATGTAGTCGATTACAATTATTTCTGTATTCGTCTCCGATTCCTGAATAAATCACCTCTTATTTCAGTTATGTTTTGCTTATCGTGGTCTGTTGCATAATGCTGTCTTAATCGACATCGACTATATGGAAAATTCCTCTCCCTTGTCGAAAACTGTAAGGATTGAACATGAATTTTATGCCGAAGAAGACATAGATTTTAAAAGGTGAGCAACCGTTCATACCACGACTGACAGCGACCGTGTATTGTTCTTAGATATCGTTCCCTACGCTTCCACAGGGTTTCTATTTTTTGTTATTTTCAAAACATGTTATTACATTTTTTCTGATTAGTAAACGTGGTCTATTGTATCTAGATTCTAACGATGTGTCCATTCTCAATATAAATCGTTTACTATTTAGTTTTAGTAATGTTTGTTACTTGACAGGGTTCCCTTTGTGCCTTTTTCAGCTGGAAGTACACATGTTTGGACATGTTGTCTCCTTTGCAAATAGCCGAACCAGATGGCAGTCAGTTCAAGGGCACGCGATTGCGCGTATTCACAGACATTGGGAAAAACTATTGGTTGGATGCCGTATTTATTGGATCAAAGCCTACCGTCCCAGTCACTCCAGAAACGGGGGAATGTGAGTTTTTTAGACTATAAAATTTTTTATTTAAGCCCTGGTCGCATTTACTACGATCTTAAACATTAATGGCATCGATAAGTATTTTGTTCAAAACTGAAGGCAATTTTGAACACAACACTCATCATCGGTCGGGCGCCGGTGTAAAAGGGTAGGAGGTCCTATCAAATTATGGTCCTACTCTCCATTGATTTATATGGTGACCTAAATACAACTCTTTCCCTCATTACCTTATACGCAATCGGGGCCAGTAAGGGCCGTTAACAAAGGGGACCATAATCCCTGGGGGACCATCATTTCTTTCACACCGGTACTGAAAATCGGAGCAAGTGATCACGGTCGGCTGAACTAAAGTGCAATTTAGAACTGTATACTTCAACGACTTGCGTAATATTTTAGGCTTGGACTGCAGATATGTCAATGATCAGATACTTAGGCCTCCGTTACCTAATGGTAATCGCATTGAACGTTTGGATGTCACAAAGTCTGATAACATGTATACTTTAAGTATAACGGGAGAGGATGTCATTTATAATGCACCTTTAATTCGCATTAGAGGAGGAGAGGTATCTAACTTTTATATGTTTTAATTTCTTTAATCGTTGATATTCTCATCTTGACACTTTATGGAGAAGTTAATGTATACGTTTTTATATATATTATCTGTTTTATTTCGTCATATTAGAATGCATGTGTAGTCAACTGATGATGTATGATTGATACATATTTTAAATATAACTAACCATAACCAAATACGTATTTCATTTTTCATTCATCGTATCAGGTCGAAGCTGGAGGCTATGCACCGGGCAGTGGTGGCGCCACCTATGGTGCATCTGGTTGGGGAGCAGCTAAAGCAGTTGTGACTCGTGTTTCAACTGCAACCGCACCGATAGCCGGGACATTCGAGCTTTCATTCAAGGGACAAACGGTCACAAGTAAGAAAAACCCATCAATGTAATCGTATCATCAATCGAGAATGCATATTCCAGTTTTGTATAGAACATATTTTCCTTTTTTATAGCCACAACCCAATAATAACGCTGAAAACGATAAAACTGAATACTAACCAGCTTTCAGTAATATATAATTGTATAAAACATTACTGTATATGTTTTAGTCCCAGCAAATGCAACTGCTGAGGACTTTCATGCTATATTTGAGACCATGCCAACATCAGGATTAGTAAACGTTGAGCGAACAGGAACTGGCACCGCATATAATTGGACTGTGACGTTCCTAACTAATACGGGTGACCAGGAACTTATTCAGGTACAGTTTAAAAATACGCAATACAATACACATTACATTTCTTATGTTTATTATTCCAGAAATTATTGATATTTTTAAAATATATTAAACATTTACAATACATATTTATATTCTTGCTCATATTTTTGTCCTACAGGTTAATGGAAATGGACTTGTTGGTAACGAACCCAATGTTCAGGTAATAACAGAGAAAGATGGAGGTGTTTTCCTCGATCCAATACAAGGCGATTGGTTAAGAACTGCTCATACTACTCCCCAGGTTAGTGAAATTCATTATGACACCATGGTAGACGATTTTACTGACTTTTTTTTACTATTCAATAACTTTCAATTTAAGATAAACAATCGTATAGAAATATTCAACATGATCATATACTATCATGAAATCAATTTACACTTACAAGGAATATTCACACTTTATAATGAGGATTCCTTTTCAGAAGATTATTTTGATGATAGAAATGAATATGTAGCCAATCTAAATATTTCAACTACATGTATACTACACAAACGAAAGTAAACAAGGAACATTATGAGTCTGTTCAAATCATACGTTAAACACTCTGTTTATCCTTTGGTTATTATCAACGATAACGCGATGACTTCAAGGATTTAATCTTTTAGCTTATCCTGCTATTAAGAAAGTGTAAATAAAAAGCGAATATAGTATTAGTATCCAAGTTAGAAGTACGTTAAAAATAGTGCGCAGAATATATTAACATATAAAATCTCACGTATAACAAATATGAGACATTCAATTATTTTGGACTTAAACTTTCAGTTTGTCCAATTCGCCGAAACGATCATTTTCGGGTTATTGTATTCAAATGCCGAAGATTTAAACTTTTAGTTTATTTGAGGCACATGGTTCTGATTATATAATTAATCATTGTTAATTTTAATAATTGGGTCTATATTCTCATAACCTTTTATGCTTTCATCTTATGCTGCCAAGGGTTCCTCCAACAAATATTGTATATAGTAACAGTATCTTATTACTCGTATGGACACTGCACAGTGCACACAGAACTGTTTCAACTTTCAACTATCCCGACATATCTGTAATACATGTTTTATTCTGCATATATGCCATCTATATGAATGTATTTAGTTTATTTCACTTTTGATTGCAGTCACCGACCCACAACACAAACAAACACGCAATATCCCCTAGATCTGGTTGGGCGCTAGACAATATAATCATATTGCCTAGAATGGTCAGTTCTATTAATACCCAACTTGTGAAGTTAAATAAATGGAAAATAATAATATTTACACGCAACACGAATTGTTATGTTTACTTCACAACAAGCAGATCTAGGGAGTAACACAAATTTTCCCTTATGCCAAATAAGGTGCTTTGTGGGTCGAACGATTGTATCTGTGCATTATGTTAATGTTTGACTGACACATCAGTTTAGGGTTAACCTCAGTGAAACGAGTTTATATCTTAGTTCAACTTACAGGCTGCTTGCAATAGCACTAGTAGCTCACAATAGAACGTTCTGATAATATAATTAAAGTAAATCACTGTATATGCAATTGTATCATAATAATATTGCATATCATTTATGAACAATTAATATATTTATACACTTATGGACATTTAATATATTTATATCCTTATGGATAATATATTGATATACTTGTGGACTTTTAAAAATTGCCGCCCATTCCCCACCACCTCCCAACAGTTCTATTAATACCCAACTTGTGAAGTTAAATAAATGGAAAATAATAATATTTACACGCAACACGAATTGTTATGTTTACTTCACAACAAGCAGATCTAGGGAGTAACACAAATGCTTTTTCCAGGTATCAGTGAAGATCAACAATATCCCAACAGCATGCACCGGGGACTGTAGCTTTGAGTACTCTGAAGCTGCAACCCCAACAGTAACTGCCAGTACTCCATCACAAGGTTTTCTAAACAACATTTATTATTCACCTATTTTGACTCTCAAGAATAGTATAACATGACATTGTCATTGATAGGTTTCTTATAGCTAGTTACTTGTTACAGTTACTAAATCATGTTACAGTTACAGAATAATGTTAAAGTTGTGCCTTTTCCTTTTATATTATAACAGCTCATGACTCATTTTGAAGCTCACAGAATTAAAAACCACAAAAAATCACATTTCTGAATAATGATTATTCAATATATTCATTTTAAAATTTGAAAATTGCACTTTGTTCAAATTTTGTTTTTGTTACTTTTTGGTATCAATCGTTTTGCCGTATACACATTTCTATTCATTAAAAGCATTCGAATGTCTAGACGTGTCGCAAAAAGGTGGCGCATTTGTTTTTTAAGGGTATCGCGTGAATGTAACTTTGATTCCCCAGATTATAAGATAATATTCGTATTAAAGTTATATATCATTTTAAAGCTGTTTCGATGAAGTTTTTAGATCAACTACACTCCGTTCACGATTCTGGCGCTTTAAACGCTCATAACTCAAACAATATATGACTATTATACTTATTTTTCGTCTTGATTAAGGTAGATGGAAGTTTTATTTCAAAGGATGAATTTTAGTAAGCGTCCCATATTGTGACATCATAGAGAAAAATAGAATCTGTTGACAGCGACCTTTTTTGCTCATTTTTTGTTACCTTCAACTTTTCAGGTGTACATTAAACAAAAAATACGAGATCAATTTTTAATAAATCATACATGATTATTTTGCTCTTAAACTCTAGTTTATTAATAAATAGTTAGTTTTGTTCGCAAAAGTATGTGTTTTCTGACGATGTGGAAGATGGAGGACGAAAGGTTTTCAAAATTCATTAAAATAGGGCTAATTTACGCCATTCGCCTATTTCCAAGCACAGCAACACGTATATTTATTTCACCTAAAATATCAATTGATTCGTGTTTTATGATGCTCCTATCCCATTGTTAATACATATACGATATCAGAGTTATTCGCCTTAAATATTTTGAGATAAAGAGGCAAATGTGGAGGACGAAAGGATTTCCATATGTGTACATTTTTCTCAAAAAACGTCACATTCTGTGGTGTAAAAAAGCGAAAATGTGTAGACGTGTCGCAAAAAGCTCGCGCACGCATTGTTACACATTTTGTGGCGTAATCCAGAGGATCCTCGCTTTTAACATGATAGAATGTGACGTTTTTGAGAAAAATGTACACACATGAAAATCCTTTCGTCATCCACATTTACCTACCTTTTATTGTTCATGGGCTAGGAGCATCATAAAACACGAATCAATTGATATTTCAGGTGAAATAAATATACGTGTTGCTGTGCTTGAAAATAGGCGAATGGCGTAAATTAGCCCTATTTTAATGAATTTTGAAAACCTTTCGTCCTCCACTTTTCCACATACAACAGAAAACACATACTTTTGTGAACAAAATCAACTATTTATTAATAAACTAGAGTTTAGGAGCAAAATAATCATGTATGATTTATTAAAAATTGATCTCGTATTTTTTGTTTAATGTACACCTGAAAAGTTGAAGGTACCAAAAAATGAGCAAAAAAGGTCGCTGTCAACAGATTCTATTTTTCAGACTCTATGACGTCACAATATGGGACGCTTACTAAAATTCATCCTTTGAAATAAAACTTCCATCTACCTTTATCAAGACGAAAAAAAAGTATATTAGTCATATATTGTTTGAGTTATGAGCGTTTAAAGACGAAAAATAATTCAAAATGTAACGTGTCAACATGGGATATTTGCCAGATGTTTTGGTAAAAAAACTCTTTTTTAAAAACGAACGCGCAAAAAATGTAAACGGAGTGTAGTTGATCTAAAATCTTCATCGAAACAGCTTTAAAATGGTATATAACTTTAATTAGAATATTATCTTATAATCCGGGGAATCAAAGTTACATTCACGCGATACCCTTAAAAAACAAATGCGCCACCTTTTTGCGACACGTCGTAACAATGCGTGCGCGACCTTTTTGCGACACGTCCTAGGATGAGCACAACTGGTGCACCTATATCTTGGAGTATCATATCAGTTTTCGAACACATGGCTGCATGATGAAACGACCTTATTTGGAGTTGTCAATTTGGCGGAGCGATCTAGAGCTCAGAAAACTCTTAGTAGCCACGATGTTGTTTATTCATCCCTCTATAGTGTTCCTCTTTATACTATTACCTTTGCCTTTTCCCTTTGACAATTATATTTACATAATTGTATTATTGTAGGACCAGCAAATACAGACCTGACAATAACTGGTACAGGGTTTCATACTACAGCTGACCAAAATACTGTCCTGATTGGTGGTGCTATATGTGATGTGACATCAGCTACCTCTACCGAGATACACTGTACAACAGGGAACGCCGCTGCTGGTTCAGCAGATATAATTGTGCGTGTCATCGGTAAAGGAAATGCGGAACACAATGGCGGCCCATTCCAATTTACATACGAAGCAGCCGTTACGGCATTAACACCAACGACAGGAAGTATAGCAGGTATAGTCAACATTGGGTAGACAACATTGACCATAACTATGAATGACAAAATGTATTGAACAAATGTAAAGCCAATTGGTTGCCAATAGATATTTGTTTACATGGAAATGGTGTTGATTGCAAAGATTATAGGGACATAACGTGTTTTGTGTTAAACATCGGGTGTATTTATCGGGTGTGTTTATTATAGAAAAATCATCAATTTAGAAAACTTTTACTCCATGATTGTATGTGTAAATATAAATGCTGTTTGTTTCATTTCAGGTGGAACATTTATTACATTAACTATATCTAGTTTGCGAGATGATGCTTTGGTGAGCGTAGGGGGCAATGATTGCCCTGTAAGCACTCGAACGGCGACAACAATAACATGCACAACACCAACTGGGGTAAGAGGCTGTAGTAAATACCATTATGGAATGTAATATGTAAAAAGCACAATTCGGTCTTGAGAATAAATAGATAATATAAGCTAGCACTGTTTTTCACGACCAAAACGAGAACGTAAGTTATTTAAGCGATGCGTTTGTATGGGCGATTGGTCATGCGTAAAGGTTAGCGTTTCGATTTTATATGCAAGCTTAAACTCCTAATAAGACAAGATACAGGATGTTCAACTGACCAATCAACCTTTTGAATTATTTCATTGTCCAAAATATTTTAGGACTCTGCAGGAGAAGTCCAAGTCGAGGTGACACAAGGAGGGGTTACACTAACAAGTCCAATTGCATTCAATTATGATTCAAGTCTCACTGCAACTATAACCAGTTTTTCAGCAAATACAGGCAGTGTTACAGGTATAAGCTAATTGTAATTGTCACTTTAGTTGGATTATTATGGATTTAATTTTTATAGGTTGATAATTTTAATATGTACATAATCTAAATGATAAATCTGTTATTAGTTGAGTGTATGTATTGTAGGTGGTGAAACAATTGATATTGTTGGTACACAGTTTGGGACTGGAAATGACCATGTTGTGACTGTTGGCGGAGTGGAAGCCACGGTAGTGTCTTCATCTGACACACAGATATCTGTAACTCTTCCTCCATTACCACCAGGCTCTCATCCTATAGATGTTACAGTTGGTACATATGGATATGCAGATAAAAGGTATGCATTTTGAATAGTGACATATGATATACTTAGACTATATCTAAATGAATGATTTTTAATGTAGAAATTTAGATATGACATACTTAATAATGATTTTGTATTTAAACATTTAAGCATGTTGTCACTTTTTCATTCAGCTCCGTTACCAATACAGACATATTGGTGTCATTCGAAGTGAATAATGTAAGTCCTCTGATTGGTTCAATGATTGGTGGCACAGTTTTAACTTTGACTGGCCAGGGATTTGGAAGTGCTGGGGCGAACAACATACAAGTTGGAAGAACTAGTTGTACCATTTTATCCGAAACAAACTCAAAAATAGTGTGCAAAATTGATGAAACTGCAACTACACATGTGGTAACTAATGAAGGCATTCATCCAGGTAAAAACAAATGCTATGCTTTATCATTTCAAGTACTGGTTATTTATCATTTTTTATCTTTTGATTATAATAATCTTAGAGAAGCTGTTTACTTGGACTGAACATTTTATTTCAGTATTTGGTCCTGATTATGCATGGTTACCTCACAACCTTGCTATAAAAACAGGGGACATAGTAGAATGGCGATGGCATGCCCCTTCATGGGTGTCCAACATTGGATTCTCCGTACAACAGACTCCTAACATAACAGCAAAAGAGTATGATGGAACTGGCTTCACAAGTGGTCCCAACACAACACCCAACGGTAAAGATAAATTTCAGAAGCCTTGGCTATTTACTGGAGAGTACATAATCTCATAAAGTAGAGTTTTAATACTTACCATTCTGTAATGGTCTAAATATTATGACAGAACCTCTTAAGATCCTGTTTACTACATCTTAACGTCCCATATCTCACAAATGCAGTACAGTATTTTAATTTCAGGCTCATTTCGGCATAGGTTTAATAGTGAAGGAGTCTATAACTACTGGAGTAATTACATTGACCCAGAGGAAGAAAACTTCATAAGAGGTGTGATCACGGTCACTGAAAGACAAAGCCATCTAGAAACTATCAGGTTGACCGTTAACAACTTTGAGGCTATCTACACACCTGGGGGAGGTATGTAAGGTCGTATTTACCAGTATATGTAAGTTGTGCAATGACTGGAAAATTATAGACCATTACGAAGAACTAGCTATAAGAAAAACAAGACATCAATATCCAAAACACTAAAGCAGAAGGAAACCATGCCTCGCAACCTCTTCCACCTACCATTCAGGAATCGGTATCACAATCTAAAACTTCATAAAAATAGGGCACTTTGTCTAAATAGAGAAGCTAGGACTTAAAATAAACTGACGGCTAAACAATGAAACCAATGCTTTTAACTTATATTTCAGCACCTCCTGCCCCTGGGTCATGTCTGCCTGTTACAGCATCAGTTAGTGGTTGTACTGAGGAAGATGTTGTAAGCACTAACTCTGACCTGTTTGAATTCACGTTCTCTCAATGTAGCACCCCAAGTATTAGCTCAATATCTCCAAACAGTGGCACAAGTGAAACTGATATCACCATCACTGGAGAAGGATTTGGACCAGAGATCTGTCAGAATGAGGTCAAAATAGGAGCCCAGGACTGTGTAGTCAGTTCTAGTTCAGAGACTGAAATTATGTGTAGACTTGATCCAAATGGAGTGCACGAGGTGGGAACATCGTATCCAGTAACAGTACGTGTAAATAACAGAGGAACAGCAAAAAATTATATTGTCATTGATGAAAATCGAAGTTATACTCTTCTTCCCATGGTGTCTAATGTTACCCCTTATACAGGCTCACTCTCAGGTGGTACGACGCTTACAATATCTGGTTCTGGTTTTACACAAGGCCACACGGGAGGCCTTACTGTTAATATTAATGGAGTAACCTGTAAAGTTGAAAGTGTTTCATACACGCAGGTTGAATGCACAACCATTAGCTCTGGTGCCACAACTGGACATGATGTGGTCGTTAACGTCGGACCGTATGCATCAAAATGCGAAGGTGTATGCGTTTTCTCATACAGTGAAGCAGCAACTCCAACTTTTATTGACGTCACACCTTTAGCAACGAGTATCAGCTCAACTGATATCACGATCACAGGGAGCAAATTTGGTACTGATAGTGTTGATGTCACAGTCAAAATTGGTACTCAAGACTGCTCTGTCACATCAGTCACTGATACCTCCATAGCGTGTACCATCGGTTATATAACTGTTGGTCCTCAGCAGGTCAACGTCATCATCAAAGATAAGGGCCAAGCTTGGTATTCAGATCCAGTTTATATAAATAGTGAAGCCGTGGTTGACACCGTAAGCCCATCTGAAGGTAGCATCAATGGAGGAACAGTATTGAATATTTTGGGTAATGGCTTTGATGCTGAATCTACAAAAGTTACACTTGATGGAGTTGAGTGTACACTACAGACCGTCACTCTTTCACAGGTAACTTACTCACGTACATATTCGTATGGAATGAGAAATAACATGGTCAAGTAAGAATAATATTATAAGTCTTTGTCATACCTTGTGGGTCTTGTATGTTGTATGAGTATAACCCCTTTTAGATATCGTTTATATAATGATCTGCCCACATTATTATTTAATTAAGATGACATAGGACTTTAATGATAAGCGGTCAATATCCCTACTTCAGATATAACGATCTGCTAAGAACCATCACATTGACAACTGATCTGCTTTTCCTTTTCAGATCACGTGTACAACAGGACCACATGTAGACGGAGCTGTTAAGGTTGCTGTCAAGTCTAACGATATAGACTACCCTGAGATTGATTTCACCTACTCTACTGGAATTACTCCAGTGGTAACCAGCATTGACCCAGTCACTGGGACCACGGGAGATCAGGTTACGATTACTGGGAATGGATTTTCAAATATAGCAAATGATGTTACCATACAATTAGGTAGGTGTTTGTGTGACATTGTCGTGTTTGACTGAAACCATATGCATTAATTTGCAGCAATTTTATTTGAATCAAAATTGTTCACAAATGTACTTACTTATATAATAGCATGCCGTATGTTGTATTTTATTCGAAGCATAATTTATACAATACATGTATATTCTTCTCTCAATCACTCTAGGTGGATCCCCATGTACTATTGTATCAGTCACCGTAAACGCATTGGTGTGTGACCTTGGGTTTAGTTCTGCTGGAGAGAAAGCTTTGTCAGTTCTCGTAGATGGTGTCGGATACGCTACTTCTGACATTACATTTATTTATACCCTGAGGTAAGTAAAAACGTTAAATTGTCATGATACCTGTACTTTCATCAATTGAGGCTAAAATTTCAAAGTTTGAACATATTTCATGAAGCTCTTTAACACTACTTTACACAGCTTTTTGTTTCATGTACAACTGATTTGACATTCATACATAATTTTAAATGACTCTGGTACTCCGGATCCTATGTCTTTAACTTTGTTAGACAACCTGTATAATCTGTACATCCTGTACATAAGCTCAGATAGGACGAGACGAGTAAAATACTAAGAACAAGTATATATGCAGCTCGTGTATTCACTAAATGTGTTAGAAAGCAAATCTATTTCTATTTAAGCTTAACAAGTGTGTCACCCTCTAGTGGAAGCTTTGGTGGTGGACAAATTCTGACCCTCACCGGGACTGGCTTTGATCCAAATAATGTAGAAGTGATGATATGTGACCTGGCTTGTGCAGTTGATGTTTCGTCGAGTACTACAACAAGCTTACTGATAGAAACACCCACAAACAATGGTATATTACAATCTCATTGTGAAATGAAAGAATAATTCATTGTTGCATATCTGTGACCGTGACATATCATATACATGATCTTTCTATTTTTAATAGGGTCTGGTACTCAGGCTTGTGATATTGTGGTATCGTCGGGAACAAGTTCTGCCACACAAAGTGATGGTTACACCTACTCAGACACTCTGACACCTGCTGTCACCGCCGTTTCTCCTGCACGTGGGGGGACTGGAGGAGGAGTGCTAATTGATATCATAGGCACAGGATTTGGGTAAGAAAGATTGCCAATTAATATTGCCAAGATCACAATTGTCTTTGAAACTGACTGATGATTAGCCTTTATCTTTTACCACAATACAAGTTGAAAAATAAGATTGTAGTTTGACAAATCTGGAAACTGGTTTTTGCATTTGTATATATTATTATATTTGTAGAACGACAGTAGGAGATATCTCAGTTACTATTGCTGGCTCAGCATGCACTGTGTCTACAGTGACAGATAATCTTGTCCAGTGTACTACCAGTGAACATTCCCCAGCTGTGAAGGCAAAGGTCCGTGTTGTGGTTGGAACTAATGGAATAGCAACTCAGGTAAATATCGTTTGCAATAACATCATAAGACGAATTATTATTTTATAATAATGATTCCAACGAGCGATGTAGATTTTTTCCTGGTCTGTGCTTATTTATACTGCTTCTGGAAATCATTAATCCATTTCATTTACAAGTATATGGTCTTACTAAATAATGGCTTTAGTTTGCAAATGAAACAATTGTGCTTGAAGTCTGACATCGAAATAATGTGGATGGTGCTTGAGTCTGAAACCACAATAATATGGATGGTGTTGAAGCAGCTATAATATGGATGGGGCTAGAATTTGTTTGATTCCATAATGTAATGGAATTGACTATCGCATAAGAGAGAAGTGTGTTACTGAATGAGAATGCAATGAACATATGACTTTAAACCCTGGTAATGGAACAAAACCAACTAAATGACCAATTTACCAAGTCATGGTATGATTATAAAGGAGCCAAATATCTAGTTATTATAGGCAAAGAGGTGCAGATAAGCCTACTGTTTTGTACACAAAATAAACCAATAAGATTGTACTGTTTTTATCTTAGGACGGGGCAGACTTCTGGTATATTGATGTTTATTCCTCTAACTTCACATGGGGTGGGTTACCTCCACCAGTTGCAGGGGATTTTGTGGTGGTGCCAAAGGAACAGGTTCTGTTGGTAGATATTGATACACCAATCTTAGCCTTCCTTCTTATTCAAGGTAAATGCACATGTTTGTGTTAGTTTACTTATATGATTCGTATACTAAAGCATGGGCTTTCAACTATCTAATTGAAAGCCCATGACTAAAGTAAAACAAAACTATTTTTGAACAGTATATTAAATAACGAAATTCAGAACGACCATGTTATGATTAAATTACGATTCTAATTTTTCTTAAAAGGTGGACATGTAATGTTTGACGACGAGCGAGATATTCACCTTCAAGCAGAAAATATCCTTATAACCGATGGTGGGAGGTTTTCGGTAAGTTATGTTGCTCTTCATGTAAAAACTCATTTATTAAACATGTACTAGGCGTGTTTACCGATGTTGTTTTAAATGAATAGTATTAAGTGTCATTTAACTACGTGAAATGAGTTGTACTAGTAATAGGATCGATAAGCTACGCATTTTAAGGTCTCTGGGTAGCTATCAGTAATTTACACCAACAGGAAATAAAAAAAAAATGTGGATTTTAGAATTTTTTGAAGTAAGATAACGGAGTTCTGTTTTAATCTTCAGTCAGTTGTACTACTCCATACACCATTAAACCATTAACACAGTCAGGATAACTATTTCCATCACTTGTTGACTTCAGGGACCAAATTACAACTAATACTACAAAGGAAAGAACTAATCCCTACAGGACCATGATTACCAGCGTTCATATACAAGTTTTTAACTGAATGGTATGTTCCAACGCCCTGTTCTATTCATGCTTCTTATTTTATCAGATTGGGACTGAGAGCGCCCCCTATCAACATGATGCCGTTATAACATTGCATGGTCACTTACGGTCGCCTGAGTTACCCATTTATGGAGCCAAGACAATTGGTGTCAGGAATGGAACGTTGGAATTTTATGGTAATGTTCAATTTAACAAATTTATAATAAGGTTCAATTTTTTTGGGCGTTGTCGGGCATATCTTCCATAAAAGGTAGGACAACTGTCTCACAGATATTCATGGAAGTAGTTCCATCTCCACCAGTAAACTTTTAATCTAGTTGAAAAATATTATCCATTTTGCTTTTTGCCTCGCTTCTATATCTTCTATCGCTTCTTCCAAACTTCATCGATCATCGAAATTATTTAAAATACGTATTTGATTCACACAGTAGCACACACACGCATCTCGCTTCCCTTGCCCGTTCGTAAAATGCTTTATTTTGGCTGCAGTAGTGTTTTAAGGAAATCATTTTGATTCCTGCAGGTCGACCTAAGGTGAATACCTGGACCCATCTAGCTTCTACTGGGGCAGCCGGTAGCACAACGATCACAGTACAAGACAACATCCAAGACTGGGACATTGGAGATGAAATTGTCATAGCAACCACAGGCAATCGAAATTCCCAAAAGGAGACTGAGAAAAAAGTCATTGTTTCTATATCTGGGAACACCATTACTTTAGATTCGCCACTTGAGTATGAACATTTGGGAGTAACCGAAACATTTGAGGATGGTACCACTCAGCTAGATCTCCGTGCCGAGGTTGGTTTACTGACACGTAATGTTAAAGTGAAAGGATCGAAACATATGGATTGGAGCAAACCAATACCCGCTTGCAAGGATGGCTTTAATTTAGGTAAGTTTCCCACGCTTCACATTCCAACTTAGACGTGTCCTATTCTAATGTTGATAGAGCAAAGAAACCCTAAATATGGCATCGAAAATATTGTTTGATATAAAGGGTTGTGTCGAGATATGGACCCTCCCCTGTAGTCATATATACCACGAATCAAAAAAAGCTAAAACTATGCTTTGTTTTTTCTTTGTTTTTGGTATATTGCTCGTAAATATGCAATGATGATATTTACAATGATACATTGTCTGATTATGTCTGCATGGAGACGTCTGTATAAACGACTTCAATTTACTATAGGGTTCATATTTGCATCTCCCCGTGTTTCCACAAGCTCATTTGCTTTTTATATATAATGTATGATTCTAAATAGAATTGTGATTTGTATTATTGTAGGCGAATTTGCTACACAGACCTGCTTTCAGGGGCGATTTGGGGAAGAGATGGGAAGCGACGAATTTGGAGCTCAAATAATGATACATGCACCAGCCAAGGATTTGAATATTGCCCACGCTCATCTCTCTTATGTAGAAATAACCCATGCTGGACAAGCCTTCAGATTAGGCCGATACCCTGTCCATTTTCACTTGAACGGGGAGCAAAGCGGATCGTATGTGAAAGGGTGCGCCATACACGAGACATTTAACAGAGCAATAAATATCCACGGCACAAACAATGTACATCTAGAGAAGAATGTCATTTATAACATAAAGGGTGGGGCTGTATTCCTAGAAGATGGTATAGAGACTGGAAACTTAATTGAGAACAATTTAGTTGTATTTTGTAGACAGAGTACGAGTTTACTCAATGATGACAACACTCCAGCTGCATTTTGGGTCACAAACCCTAACAATACATACATAGGTAATACTGCTGCTGGTGGCACACACGTTGGATTTTGGTACAGAATGCACAAACACCCTGATGGTCCCTCCTACGATGAATCAGTATGTCCCCAGCATGCCCCTCTGGGTATATTCCGAGGCAATAAGGCTCATTCCGTGGGGTGGAATGGACTTTGGATATTCCAAGAATATTACCCTACAGTTGACGGAGCATGTGATTCTACACAATCGCAAGCTGCAATATTCCGCGATTTCACTGCGTGGAATTGTAAAAAGGGGGCAGAAGCAGCGAGTGTTGGTGCAGTGCAATTTGATAATTTCTTAATGGTTAACCATTTAGAATCAGGAATTGAATACAAATTATTAAACAAAAATCCTATAAATTCACAGAACGGAGCTCGTGTGACAAACAGCGTTATAATTGGATCTTCATCCTTCTATGCACTTGGTAAAACCTGCTCAGATAGGGGAATTACTTTACCATTCAGTAAAGGCTTTGTGGTTGAAAATGCAAAGTTTATAAACTTTGAAGCTGAATGTTCGGCATTGGATGTAACAAAAGTCGCTGGTGTGTGCTCGTTTGGATGTGGGGGCTATGAGTATTTGACATCAGGCCTAACCTTCCATAATACTCCAAATAAGAACAAGGTGAATTTTGAGTGGGAGCATGTTGCAGTCATACATGACCTCGATGGAAGCTTGACTGGTCAACAACCGGGTAGTCGGTTGACAACAACAACGGGTCTCCTACCACGTGATCAATGCCTAACAACTGATATAGGTCTCGGAGTTGGAGCGAGTGTGTGTAACCCAGCCACTAAATTCATACGCTTTGCTTTCAATCGACCCTCTCCGATATCTTTAGAAGCTAAGGATGTAAAAATCACAAATGAGTATGGCTCTACGACAATACCTTATCTTAAGAAAAGACTGACGCATAAGTTTGGATGGATGACGACACTAGCGTCAGGATATACTTACAACATCGAGTTCTTAGACGTAACGCAAGTCACCAATATAAGTTATGCCGGAAGATTTTCTGGACTTGAAGTATGTATTATTTTAATATCTTAAATTTCCATAAAATATTGTATTCAAACTATTCTGAGATAAAAGAAAACTGACTAATTTTGTTACTTCTCTAAAAGACGCTCGCAACTTGCATAAAAAGTATAATTGCGTAAAGTTTCATAAGAAAACGAACAAAGGTCTTCTCAATCATTGTTGAAAAAGTTCGACATATCATGAAAACTGATTTTTGAGAGTAAATTGTTTTGATAAGAGCACGATGATTCTTTCATATAAGTGGTTGTTTAGTCAATTATAAAGAAACTCGTGTTTCAATTTTAGAATGATGAGTATGTTATTATCCGCCATCACTTCACTCAGGCCCCTCAGACGTTCAAAGTCGGTCCTTCACGGACACTTACAGAGGGAACACCTGACGAACTAACCTATGAGGACAATGTGGTGTATGATCATCACTTCAATGCCACTAACAATGATTTTACCTATCTTGGTAAGCGTCTTTGTTTCTGCAGATTGTTCTAATATTGTTTATGATACTCATGTGTTAGTGCCTTCTTTCGTTTTGAAAAGTTATACTTTTTAGATATACTTGTTAAATGTACGTCTCACAGTTGAGATCGTTATTACAAACTATGGACATGACCCAAACTTCATCTATTTTTTAACTATGGATTCACATTCTGTTGGCAGTATCTGGTAAGACGGACTCACCGGGGCCTGAGAATTACGGCAGTGATTATGATGTTAGCCTGAAGGTATCCAGATGCCAGACTTCGTCATGTGTTGGTACACTGGTTGCTAACAATGACCCTCCAGCTACTGAACGACCAGAGGTATTCCAACTGTGGTCAGATGTGGCCTATTGGGCAGATGCATCGGACAGTTCTACACCAGAGTTACCCAGCGATGACACTGATGTAGTGGTTAAACCAGGTAAGACTACTGACAAAGAATTGTTTGCTTTTGGGTATGTGCTTGTTTTTTACAGATACATCGTGGCAGACTGGCTGAACCCCCCTAATACGTTTAAACACATTGTTGTCTTCAACAATTTCACTTAGGAACGGAGAGATCCAAAGTTCCTTTTGTTGCTTATACAAGCGCCGATCCAGAAGTCCAGAGGTTGCAATAGTAACCTCAATAACGGTATAGCGGGACAGGGTAATATTTGCGAAGTTAAAATTAGTTTTCTTTCGAATAAATGATCAAAATCCCTTTTCAAGGTTGCTTATTTCTACAAATGACTATTTTAATAGTAATTACTGCTGTTTATGTCCTATTCTCATAACTGAACTGTGAAAGCATATTGTATATCTTGTATTATACAGAAAACATGAACGCCTCGTGGTCCTTTGGAGAAGGCATGAAACAATAAGCTTTCAGTTCACCTACGTTAAGCAATGCGTAAAAAGTGACCGAACCATAGATTCAAACATGTTTGAGGAGGACAACACATCATGTCACAAATCTAGCATGGTCTACAATATTATCAGTAACAAAATAAATATGGAAGTATTAGGACAGAAGGTATTAGGACATTCTCCATATTCCCCAGATAATACTCCCCTCTGTTGTATATTTGGACGTTAGACCAGCCCTAAAGAGGGATCCGAGTGTCTCATATTTAAGAACACTTGCTGAAATCAAGAATGCTGCCGACACTTCATCCTCCGAACGCAGGGTTCAAGACATCAATAGTGGGTGGATAGATACCAAACTGTATTAATGCAGTGTTTTAATGCAGAAGGATATTATTTTGAGTATCTTCATTGAACTTCATCTCAAATAGGATTTAGTTTTTCAGATTTTCAATACAAGTTATGACATCAATATGAGCTCAAGTCCTGGACCAAGTGCCTCTACGTATACCATGGGGTAGTAAAAGTGTGATTGTAGAATTTTCTGTCAATTAATCATTCTGAAAAGTCTCTGCTGTGTAGGCCTATAAAATATGTAACTTGTGTAAAATTCTCAGGGGATTTCCTTTACATACGAAAAGATACAGCATTTTTATCAGAACTTAATATGGAACTTCTACACTGTATTTATTACACACTGTAGTTATTACTTATCATGTTCTAGATTTATTTGAGGTACAGTACTTTCATTAACATAGCTTTGTGTCCTTCAAAGATCAGTGACAGGTATATTAACTATACTTGCTATTGTAATCAATACATTTCGACGTGCTTTTGACCGTGTTTTCTTGGTATTATGTTCTTAGACACATGGCTTGTGGCAGATGTGCCTCTTCCAAAGATCAACAAACTTTATATCTATGGAACCCTTGAATTGGATCCAAGTCTTGATTTTGATATCCATGCTGATCTCATATTCATAACTGGAAGACTCATCGTTGGATGGCCTGATGAACCGTTCCCTAGGTTGTGTACTATAACGTTACATGGTAATCATAACACAGAAAACTTCTACCAGGGAGCGCAGTGGTACAATGGGCCAAATATAGGCAGTAAAGCTATAGGTAAGTACCTGTACTGTATATATTCAAGACATTTTTGATTCGTTTATTTTAACATCGTCATTGTATTTCATTCATGTCGAGCCTAATGTGATGCTATGATGTTTTAGGCGTATTTGGAGGTCTTGACTTACATGGCTTGACACAAGAAACATCTTGGACTACCTTAGCAGACACAGGTAGACAGGGGGATAACACAATTACTCTTGCAACAGCAGTTGATTGGGCAGTCCAAAATGACATTGTCATTGCATCAACAGGTATTGTCTGAATGTTCGTGTAGTGCCACTTCCATATATAAGCAAAAACTTCCAAAATGTCCACATATCTACAAAAAGACATGAAAAATATGATTTAGGCATAAATGAGAAATGTCCAAAAAACGCCAACCAATCAACGCTTGTCCACGGCAAATGTTTAAATCATCCTGCTACTAGAACAATACACGTTATGTTTTGTAGGATACAATGCATGGGAGACTGAAACATTCAGAATAGTTGGGATATCGGATGATGGACTGACGTTAACATTGAATGATACGCTCACGTATACACACAGAGGTAAAAATGATAAAAACCTATCGATATAAATGATATTTGTAAGCTGCTACCTTGTCAAAAATCCAAGAATAATGGAATGATAAAGATGTGTCGAATGATTCTTTTTTTGATTGATTTATCTTTTGGCACAAGTGTTCAAGGGCAAATAAGAATTTAAAAAGCATTCAGAATACCTTCAGTAGCAATGTATACAACTTGATTTGCTGTGCGTGTAGGAGTTGCAGAAACGTATGGCTCATATGAAGTCACCATGGCAGCAGAGGTTGGACTATTGAATCGTAATATCAAGATTATTGGAGCAGAGTATGAAAATATAGAAGATGAATCGTTTGGGGCTAGAGTGCTCGTTGGTACATTTAACAAGGAGTCGCAGGCATTTACTGGTACGTACGTGTGCATATATCAAGTAAAAATCATGATATTTAAAAAAGGATGTTAGCCCAGTGATTTGTGATTTTAATGCACGAGTTATTGTGTATACGTGCATTCAGCCGAGACAGTGAGGTTGAGTGATGAGGACTGTACTCAAATTACAAAATACTTATGGTCCCTACCATCGTCTGGACAGTGTTTTATTTTGCATATGGTTTAAGGATAATCATTCTAATGAACCCTTATCAAATAGGCCTATGTTTTATAGATTACAGTTAAAATGCCTTTGTATACTAGACTCACTATTGCTTCAGGTTATGCCAGACTTAACAATGTTGAATTCATCCGCACTGGTCAGGAAGGTTGGACAGAGGCTTATGATCCACGGTTCTCTCTTGCCTTTTTGAACACTGGTGAAGTATCACCCAATAGGCCAAGTTTTGTGAACAGTTGCACTTTCCACCATGGCTTTTCTTCGGCTATTGGTGTTTTTGGAACTGACGGACTGGTGGTGAGTGATAATGTAATCTACCACACAGTCGGGGCAGGTAAGGAACGGTTTAAATTAATTACTTATATTTAGATTTTTCACGATGTTCATTTAATATGATGAAATTCTTCGCAAATACATGTCCATACACATAAAATAATATAGCATGAAATAATATTAATAACTGATTATAAAAATATTACCCTTTAGTAGTTGACTGTCTGCAATGCACTTTCTAGAATTTGAAGTTGCAAACATATTGAATTAAAACTTATGAAATTAGTATTTTACATTTAAAAGGCATGAAAATAGGAGATAGTTTTGGTAATGAACTGCGCGGAAACTTCTTGGCCTTACTCATATGGCCAGGGTCATATCAAGAGCGCTACGAACCTTTCAACTTTATTTGGGATGGTAGCATTGAGGTTTTCCAAAGCCAAGATGTTATTCTCGAGGGAAACCATGTGACCGGATCAGAAAGAGTTGGATTCCATATCAAAGGAGAAGAATGTACAGGTCTGAGTATTAAACGTCTAGTATCAACTCAATCCATCCATATTCATTTCACATCTTCAAAACACTTCTGTGCGTATTATGTAATGGGGTATGAGCAAGCAATTATTTTGTCGTTTTAAAGGGGACTAAGCAAGTCACATCCAAAACAATTCCTTATTCAAAAGTTATCCATCCTACATACATTTAACCCAAAATTGAAAAAGTGTGACATTCACAAATACACAAAAAGTATTGCAGTAACGAACATCACCATCCATTGACTTTAAAAGGGGCAATGGATTCGTTGTACAATGTCGTAACATATACTGTACATTCCATTAGCTCATATTAATCGTGTGGATCGTCTCCGTTTTTGTGTACTTCCGTCGCTATTCTTCTGTATTTTTATTTGGCGCATTATTATTCTAGGAGGCAATGCATCCTGGTCGGGTAATGTGGCACATTCGAGTCTCATCGGTGTTTACATGAATGGCGAGCGCCTATCTAAAACTTTGAAGGAATGTGTCAAGGTCTCCGGCTTTTCATCTTGGATGAACTACGACTATGGTGTATACATCCAACAAGATGCAGTGGAGGTCAGAATATCTGATTTGCAACTAATTGACAACACTTTGGGTCTCTTTATGATGAACGTAAACCCATCGTCACTCTCGCATATCGCTGTTGACAAAAAGTTCCACTTCACAAATTCTCTCATCGTTGGGACAAGTGCTGCATCTGACTGCGATGTATCTGTTAACTCGGATAATGCAAATATACGATTGAGTAGCTTAGCTAGAACAAGCAATACTCCAACTGGAGGACGCGTGGGACATGTCTGGCCAACTTTTGCTTCAGGGCATAACAGAGCCCCTGAAAAAAAATTTAATGGCCTAATTACGTATCCAGCTTTGTATGGAGAGGCTATTATCGACGGTAAGATGAATCTTTGTTTGTACTCGTTGGCAGGTTACATATCTTCGCTTTCCTTGTATTTCCTGTGTATGAAATCCTTGCAACGATCTTTGGGATATTGAATTTTAAGGGATGTTCCCAACGCTGTTTCCAAATAAGTCCTTTACTTTGATATTAGTATTTTTAAGTACATACTTTAATATTATGTCGTCATTATTTAGGTATCACATATGCCAATTTTGGAGTGAATAAGTGTGGTACAAGAGATGTTGCCATCATGACTAATGAAAATAATCCAGACGCCATGCATCCCATTACGATTTCCAATACTGAGCGCATTAATGTGGACGATGACAGCTTAGTGTACATACAAAGGCCATCACTTGAGTATGTTACTAAAGGCCGTTAACGGTCTGGGCTTAATTGTATATTTTAGTGGTATTTTTAATATGATGTAATTGTTTTACACACTTAAATAAAATTTTACAATACAATACAATTTTGAGACAAGACGGTGCAGTTACATGTAGTTTATTAAGAAAAACATGCGAACAATTGATATTAATAAAAATGAATATATTTCATATAGAATAACATACAGATATCATATCATATAGATAGGAATATAACAAATATATACAAGTTAGCAAGTAGTAAGATTATATTTTTGAGTTTCCATCTCATGAAGTGAAGTGAACAAGGGTTAGCAATTTCACTGAATCAAGGTGAAGGCCAAAATAATCATTTGTTGTTAAATATAGAATAGCTTTAATTACTGTCGATTATGTGAATAGTAGAATAGAAACAAAAACGCCATGTCTGAAATTTATCCACTTCTTTCAGTCATATTGATCCAACAAACTGCGTTGACATGGAATGTGATGCAAAGAAAAAGTGCCTTATCAGAGATGTCGATGGAACCTTCCTAGGCAGTACTAGTGGCACAGTAATACCAAGGTCCGAGTTTGCATGGGACAAGGAACCAGAACGTGGTATTGGAAACTACCGTATCCCAAAGGTTGCGCTGACTGACCTACAAGGCTCGAGGTTAGCTGTGGAAGACGTTTTCCCATCCAAAGGTAATGTCCGTCATTTATCATTTCTTTTTGAGTAATATTCCGAATAAGAGAACAGCGGTGAATGATATACATCTCCTTTATATAAAGAGAAATAAATATATACATACATACATGTACATAAGGTACACGTACCTCTATCACGTGGTCTTAAATTAGTTTGTATTTTTTGTTGTTTGTATTTTAAGGAATCATCAGGGACTCTTCTTGCGTATATAACCCGGTATGGCAGGCCTATGAATGCCACGGCTTGGATCATAAGATGATGGTCATAGAGAGCCTTGACCGCGACACTGAACTCCGACGTCTCTCCCCTGTGGCCATTATAGGCGACCGACATATTGATCTCATAAATGGACCCGAAGATCATGGCTGGTGCTTTGGCTATACATGTCAGAAAAGGATCTCAACATTCTATTCAATTGTAGCATCTGGTAAGATTTTGTAAAATAATATGCACTAATTATTTAACAATAGTTGTATACTTAATTGTATACTAATGTTCCAATGTATAAGAGTATTTAATTTAAAAGGCCCCATCCATGGGATGTATAGCCATTGATTAACACGAAAACATTGCCAGTAAAAGTAATTTCCTCGTTATTCAAATAACAAATTGTCTATGATATTTTGTGACCATATTAGACATTTATTATTTACATAGAGACTAACACTCACATATCACTTTCAGGTAAACATTTTGATGTGTATTTCACCGGCACTTCCCCTCAGAACCTACGACTCCATCTATTGAATGCTTATGACAACGAAGCCGTTCGATTGTCAATATACTACAAGGTCCCTTACCGACTAGATGTCTATGTCGACGGAACGTACAGGCCCCCACTTAACAAGGATGTCAATGCCGATGGCGATGAGATTCTGAAAGCTCCGACATACGAAGGCGAGTTCTACCCTGATATATCTGATGGCGAAGCAGGAGATAACTTTGTAAATCGGGAGTGGCGGCAATTGTATGTCCTAATTCGCGGTAACACCCCAGTTACAATCAGACAAGCACCAGTTTTGAGAGTGACATTCAATGCACCTGCTCAATCGATTGATGATTTCTTCAAAACGAATCTGATAAGTAACCTTGTGCAACTACTTGGGATTGACCCTTCGAAGATCAGAATAATGAACGTAGTGAGTGCATCATCAAGACGCAAGAGAATGGTAAACGTCCGTAAAAGGGACACTGAGTATGATTTGATCACTTTAGAAATAGGCACTGAACCAACTGAGGATGCAGATGAAACAAACACTGAAAATGATTCTGATGAAATCGCTAGCGCTGCAGCAAAGCTCATTGACTGTACTCAGTTAGGAACACTCGAAAATGAGCTAGGCATTTCCATTGACGATGTTATCATTTATGAACCGGTCCCAAATGTTAATGACTCTAGTTGGCAGGAATTTGAGTCAAATGAAGTGGCGGGAACTGGAGTATATTATGTTCAGGCGGATGCCATGCATATTGCAACCTCACCCGAGCCTCGTTACGAAAGCGTACCTTTCATTACGCAGCCAGAGTTCCAAATGCTCAGCCCCATTGTAAGTATATATCTTATTTTCACAGATATCAAGCAATATTTAATTTCAACAAATAAACAGGGAGGGCAGTAAAAAATGGGACATTTCATTCTTAAAGTATTTATGATCAAACAGATAAACTATGTGCTAAATACCATGGATGGGGAATCTAATCAGCTTTAGTAAATGAAGCAATTCATGAAAATGGATATCAAATATGTTTGTCTGTATCTGTGATGATGGGTCTCAATCTCAGAAAACTCATTACTTTCACATTACTATCGCATTCCTGAAACTTTTGCTATCATTCACGAATAATTCTATCCTCATTTTGTTTTGACATACAATTGATAATGAACCTATCATAATAACGTATTTTCATTTTTGCATGCAAAAACCCAAATTTTCAGGGTTTTTGTAACAGTTTACACAAGATGTCAACTAAATATTAGTTTGTATAACAAAAAATCACAATGTTATCACAATTTTATTCCTAACATAAAGAATAACGTCTAGCCTACAAATAGCAATGATACGTTGGTGAGATGAGTAAAATGATAGGAAAGTGGGAGATCAATTAATTGAAGAATTGATATTCAAATTTTAGAAGCTGCAAAATCTGCAACTTAATTTAAAATTTTGCATACATGCACATTAATGTTCAAACGTTAAAAACGTCCCAATTTTTTGACATGTGGCTCATATTTGCCTTTTTAAATAGGATTCATGTGAGTATCCTATTTTTATTTGCCCATCCTATGTATATGTATGCATAATAGATGCAGTGTATGCCAAAATAGGTGACAGTCACCATCGCCACGTCTACTTGGCGTGTCCAGGCCAGTAGCCAGGGTGTTCGGTGTTTAGGAGAAAATTCTCCAAATTAATCAAGAAATCAAAATCAAAATCTAGAAGTTTTACACCATTCTAAACACTATTCAAGGGATAGACCAAAATTGTTAAATGTGGATCACGATCACCCATAATTTTTTAAGTGAATCCCTCCTTGACACAAGCTGACTACGGCATGGTGTTATAAATTAATTAAAATTGCATTTTTGGTTAGATGTTGGAATCGACATGTCAACGTTAAACACAAAAATTGCACGGCAATATATTAATACATGTACTTGTATACAATGACTTATTTTTCAGGGAGAAGTGCTGCCAGTTGTAGGTTCATACCAAATACCTTGGCAGGTTACAGCCACGCTCGTCTTAACAGACACATCCGATGAGCGCGCGACTCTCGTTGGCATGACAACTGCATCATTCCTCAATGGAAAAGCAACATTTGATGACATCGGTGTATCGCATAGTGGAACATACAAAATTTACTATGAGATCACCTACCCAACTGGAGCAGCCCATCTAAACTATATGTCTGAAGAATTCTATGTACCACTCCAACCAATAGATGCTAGGGTAAATGTAACAGGAGAAGTATTGTCCGGGAATGACATGGAAGTCAGCGTTGAACTCATTGATGGCTTCACTATGCTTAAACATGGAGAAATCGATTGGAAGGTATAGAAAAATTTACTTCATTTAATTAATACATGCAATTACTGTGTTGTCTAAATTTATTTTAATAATAGTAGCAAACTTGAATATCTGAAAAAACGGAATGGGTTAAGACAGCTTCTAGTATTCATATGAGAAAATATATTTTAAACTTAGCATGGCAATGAAATGAAAACTCCCATGCTCAAAATTGATTTAATATGTCTACTCATATACTATAATGTTTATACGTTAGGGACACACGTGGAGTGCTACCGTGACACTTCTTAACTCCGATGAAGTTTTTGGAACACTCGTTGTCACTGATCCTCTTGCAACATTTGATGTTAATTCTGGAATTGCGGTTATTAGTGGACGAATAATTGACGTTGAAGAACCAACGAGGGTATTCCTTGATATCCATGTTATATCCGAACCCTCTGATTATGACTTCACCGTCATTTCTCCCCATGTTGATGTCATGCCTGTCGGTTATCAACCCATCTCAGAAGACACAAGGAAGAAGATTAAACTGCTCTTTGATGCGGATTATGATTCTATTGTTGCTGGAAGAGAAGAGTTATTTATCGCTACTGTGTACAATCATTTCATGCCAAAGTACTATGAGAAAACAAGTTTAACCGGATGGACTACCAGAAAAGGTAATTTCCCAGTGTAAAAAGCACCGATTGATATAATGACTCGTTTTTGCCAGCGTTCTTTTGATATCAGTATGATATTGCATTACATTGTAGGAAGCATCATTGTTGAGTTCAATGCACAAGGAACTGAGGATGACATCACTAGTGTTCTCTATGACATATATGATGAGGTTGACTCTGGTTTGGAGATATCATTCAATGGCTCGTTCATTGAGGCAAGACGTGAAATGTTTGTTGATGGAGTAGAGTATTACGGCAGAAGTGGATCTCAGGTACTGTTTATATCCCTTTATGGATTCTATCCTAAAATTCATCAGAGAGCTACAATATATGCACATCGAAACTAAAACCACCAATAATTATTTAGTAGTTGGAAAAATTTATTTTATATCCCGTATATTCATATTGTAGGTTGCCACGAGTGCCCTGTCTACTGATGAACTGATTGGAGTAATAACTGCATGTGTGTTAAGTCTCGCTGTTGTTGTCATTGTGGTTGTTATTCTCGTCATGAAGAATAAAGCTAAAGGTGAGATAAAATAGAAGTATTAGATAAAATAATAAACAAAATATTGAATTCTGTGGAGTTGAATATCTGTATTTGTATATACGAGGTATATGTATCTAATAGACCAATGAGAGAACAAGTATACGAGGTATATGTATCTAATAGACCAATGAGAGAACAAGTATCACGGCATGGAAATAATGATAATGTTTATTTATGCTACATTTTAACAAGCAAGGTTATGGATATTATAAGTTATTGAATGATTTGAAGTGCAATACAGGATATATTCTGCTCGAAAAATTCCGTTTTGGAACGAGGCAAAGTCGAGTCAAATCATTTAATAAAGTTCTTATCGTGTGATCTTAGGCCAATACATTTTACTCAGGAGATAATCCCTGAGAATTATTTTGTATTCTCTGTGTTGCTACTGAGATTGTCCCCGCCTCCATACCAATCTCAGTAGCAATTCAGTTAGAGTCATTCTAAGTGAAGAGAAGTAGCTTTATTAATTTGCATGGTGAAACATTTAGAATCCAGATTCAACTTAGTTTAGCTGAAATCGGAGGTTTATCGAAAACCAAAGAATTTCGGCAACCATCTTGAATGAAGCTAACTGCAGTTAGAGTCATCCAGCTGTGATGTTGTTGGGATTAAATTATAAAATGCAAAATTGTTGAAACGAATACTTTTCACTACTCTGACTTGCAGATTCCAAAATCACTCCCAGAGGAGACCATGGTGATATGTTTCCAAGTATGTGTAGACAACCCAGCACAATTACTATTCTCGATTCCAAGTTTGTGGATTCCAAGGCTGGCTGTAGGAAGGAACAGCATGGTGATTTCACAAGTGAAGGACAGCATGGTGATTTCACAAGTGAAGGACAACAGGATGATTTCACAAGTATTGGGAGACAACCTAGCGTAGTTTCCATTCACCATAAATAAGCGGAATATAAATGGAATACAAACCCACTTCAAGATATAAGCCATTCTTTATGGTATTGTCTTGAATAAATCTGAAATAACAGCGCTTTATTAGAAGAAACGAAATACCAATTAATTCATAATATTAATGCATTAATTACAATGATATATAGCCTGAGCCTAGACATAACGATGTACATCTATATACAAGTTTTGCTATCCTTAATATATTTTTCGGCGATAAAAGTTATGCTATCAAGTAGTATTTCAAACAACAGCTTGACTGCTTTTAAAAGTTCGTGAAATGATTAGATATCCTTATCATATACTTCGGGTGGGCCTCTATGGGACACTTTTTGGTATGCTCCCGATTTGTTATTCAGTATTTATAAAATTTTCAAACCAGTTTAGATTTGAAGTACAATCAACAGATAACAACCATATTTGATTTTTAGAATGAACAAATAAATAAATAAATTAAGTGTATGAAATTAGCTGCTGTAGTTGAAAAGTTCATTTCAATGAGACAAGAAGCCAAGCTTATCAACTAGGGAAATGGAATCTGAGGTGTCTGTGCCATTCCAATTGTTCATAGAGTAGTTAGAAGATACATATCCCAGAAATAGTTGAAGATAAAAGGAGTGGTAGGACAATGCCTCATAAAGCAAGAACTAAAACTTATTAAGAAAGCTAAAGATGAGATATCAAAATCTACTGTCAACTAGCCATCATTTGGTCAAAGAAGAATAGCAGTACGGCGACTAATCAAACACGATTTAGAGTTCAAATGTTTCAAGGCCTGTCACAAGCAAGTTTTGTCTGACCAAAATAAACTTGTTCGACACCGATCCCAGAGAGCAAAACGCTTATTACGTATACCATTGAGCCCTCTAATGTTAAATATATCTTCTGATGAGACAGTCTTCAGCAGTTCAGCAAGCCCCTTATGGTAAGCGCAGGTTTGATCCAAAAAAATAAAACGGACATTTGCGTTTTCCAAAAAGGTGTTAAAATCAATTGCCAGACATATAGGGACATGATGACAGTACATCGTGCTCATCGTGCTCACAATGCTGCAGGGACTCTATCCGAAGATGATAGCACCAGACAACTGAACTTCAAATTCACCCGATCTAAATCCACTTGACTACAAGGCCTGGTGGGTGTTGAAGAGCTAGTTACCAGCAGAAGGTTCACCACGTTGGCACAAGTATACGAGAGGATTGGATGCCCTCCTACACTCAATTTTGCGTTCATCGCTGAAACAGTGTAGTTCTCGACTCAGGTTCTGTGTGCAGGCAAAGGGTGGTCATTTTGAACACACATTGAAGTAAATAGCAGATAATACCACAAGAATCAAGTGTATAGAATAACAGTGAGATAAAACCAGTGATATTAAAAAAGTTATTAAGTTTTAAAAAATTCTCCATCCATAGTGGCCCACCCTGTATAACGGTATGATTTAATTGTTAGTTTCACATGAGAACATCCCGTGTCTTTATGGCATCTTTGTAATCTAAGCTTATTTATTACTGAATGTATTCACCCTTGGTATACGCAGCTAACGAAAATTGACCGGCACGGGTCAAAAGCTGGACCGGCACGGGTTAACGGTTTTATTTGAATTTAAAATAGCCATAACTTGCTCAATAATGACTTCCTCGTGTCTAATTTGAAATATATGGTGCCTCCCGATGCTTTTAAGTACCCCAATTTTTTACAGATTTTTAAACGGACCAAAACTCTCTAAATGCGCATTTATGCTCTTTTCTCTCGAGAACGACTGTCTCATTTTCACGATAACTTTTATTTAGTACTTCTAACATATAAGATCTATTTTTCCCCATCAAGGTATGATGTAAATGACATGCTATTTACATATTGTGAGTTTCAATGACGCGCGTTTGATTTTATAAAAAATGCCAAACTTTGTGACAAAGAATTTCATCATCATTGAAACTCACAATATGTAAATAGCATGTCATTTACATCATACCTTGATGGGGAAAAATAGATCTTATATGTTAGAAGTACTAAATAAAAGTTATCGTGAAAATGAGACAGTCGTTCTCGAGAGAAAAGAGCATAAATGCGCATTCAGAGAGTTTTGGTCCGTTTAAAAATCTGTAAAAAATTGGGGTACTTAAAAGCATCGGGAGGCATCATATATTTCAAATTAGACACGAGGAAGTCAATATTGAGCAAGTTATGGCTGTTTTAAATTCAAATAAAACCGTTAACCCGTGCCGGTCCAGCTTTTGACCCGTGCCGGTCAATTTTCGTTAGCTGCGTATACCAAGGGTGGTATTTATCTTCATAGCCTTTCACTCATCACATATTAAATAGATAGATGCATTGCATTTTAACACATAATATGAGTTGTGTTTTTAAGTTTTGTGGTCGATTCGAAAATATTGTATTGTCCGCGTTGAGAGCAAAATCTTAAAGTTGTACTAAAACCAATTTCAGAATCTCTTATTATCTTGTATTTAGCACAAATAGCATCCCTTTTGTTATTTTGACTACAAAGCTTGTGATATTTCCCAACACAAAACACGATTTATTAAGATAAGACTGTCAACCTCTGAAATTTTCCGTGTACCGTGTTCCAAGTTATTATTCTGGCGCTAAATCGAAAGTTGTTCTTGCAAATTACAACGAAGGCTGGACCAAATTAATATACATTAGTTTCACATTCGCACGCATTCCAATAGCCAAATAAATATTTCTAATTGATTGAACTTCACAAAAAGAAATTCTTGTGGAAAGAGCACTGCAATATTATTCATTACATATACAAGGTTTTGATTGAAATGCATTTGTTAAACCGTATATCGGTAACTGAAAATGTTAACCCAATACTTATATTTGGCCTTACGGCATTACATTCGGGTTAAAAAGTTTTAAATAGTTTGAGTACGACTTCAAATCTCTATTCTTTGTATAAAAAATTACGTGGTAAAAGATATGATAACAAGACACGTCTAATGACGAGAAGCTGCTGTGTTGTCATAATATGCTCAAATATAAGAAATAATGTTTTTTTCTTAAAACTTATGCAACACAGATATGAGGGTATGTATAATAAATTCAAACATGACCATGCTCTATTCGAATTTCTCAACCAATCAGAATGCAGCATAGCCAATATAGAACGTTCTCTAATTCTCCATAGATGCACGACCATGCTCTATTCAATCTGCAATTTGCATTGTTTTGAGTGACGTCACATCTCAGCTGCACATCTGAGGCTCTGTCCGGGGATAGCTGTTCTTTTTTACTCCCTCCGTTACTAAATATTTATTTTTATTTTATCAACACCCCATGTTTGCATACACCGTATAAAATCTAAAACGGGGAGTAAAATAGAACAGCCCAAACAAATTCTAAAAATTTTCCTGCCAACTTCAGAATCTTGACAGCATGCGTATTCTTCCACTTCATGCCCGTTCCACAGACACGGCTTTTACTAATTTTTAGACGTGTCGCAAAAAGCTCGCGCACGCATTGTTACACATTTTGTGGCGTAATCCAGAGGATCCTCGCTTTTAACATGACAGAATGTGACGTTTTTGAGAAAAATGTACACACATGAAAATCCTTTCGTCCTCCACATTTACCTCTATATCACAAAACATTTTAGACGAATAACTCTGATATCATATATATATTGTTAATGGCCTAGGAGCATCATAAAACACGAATCAATTGATATTTTAGGTGAAATAAATATACGTGTTGCTGTGCTTGAAAATAGGCGAATGGCGTAAATTAGCCCTATTTTAATGAACTTTGAAAACCTTTCGTCCTTCACTTTTCCACATACAACAGAAAACACATACTTTTGTGAACAAAATCAACTATTTATTAATAAATTAGAGTTTAGGAGCAAAATAATCATGTATGATTTATTAAAAATTGATCTCGTATTTTTTGTGTAATGTACACCTGAAAAGTTGAAGGTACCAAAAAATGAGCAAAAAAGGTCGCTGTCAACAGATTCTATTTTTCAGACTCTATGACGTCACAATATGGGACGCTTACTAAAATTCATCCTTTGAAATAAAACTTCCATCTACCTTTATCAAGACGAAAAATAAGTATTATAGTCATATATTGTTTGAGTTATGAGCGTTTAAAGACGAAAAATAATTCAAAATGTAACGTGTCAACATGGGATATTTGCCAGATGCTTTGGTAAATAACTCTTTTTTAAAAACGAACGCGCAAAAAATGTGAACGGAGTGTAGTTGATCTAAAATCTTCATCGATACCCTTAAAAAACAAATGCGCCACCTTTTTGCGATACGTCTTATGTTTGAATCGGAATAAATAATGATAGGCCATTCAATATGGTGAAATTCAGCACTCGTTGGACAGAATGTTAGTACAAATGCACTCACCTTCGGTTCGTGCTTTGTACAACATTCTGTCCAACTCGTGCTGATTTTCACCATATTGAATGGCCTATCATTATTTATTCCTTAAAGTAGCGGTCACACTAGCCGTGTAGGCTCACCGTTCGCCACCGTTTGGCTAATTATGGCCAGACGGCGACGGCCGCATTGTTTTTATACATTTTTGACCGGGACTATACCGTTCTATTCCGGGTCTGTACCGGCTTCTCATCGGCCTTGTACCGGACTTACCGTGTTTCAGAATTCTTGCTTACCGTTCTCGCCGTGTTCTCAACTGGCGCATACCATCCCCTCACCAGGTTTTCACCGGCCGGAACGCCTGGATATCGGCCGAACCGCCTTGATGGCGTCATGCAAACGCTCACAATATTTAGCTCACTTTTTGGTATGTATGCTCAACCATCCAGGTGTTCAAAGCTAAATGATTTATATAATTAATTTGCTTATACATCTTAATTATGTTCAATAACATTACAAGTTTGTCTGTATTTAACTGTACAATGTGGCCACATAGCTTGTCCATCATGTAAGCAGCTAGTTGGGTCAACCGAGTTAAGTCTTTCTCTGTAATAGTTAGTATGTTTATTCCATGAAAATACGTTGAAAATGAATAGGTCTCGAGAACCTGACCAACTTTGGTAGACAAACATGCAATATCTATATTTCATCCGACATATCACGTTTTACGTTTTTACTATACGTTTTGAAACTAATTGCTCTGAGGGGTAACTATTTGTTTTGACATTACATTTTACGCAAAGCGTTATTGGAAGGTACAGATTGAACCTTTACTCCCCTCCAACGTTTAGAAATATTTTTCCTCATTAAAATGGAAGGATTCGAAGTGAACTGTACTCGAATTGGAATTGAAGTCAGTTTATTGAATCACTAATAAAAAATATGCCAAATCTTATTTGATTTCGAAAAAAGACGGCGGTGTTTTATATTATTTTTATAACGTTTTGTAAAACGGCAACTACATATATTTTGTGATAATTGCGTCAACGTATATATTACAGGTCTTAGACCTGCGTCGTTTGAGTTATATACCAAAAAATATTGACTTTTGCACGCTGGTGACGTCGCGCCTTTTTAAATTAATCGAATAACTCAGAAGGGTATCACTCGAAAATTCACGGAAGACTCCACATCTTTGTTATACCGTAGCTTAATCATTAAGGGATTAATGGGTGAACGTTAAGTTGTCATG